GAAATTTTGGTTGATTTTAAAAAGTATCTTGTTAAATGAAATAAAAGGTTTATCTTGATTTTTATCTATTTTGGGGGGATATTGAGAGGTCTAAAAACATGTTGCATATGCTATTTTGTTTCAACAAGGTTCGGAAAGACATTTATTTCATTCTCAAGAATGGGTAGAAAGGAGCAAAAACAATTGCACTAAAAAAACAAAAAATGTTAACAAAAACAGTTACTGTATATAAAATATTTCTAAATAATTTTCGAATTAAATTGTTGTCAATCAGTCAACATTACATAAAATACAGTGTTTTTTTACAGAATGTTTTCAATGATTGGTTTAAGAGAAAAACATTGTTGAATTCAGTTCTCAATATCGATACCACTCCTTTGTCAAATAAGAACTAGAATTTTTTTTTAAAGTGACACCCTTGGCAAAAGCTAGCTATGGGCCTGCAGCCCTTGTCATGTCCTGTCTGTTTTTGAATTCTACTGACTGGCTAAAAGCATTAACATTAAATGCATAAAATGTGAATGCTTTATCCTGGGTACTATACAGAAAACAGCACAGACAAACATGTACATGTACAAGGATCCTATGTGTTTACCTAAACTAAATACCCTCTAAAAGAGAGTCTGTTGTATAAGGTTAATCAAAACCCAGCAGACTAAAATAAAAAACAACTTTTTGAGGTGTTTACTCAAGCATTATACTTTTTAAAAATTTTCCATTAAGGTGGGACAGGAACAGTAAATAATTTTTCTCAATAACATGAACATTTAACGCATTCACCCGCCTTAATGAGATGAATCATCTGGATTGGATTCATTGCAATTCAGTACAAACTGTTTACAGTTTAAAAGGTGTCAAACTCTTTTTAAACCAAAAAGTATTCAAAAAATATATTTCAATTGTATCAGATTACAAAACATATTTAGTTTCATATTTTTAGAATCACTTGAATGTGGGTTTCAAAAGATGATTTATTTACATTGCACTGAAAAGAAATGTGATAGGGAACTATCTTGAAAATTACTTTAATGTACATCCCAGCATGCTCTCACTAAATAACAAAATTGTAAATTGAACAACTAACAAAAGAAAGTATTTCAAAAAAAGTTGTTATAGCTACTAAATTCTTAAGGGCTATAAACTTGTATACAACAAATAACTTGAAATAAACAGTTAGCACAAAAAGTTTGATTCCTAAGCAGCCTATATATATAAAGTGCAAACTAAAAGATTATGAAGAAAACTTGATAGATTATCACAATATTTCGAAATAAAATAAAACAAACAAGATATTACACCTGTACTGTTGATTGCCATTGGAAACAGGAATGCTAAATCCAAGAACAATACAGGTTAAATACCTGAAAAGAACAGTTGAATTGGAAACAAAAACACAAGTTAGACTCGATATCAACAAGAAGGCTTAGGCCTGTTGACATTTCTCTCCAGAGCCTGTTAATTGATATGTCAGGAAAACCTTTCATTTATTACGGAGTGGTCTGAATTGAAAAACCAATATTTGTTCCGCTCTCAGAAGAGGACTGTATCCTATGGAAGCTAAATAACTAAAACCATTAAAGAAATATCTTTATTGAAAATAACATCACTAGCACATTAAAGCTTCTGTATATAAATGAAAATATTGTATTTTCTGATATTGTTAACCATTTTGATGTAAAGAAAGTTTATGTTAGTGATCAAGAAAATAATAGGTAAACTTTGTGTTTAATACACTAAGAGACAAGATATCGATAGTATTTGATAAACTGGAAAGACAAAATATCTTTAAGAACAGAAATTTGAATTTCAATTAAGAACAATAATCAACCAAGTGGAATTTCAATTACCACTTGCAGCTGAAGGAAATTGAGAATACATGTTGAGTAATGTCTTTGTTTAAATAATAGACCAACGCAAATAGGGATCAATGATCGGAACCACTTAATGACATTTCATCTGGATGGATTAAATAAGATAAATTCTTAATGACAATACAAGAAAAACTGAAGAGTGCAGACACAACATAGGTGATCAATTCATACAGCACTTATCATTGACTAAATGTGATCTTTAACTTGTGTGATATTGGAACCAGACATATTATCAATTGAGAAATATCACAATAACTTTTCCTCATCAAATGTGAATCTCCAGTTGAGTGTGTTATTGATTTACACACAGATGGGATCCATATCATCTTACTAATGGAATAATATAACATCAAAACTATTCAGTAAAAATAAAACAATTCCATGGGATATAGAAAATAGTAAATTAAATCATAACATTTTGCTGTATAGGAGTATGGTGAGGTAAGATGTAATGTAAATACGACTATGAATACTGGAACAAAATATTTCAAGAACAATTTCCCAAAGACAAAGTGCAGCTATGATAGATAAACCACAAGATGGTTTAAACAATATACGTGGATTAGCTATATAGAGAGAACTTTATAGTCTGATCCTGTAGACCAATTAATATGGAGATTGACAAACAATGTCGAGAGTTTCTGAAGAACCAACTGGAACAGAAACAGCTTCAAAAGAACTTGGCATTAATTAACAAAGCTGAATCATTTGAACTTCGTTTGACCAAACAACATATAAATGTGGTCCAAAAAGACCTAAAGGACATCAACAAAAAGGTGACACTATCGCTTGAGGATATATGGGTGCAGAACAAAGATCGAATTGATTTGAAAAAAGCAAATGCAAGAATTGCATTGGCAAATCGGTTCAGAATGAGGGGCCGGCGTAAAAGTGCCCCAGAGTTGAGACAATCAAAACAACAAGGGTTTCCTGGTAGGCGAGAAATGTTCCCCCAAAATGGACAGAGACCAATGTCCCAGCCACAAACCAAAAAATCAGGATACTTCAAGCATGGCTACCAAGGTATACCCACAAATATGAATTACATGGGGGAGGAATCATCTTCCAATTCTGATTTAGACAACATTAATCGCCATAGCGACAAGAGAAGAGTTGCTTTCCAGCTGGCCAACGCAAATGAAAATCAATTACAGCCAAGTGGGCAACAAAAAAACATTGTTTCAAATAATCGGAGTTCTAGTGTCGTAAACTTCAGGGATGGGAAGAAACATACCGTTTCATTACCTGAAATTAATCGGTCAGCCACTGTTGCAGATCCAATTTATGCTGCTAAACATATGAATACCCATGCGGTTGCCAAGACACCAATAATTGGACCAAACAATAAACAACATGTAGCAAGATCAACAGCACAAACTGCTACATATAAGAAAAGAAACAATGTATTTCAGCAACATCTTCCAAATATGTCTAGCAGTAACAGAAATAAATTCATCAAAAGATCAGTAAATGGATTACAAACTTCAAAAAATAAAACCTCTACTATAAAGGTCAATACTGAATCAGTAGATAGCATAGACTCTGATACTGACACTGCTTCTAGTGATGAGGAAGTTGATATTGCAACAGCACACATTGATATGACTAAGCTGCAACTTGGTGTGAATGACCTAGATGGTAAAACATTTCTAATCGACAAAGTGCTCTGAGATTGCTCATTAGATCTTTTTTTTGGGGTGAGGGTAAATGTTAATATCAAGATCAATCTCAAACTTCTTTAAGGAATCAACCGTATTTCAATTAAACAAGAAGAAATGGCAGCACTGAGAATTTATACATACTACATATCTAATATATTACATTCTTCACCTGCTTTATATCATAAAACACCTCGCCTAATATCTACTTAAAAGTTACCACCAAATGTACAATAAACAAATATGCATGTGAATAAAGATTGAAGTAAAACTGCAATTGCCTATTGTATTGATTTGAGGTTAGGCTGGAGCTGAGGCTGGAGTAAGTAGGCTAAATGGTGGTAGAGTGAGGGAACATTTTTAATATCCTCAAAGGGTACTTATGCATGTTCTAATCAGTTGAGGCAAGATGTTTCCGTCAAAATTACTAGTACCACAATTCATTTCATTGTACATTGTACTTACTGTAAATTTTGCATTGACAAATTCGAGGAGATGCTTAACATTTCATTTGTTTACTCTAGCCTATTTCATGAGTGGGATATGAGAGAACAGAATAACAATTTTCATTTAGTTTTCATTTAGAGTTTCATTTATTACAATGGGAATAAATACTCCCCAATTGTTCATTAAGTTACAGAAAGTACAATATTTGGATCCAAATAAAACAAAATTAAACAGAAATAGTACTATTTTAAGTAGCTGAAAAACGCAGTTGAAACATAAGGGTTGAAAGCATTACTAATATTTAACCAAACCCCCTAGATGCATTCACTTCAATTTAAACATATTGCTTTACCATGATGCAAATATCTCACGTAATATGAAGTGATTTTTTCTCCTGTAGGGTAGCCTATTTATAAATTCATAATATAGTTTATAAATTTCTTGATTGTAAGTTTTCAGTTATTGCTACTTGAGTCTTTAGCAGACCAAATGGAAAGTGATGAGGATTCATGAAAAAATCTGATTTAGCACAATGAAAGTAAAGTCACTGGTCACACTGATTTGTTCCAAGTCTTTTGGGTGATTTGATATATATCAAACAATAAAGCATTTTAGTAAGGAACTAAGAAGGTTGCAGTGACATGATGAAAATCTTTTGCTTCAATGATTTTTTCATGCCAATTCTCGAATATTGATTATGAAATTATTAATATAACTGAGCGATGCATTTGAAAGATATTACCGCTAGAATGGGTTGGATTTGCTCCATCAATTTTTAACTGCACAGGGAAGATAAAACAAATGTCAATATGCTGCAATGGTTTTACTCATCATAATAACATTAGATTTAGAGTACATTGTTGTCCAATATGGACATAATCATTGATAATAGTACATAGAGTATTAATATTATATACATAAATGTACTTCATTCACACATTTCCAAATGTGCTTTGGCAAAGTCTACACTGCAAATTGTTCCTGGGTAATGTCATGATCTTGTCTCTAGCCAGCTCCATGTTGACTAATATTGTCGTCCTCTGCCACCCCTACCTCCTCTTCCCCCACCTCTTCCTCTCCCACCTCCCCCACGAGGACCCCCTCCTCCTCCCCCTCCTGGGTAACCTCCTCCTCCACCTCCGCCACCCCCACCTCCAAAGAAGGCAAGTCCAGCTCCCCCTCCTTGTTGCTGTTGGTCATTTCCACCACCACCCCAACCTCCACCACCACTCTGAGGCCTATCACCTCCCCACCCTCCCTGGACTCGCCCCCCTCGACCTCCTCCTCCTTGTTGGTCTCCCCGACCGCCTCCTCTATATCCACCTCCTTCTCCACCTCGTCCACCACCTCGGCCTCCTGAAATAAAGCAAGCAATTAAGCACATTGTAAATATTAACTGACTCTTGAAATATTCTACTCAGGGTTGGTACCTTTATTATTGAGTATCAAACCTTCAGCAGAGGTAGTTTTAGTGTTTTAAAGACTGAACTAAACAATGGAAAAGTGTTTCAGCTTATTGAATTAGCAAACAAGTTTTGAATTTGTTGTTTAGAATGAATAGATCTGATTAAAGCATGGGTTAAAACAGTGTCATATGCAAATGACAATACATTCCTAAAATAGTATTGCACTTGTGGATGTTAACCCCTTAAATGTTATACACTATAATAAAATATTATATTTACCTCTGCCACCACCTCTAGGTGCGTCACTGCGTTTCATGAAAGACGGCATCTCTGGGGGTGGGGCTTCCATTTCTAGTGTCCTACCCCCTCTGTCTGGGACCCTTCCTATTAGAACCTTGTTGATTTCACATTTAGTCCTCTCTCTAATCTCAGCATTGCTTGTTTTTTCAATCTTCAGTAAATCTGTAGGTACAGGGATGGATAATACAAAATACAACAATTATGTCTGTGTAAATATGGACACATCACTAACATTGGACTGACCTGATAAAATATAAGGCATTAACAAGCTAAATCTCACCACCTGCCATTTTTTACAGATGCCAACCACCAAGCACCACTTCTGGTGGTGGCATAAAAATTGAGCTACTATACTAATGTTACAAATATAGCATGGATAAATATAATTAATATACAGTAAAACCTGAGTTAGTGAACACATCTCTCTAATGAACACCTATCAACTGTGAACGTTTTTATTCGGCAAAACATTTTGAGTGTCATGGGTTAATATGGGTAGAAAATACAAATTAAATTGATTATTCCCTCCTCTCTTAATAGCTGGTCTCTTAATATAATACGTCAAATGTGGCGAAATCAAATCATTGCTGTAGTGAACCTACCAACAGTGAACATTTTTTCTCGGCAAAAAATTGTTGACTATACGCAGGTTTTACTGTAATGAAATAGGATAATCAAATATAACCAGTAGAAATGAAACTCACACTGAAACTTCCCAACACCAACTGCAACATACAGGGTGGGCCAATAAAAATTGGAACATTTTTCTATTTATTCAATTTTCTTAAAACTTGCAGTTCAGTCCACAAAAATTCAGATAATGATAAAATGATTATTTGTGAAAATGTTAATGATAAAAATATGATTTTGTATGATTACTTTTGGCTTGTCATGGTCATGATCTGTATACTGCGTAAGTCATGAACATTTTCCAATTTTTCTCTGCTTGAGACATCATTACTGGAAATACAGTATCTCATACCATACAATATATGCCCTTCAAATGGTCTCAACAGAATTTCCAATAACTTAAACATTACGTAGTTATCTCTAGGAGAAGCTAAATATGTCTCCCTTGGATAATATAGCTTAATTGACCTCAGCTTTTTTCAAAACTGGCACAATATGTCTCAAACCTATATTTAAGCCACGCATGCTTTTCAAATACAGGTCATACTGATTGATCAGGTGGGTGGAGGACATGTTCAGTGTTCATACATGACTAACAAAAAAGTTACAATCAATGGAAAAATGTTCTAATTTTTTTACTCAATGCAAGGGTTTCCTGAACTTGTCCTCCCCCACCTGAACAATCAGTCTGAGCTCTATTTGACAGTCATTCATGGCTTAAATGACAGGTTTTGAGACATATTGTGCCAGTTTTGAAACAGAACTGAGGTCAGTTAAGCTACATGTATATCATTCAAGGGAGACATGTCTTGCTTCTCCTAAAGACAACTAGAAAATGGCAACTCCACGGAGTAGCAAATCCCAACGAACACTATATAAATCATCAATCTGTACAGTCACAATGTAATATTTACCATCTACTCTTACCTTCAATAAATATTTTAAATCATTGAAGTATCATGTAACCATACTTTCAAGATAATTTTAAGTAGTGACGAATTTCTGCTCTAGTCAGCCATTTTGAATTTTCAGAGGCGCAAATCAGAAAAACAATGCCATAATTGTGATCTACTCTGAAATACCTTCAATTTGAGTATAATATAGCCATACTTTTAAGAGATCAGAAAACAATTGTGAAATCCCGCATTAGGCGGCCATTTTTTAATTTTTTGAGGCCCGAATCAGAAAAACGTTACAATATTTGCAATCTACTCTAAATTTCCTTTCATTTGAGTATAATAAAGCTATACTTCAAAAACATCTCAAAATTAACGCATATTCCTGTTTTCCCGATCCCCCATTTACGGCCCCTGGGGGTCAGGGTGAAAAACCTGGGATATATGTGAAATAGATAGATGTTGTTAATATACTACCAAAATTTCAAATAATAATATTTATTATTTTGGTTTAAAATGAAAAACATAAGATTTTTGCTAAAAATTCCCGCCATTTTTAAACTGGCGGCCATCTTGAAAAATTTTTTTTTTGCGTAAAACTGTTCACCAATATACATCTTTCCACCAAATATGAAGAAAATCTATTGACTAGTATTCGAGTTATCTTCCGGACAGACGGACGGACTGACTGACGGACTGACGGACTGACGGACTGACGGACTGACAGACTGACGGACTGACGGACGGAGGGCTTCACTATATCCCTACAGAACTTCGTTCGTTGGGATAATTACATATGTTTTAATTGATGGAAATTGTGTCGAGACCATTTGAAGGGTACATTTTGTATGGTATGAAAGTTACTGTATTTTCAGCAGTGATGTCTCAAGCAGAGAAAATCTGGAAATTTGTCACAACACATGCAGAATACAGATCGTGACCATGGCAAGCCAAAAATAATCATACATGGATATTTCTATCTTTAACATTTTCACAAATAATCATTTTACCATTATCTGATTTTTTGTGGATTGAACTGCAAAAATAAAGACAATTACTCAGATGCGAGTTGGTAATTACCAGTTTCGCCACCAGGTGGCTGATTCGGGGGAAATAACATGGCAGGGTATTACAAAATTCCCTTAAACTTGAATATTCATCAGTTTTAGTGGTTCACTTTTCATATTACACTAATGTATCTGATAATTATACAAATCAAAATATGTCCAGTAAAAGAAAATATTATCTGCCCAACACAAGAGAAGATATTTCCATTTTTGTGATTTTACAACATGGGGGCTATGGGGAATCTCCCCGACCTAGAAGTCACATTACCAAAGAAAATTAAATTTTCAAAGTTGATAAACTCTTTTTAAAACCATATTTCTCGATGTAATTCTATATGTAGATTCCAAATATGACATCAGTTTGACTTAATTTTTAATTTTAATGACGTAAATCAAGATTATTTCTACTCGCATCTAGGCTATTGAATAAATAGAAAAATGTTCCAATTTTTATAGGCCCACCCTGTATATCACCTGAATTGGAAACTTTTGTGAGATTTTGATTTATAAAGCAGACTGGCATTAATTCACACAGTTGCTAACCACTCACCGTCTCTTGCTGAGAGCAATGCACCAACTTGCACTGATGATTTTGAGGTTAATAACTTTCTTATAGGTTGATATTTGCTAGCCACCAGGTCTTCCTTGTGCTGGAACAATATACATGCATTTACGTATACAAAAATTACAGTGATTCTACAAAAATCAATACTGAGTGTTGTTTCAAGTGTTGGGATTTGGGAAAACCAGGGAAATGTCAAAAGGGAAATGTTTTGCACCAAGTTAACAAAGAGTCCTTGTGTAAACGATAGGATTTGAAATGTTCCTTGAAAATGAAAATTGTCTAAATACATTTACTGAAAATCTTGAAAATGATTGATGAAGTGTAGAAACAAAATAAAAAGCCTGCGTGCCTCCTTACATGTATAATAGGAAATGTTTAAATGAATGATGTTCTACCTTTGCTTTATCTGACCATTTGAATGACTGTATGGTGACATCTAGACGTTTCAGTATCATGCTTCTCCTAGTTTCATACTCCTTAAGGAGTGCAGAGTTGATCTCCTCCAGTGTTGCCCATTGTTTGTCTGAGAGCCTCACTTTCAATAGAGGTTTCCCAAGGTGATCTGCGGGAAGCTTGTTGAGCAGTTCTTTTATCTGAAGGAGATGGGAAAGTTGAAGATTTTAAAAGCAAAGAAATTCCACGTCCTATCTCATCTTTTTTTAGCTTTTTCCTGAATGAAATGAATGAAAACACTCAATTACAATATTATTTAGATATGCCAAAAATTAATCCTTGAATTTATGGTGAACTTTTTAGTAAAACTTACTTTCTGTCTATTAGAATCCATGGAAAAGGACATTTGATTTATTTTATTGCCCATTACATGTACCTGGAGTCTTATTCTGAACTTTTCCGTATTGTAAATTCAATTGTTAATTTACCGTTTTGTCGTATATTTATGATAAAGCTAATTCTGAACTTTTCCGTATAAAACGTGGTAAATTTATACTTTTTCCATATATTTCTAGGACACCTGTAGTGAATTCACAATTTTCCGAAATAAAAATAATATATGGTGAAACACAAGTTCTATACTATATTACAAATGTTGATGATTTAAAAACCCAATTTCAATAGCTCCATGCTGGGTTTACACAGAAGACGACTACGACAAGTTTAAGGTATAATTCAGAATCAGTTTTAAACTTTTTCGGTATGTTGTCCTATTGTAAATTATTTACGGCAGAAATTTATGGAAAAGTTCAGAATCGCACTCCTGTATAATACATGTATGTATATGTACTGTACCTTTGCTTCTATTTTACTGAATAGCTGAAATGAAGTGATTGAAGCCGGAGGTTTAGGAAAGCCCAGTGCCATCAACATATTCTTCATGTAGTTGGCCATATCACTTTCTGCCTGTACCTCTACCTGCATAGCGCTAGTGAACATTTCTGGCTTGCTCGTGGCAACTACACGCATCGCCTGCAGCTCAGTGCACAAGTAATCTGAAAGCATTTTATGAAATAATTTCTCTTCTCTTTTTGCTGCAGATTTCCCTTCAAATATTGGATGTTTACTTCATACTTTAACCTCTTGACTACTGAGTGACGAGATTACTTGTCACCGAAGAAATGACCTTGAAACAACACAGAGTGACAAAAAATCTGTCGCAAATTTTTTCACTAAAATTCATCCAATTTACTCAAAAATTGTTTTAAAATATGTAGAGATGATCTCTGTCGACTAAATTTACTAACTTGAGCATCTTAAGTTGTATAGGTATGTAGTAAAATGTCAAAAGATGGCAAAAATGAAAAATCCTCAGGTTTCAAGCAATTTTAGAGTCTGGGATTCAAGAGGTTATGTTGATAAATATAAGTCACAGTTACCTACTGATGCAAAGTTACACAAAGTTGGTGAAGGGACTGTCTTGTCATTTTCAATGCTCATCATGTACAAGTGCTTGGATGATTGTTGACATAAAATTGTTAAATTGATGAAACGATAATTAGGTTTTAATATGCAATGTACCTAGAAGTTGTAGTTTATTCTCCTTTGACTCCAGCCTTTGGTTGATGGGTCCATCTGATAAAGCTGGGTATGGGCAGCCTAATGAATAATAAAACACATAAAAGTAGTATATGTACTTATCATGATGTGTTATCCACAATTGAAATAAGATATTGTGGTATGAATTTTACTTCAAGGAAATCTGAATGGTAGAAACACTAAACATTACAGCTAGTTTCTGGAATGAATCCTAAAGACTTTGACATAGGATTTTAAACACTTCTTTTCGAGCTTTCCATGAGCACTTTGGTTTATTACACATATTTTGACTTCCCCGTTTCATAAAATGAGCATTTTTGAATCATTTACATGTATCATATGTGTACTGGGTGTACTCAATACTGTTACATACCTAATTCCCTAAGGAATCCACTCAACTCAAGCAAAAAGTTGCCACAATCATCTGAACCTGAAATAAGATACCAATGTGTCAAAAATCAGATGTTTTGAACATTGGACAGATCAATCATTGAATACTTTATCATTCATAAATGTAGGTGTTGGGTTGATAGAAAGATGACAATGTGCTTAAAAGCAGGTTCTTATTTACATCTTCTCTGTAAATACGTCTATGGAAACCACACTGCCATCTTTCTTTAAACCAAAGACCCATAAATTTATTAATTTATTTATTAATACCAGATACATGGCAAAAATATTGTAGTTGCACTCATACACTGAAGTGGCCAAATATGTTTAGCCTGATCACATTTCCAAGAAAAAAACTGAGATGACATTTGCCTGCATTGGTTACCTACAACTAGAGATGGCCCATTTTGCGGCCTCACGTGGTGGAAAAGACCATTTCTCCAAAACAAGGCAAAAGTAGAAACCAGGTTCAATGGTATGAATTACCAGCATGGACATGTCACATGTGTCACCCATTAAATGGATGTAAGAGCATTTGATCAGACAAATGGATGTTTTCATTTCTCATAAAATTGTTGACAAATTGGGAGACAGTAAGTAGTAGACAAACCCATAGTCTCAGTCTGGCTCGCCATGTCAAACAACAATGCAATAATTTTTGATAGAGGTGTAAGTTGTGTTTTGAAGGGTTTTATCTATCCTATTACCCTTTGCATTCGTTCAACTGCACTTCAAGAGAGCTTCGTTTCGTCATAGTTTATAATAATAGACTCTTTGCGCAGGGTACTATCCTATCTTATCTGGTCAATAGACCTGTTCTTATATATGACACAATATTAGCAGGTCAAACTTACTAGTGATAGCGCCAACATTTTCCTCAATCTTGCAGAACCCACAGAGATCAGTGGAGAGCCATGCTACAAGGTGGGTGAACTCTGGGGTAGGCGCACCAGCATCTACAGCACTGTATAATGTGTTTTCATCAATCAGGGGGCCTGTGTACCTGCAAATGGCAGTCATAGATTCTTAAGTATTGATTTTGAATTGAAAAAACATCATTTTGATTTTTGATACAATACTTCAGCAACTTAAACGTTAGATTATGACAAACAACACAAAATTATTCTTCAAATTGTTTTTTCATATATTGATATAATATTGAATATATAGCTTATATATTGTGAATATCGTGCTTGATCAAATACATGTAAATCAATGAGAGATAGAATAGTGATATAGGGGGAAGGGGTATAACGTTGACACCATTTCATTTCAGCTTGGGGTAAGTCCCTGGGGGTTCACTGTATATAAACCTTGACGGGGATCCTCGGACCTTTTTTGACATTTGGTATGGCAATGGACCCAAATTTTAGGATCTGGTATGAGAATGTCCCCCGAGGTATGGCAATGGTCCTGTTTTTCCACTTTCTGATATGATATATCTTTATTTGAGGTTGTTTTGGATCATTTTCTTCATAGATTTGCCTTCTGCTCAAAGCCTTCTTAGTTTGAATATTAGCTTTTTTCTACTTTGGACATTTGGTATTGCATTGGTCCTATATTAAGACATTTGGTATGGCATTGGTCCTATATTAAGACATTTGGTATGGCATTGGTCTTATATCTTGACATTTGGTATGGCCAGAGACATATAAAACACACATGTATGTCTCTGGTATGGCATTGGTCCTATATTTGGACATTTGGTATGGCATTGGTCTTATATTAAGATATTTGGTATGGCATTGGTCTTATATCTTGACATTTGGTATGGCCAGAGTCATATAAAACATACATGTATGTCTCTGGTATGGCATTGGTCCTATATTTGGACATTTGGTACGGCTGTTGGGGTTTGTTTTGGTTGGTATGGGAACACATTGAAATTTGACAGATTGTGGTATGGGAACATATTGATATCTGAGGGTTCAGCCTAGGACCCCAGCCAAAATTTGTATACAGTGAACCCTCGGGGGGAGGGTAAGTATGGGGTAACTTTGACACTTTGTTGTTAATTTGCTCTTATTTCTGATCTAGTTGAAGCCATGTTCTTCTTATCGCATGGATTGAGATCTCACGAAATTTTCATTTTATCCAATTTGTCGTATGTACCCCATTTTTTGTGTCATCATTACGCCACATGTCAACGTTACGCCCCATTTGGCCTATATCTCTATACACAGATAAAGCCATTCGTGTACCATTCTCGACGAAGAGACCGCCAATGAATCTATGAGCCTGAGGCTGATGATCATGCTGATGTGGAAATGAAACTGAAACTTGAGTAAAAAATAAACATGTCCAAAATCTTTAGAGTCCATTTCACTGCTTCATTTCGTCAGTAGAATGGCAAAAATAAGAAATTGGGAGACCATTGTGCAATAATATATGGAAAAGTATATTCATAATGTACATGAATGACATTTGTATATTTCAGATTTTTTAGTTTTTTGTGCAATAAGCCTGTGCCGTCTTGTAATTTGAAGAATTTCAGCCATGTTAATCTTATTGAAAATAACATGGCAGAGAAACATCCAAATATAAGAGGCCACACACTTTATAAGCCAAACTAGAAGCAATCCAAGATATACAAATGTCATTCATGTACATCATGAATATACTTTTCCATATATTATTGCACAATGGTCTCCCAATTTCTTATATTTGCCGTTCTACTGACGAAATGAAGCAGTAAAATGGACTTTTTCTAGTTAGCATTATCTTGTAAAGTCATGACTATATGTGATTATTATTATTATTATTATATCTTGGTTACCGCCATATTTGGCGAGCAATACCTCATTGGTACATTCCGTATTTTACGTACTTTACACTCGAAGACAGAGCCAGAAACCCCTCCTTGGAGGAGCCCTGTGTTCTTTTGTGTGCACAGGTACACAGACATACAGGTACACACCACAGCATTTTATACGAGTCGTGAACCACTCAGTCAAACACCCAGAATTACATAATGCACAAACAATCTTGTCTGAACCGGGAATCGAACCCGGGGCCAAGCGATATTGGTAACCTTGACTCTGCCACTGAGCCATAGCGGGTATATTAACACACAAAGAGGATGAAATATACCTACCCTAAATCTTCAAGAGAATCTAAAATATCATTCTCCATCGTCTTCTAAGCTGCAAAAGCCAAAAGGGCTAATATATTTAGAAAATAAAAATTCTGCCGGTTTTCAAATGTAGGTCAAATGCGCTCACTAAATGCCAAATTTTGTGAACGAATTAGAGTATTTTATAGAAATCAAAATCAAAATTAGACAAAGGATATAACTGTTAAATATTTATAGATTCCAATGAATGAAAGTATTGTAAGTATTTATACTGAAAAAACGAGAAATATTATGTTTTCGCTGTATTTTTCCTCAAAGTCCCACAATGCATTGCAAAAATGGCAAACCTAAAAGATGCAATCACGATGTATCAGAATTTGTCTCAGGAATGGCAGAAGAAAACCCCTAATTTAGACAAATGTGGCGAGCTTCTTACAAAACTAAAGGTATGTTCTAGCATTTCAAAAAGTTTGGCTGTATACAATGCCATACTTGCAAAGATATTCAGTTTTGAAAATAAAACTTTGATTTTTTTCTGTTTTTCATTTTATTGCTGAATCACATTTGCAAAAATTGATTGTAATTGTAAAAAGTGTTACATGTAGCCTACAGTACAATTGCTAAGTTTAGTGTATCCATGGTCCACACTTTGTGGATATAATATTATCGCATCCTACGACCCCTTTAGATTGTGGTCGTACGCCCGATTCATTGGTAAGCCTGTCTTTCTACAGTGCTGATATATAATAATTAAGGGTGCGTTTTCAAACTAAACAGAGTGCTCCTACCAAAATAAATTTGCCTACATACCCCTGAGACTCTTATCTGATAGATAGAATGCACAAATAAAACAAAAGTTTTGCTTTTATAGGTAAAAAGTTCTCTTGAAATTACGAAGTGATTTTACCTGTTAATTCTGTTCATGGTCCGCCATTTTTGCGGAAGTTACACTTAAACGCAAACTCCATGAAACGAAACGAAATCACTAGAAAAAACATGGCATACATTGTGCGCATGTGCAGCAAAGTTTTAACCAATCAGATTATTTGATTATTTTGCGCACATGAATTATTTGCTTCTGAGCACTTACAAGCTTACCACAATAAACAAACCTGGCAGAGACTACCCTGAGCCTACTTCATTTTGGCGAAATTTCAGCTCAAACTCGTGACAAATGAACTATGCATACGCTGGTGTGAAGCCTTGGAGACACTCATTTTGGTATATATGACTTATGGTGTATACTTTTCTGCAGTTTGTGTGAGTTTGGGACATTAAATGTTGAAATTCAAGAAAATATGGCAATAAAACGACTAATCAATTAATATATACCAGCACTGTACAATGTCAGACCCTATGCATTGCACTATTAAATGACCTACCTCAATACATTCCAGAGTATTTTAGAATTATTTTTATGTTGTTAGATCGCCAAGAGTATGGGTTTATCGGCAGAACGAAGAGATTTTAGTTTTTACATCGGAAATTAGTCATATAAATCCGACCGTTGTATGCTGTTCTTCGATATTCCTTGTTCTTATTTGGATATTTATTTTTTATCATTTTCTTTGCATACACCGTCGTAGATATTATATGGAACAAATTGCGGTAAACGCTTTTCTGGCCTGTCTCGGTAACCATAGTTACCATACTAACCAAAGTCACACAAATTATCGAGTAATTATTTAGTTCCAACATTAAAGTGTTAAATCTTACCTTAGACATGTAAAACGCTTGATAATTGACGAAATATGATCAATTGAATTATATTTTCATTATCGCCCGCCATGTTGCTGAATGCTGTTTCCGGTAGTCTAAATGTAAAACATGTATCGAAACGGAATCATAATTATTTATTACACAGAGATCGATTCCAAAGCCGTTCTCTTACTTTTCTCATTTTGAAACAATAACTTTTCCAAATAACTTCCCTTCTTAACGACACTGCTTCCCTTTCAACTGAATCTTCGTGTAACAAATACTTATGATTTCGTTTGATATAGTTTTACATCTAGACTCAGATTAACCCGGAAGTGACCTTGGCATGGCAAAATGAAAAAATTTTAAAATTCAAGCGGCATGCTTATATTTCTTCAATTACCAAGCGTTTTACGTGTCTAAGGTAAGATTAAATACTTTATAGTTGAAGCAAAGACATTTATTTATCATTTGTGTGAATTTGGTTGGGTAGACAGGCCAGGAAAGCATTTCCCGCAATTTAGATGCGCGGAGTGTGTATGACCCTTGTATGCAAGAAAATAAGAAAAAATAAGTATCCAAATCAGAAAAAATAACAACAAATAACATCATACGAGGGTCAGATTTATATGACTAATCGGAAATATGTCAGCAATTTTCAAAATGTCGGAAGGGGAATTCCCCAGGGATCTCCCTTATGACAGGTGCATGCCGGGAACTGAATGGAGGAATTTGACGGTTGAAATAAGTTAAATATTTCACGCAAATATTGCTATCAAAAATGAAAATATCTTCGTTCTGCCGATAAACCCATACAATTGGTGTCACTACATTGGTCTCCCCACATTGAAATCACTGAGGCGCAACACATCCATCTATTTTAAAACCAAAATGGTCCTCAATCCAATTAGATTCTCCTGCTAAAATATTGCACAAAAAGTTACAAAATTCTAAAATGTTGCACTAAAAAAAGTCCTGGGGAGAGCACTGATATATATACAATAGGGGTCCCACGATTCATTTTTCACCGATTCGATTCAAATCTCGATATTTACCTAACAATTCGATTAATGATTCGATTCACAAAGCAAGAAAGTCAGTATTAAAATAATATTGTGCCATAATCCATATGAAATTCCTTGTTAAGTGTTAAAAAAGGCAAGAACTTAACTTCGACGTATAAGTGTTACCTGATGAATAGGACCCTTACGTGCCTTCCAAATGTAGTTAACGAACTCCAATGTAACTACATCAGCTTATCTTTCCGTCCAATCAACATTAAGTACAGCTAAACAAGAAATGTAAACGAACTGTAAAAATTCCCAAAAATGTTTCTACTGGCTTGTCATTTCCGGAAGTTCTGATACGTTATATTACCAAACATGTAAGACCTGTGTTGCTTCGCTAAGGGAAGAGCCAATGCTCGGATGTTCGCATTTTATTTATCTCTCGTAAAATGAACAAACAAACATTCCATTTTCACACATGTTCGAAATAAAGGCTTTAATTATACCGATCGGAATATGACACAGGACAACGGATACTGTATAAATGACAACGATAGGTCTGTGTCAAATGTGATGTAAAATCGAGGTGACAACAGTAAAATGTAGAGCTCTGGTCGAAATGGAATCTGATGTCGACATGTCGAAGCCCAAGGTCGACGACAGTATCGACTGTCGGAATTAAATCTCCACAAAAAATCGGCAAAGAAAAAAATCAAAAATAGTTAACTTAGATTTTACTTCCGGTAAAAAAATGAGCATACATTGTCTATCCCGACTTCTCGCATGTACTGTATATTGATATTATAGATTAATATGCATATACGTATGTATGTTAGAGATCGAGAAGTAAATAAACAAACTTTGAATGCGAACCTCCATTGTTATTGTTCTGCTACTTACACTTCCGGTGGATCCGGCTCGTCCCGTTGCAGCACTTCGAATAGCCCAGTAGCCATGTAAGCCAAAGCCACACACAAAGTTTCGAAATACAATATCTCTGGGGAGTAATCTTTAACACGGATTGTAATTCTAGTTAAAACATTTTGTAAGAATATCAACGAAATTGAATAAAATGAATTACTGTTCCGATCAGAGGCCCCTACAGACGACTTCTCGAGATCGAAAACGAGACGAGATGTGAAACGAGAATATAAAAATAAAATGGGGGAAAACAAAATATTTAAATTCGCTGTAAATTTTGTTAGATAATGCAACCATTATCTCAACAAGAGTGATAAAAGTATGTTGGGAAATTAAGGTATGTTCTTTGTTTATCATCATATTATTTCTATGTCGTTCTATGTCGACCTTGGACGCTTATGTCGATGTTGATGTCGAAGTGACATTTCGATCGCCAATCGACGATTCCGACAAATGACCAGAGCTCTAGTAATGTCTATTTACCATTGTCATTTCCCAATGTTCCAATGCAATACATCCACCATAGTCCGTTGTCACATCTTACCATATGCCGTTATCTTTGTAAATTATTTCAAATTCAGATTCCGTTGTCATTGACAATATCGAAGACACTATATTGTGGCCATTCACGACCCCATTTGATAGAAATTTGGATTTCATATAATACTTGTACATCATCACACGAGCTTAACACAGAATTAGCGACGATAAAGTCCCATGAAAGGAGTACCGAGTGATTAAAGAGTTGAAGCGTTGGTTATGTCCGCCATTTGTGACAATGGTTAGGACTTTACCGTTGTCAGGCTATTCTGGTGTGAAACTATTCTCATTGTGATTTTTAAAATAGCATTTATACATGCTAAATTCTCCCATATTGTAATCATAAACGCAGCCTAAAGGCTGAAAGGTGGTTTGTTCTTAGGACTAAAGTTATGGAATGGGATAAGGCAAGCCCAAATCAGTTTTTTTTTATTCTTCTTCCTAGGTTGAACAACATGAAAATTATATTTCAGATTGCTCTGACAGGCCTAACATTCCTGCCTACAAAAGACTCAGCTGCCAGTAAACAAGAGCTCCTTGTTGCAAGTATGTTATTTGATTTTGATTCACATTACCCAAATAAATGTTTTTTTGCTTTTAACTCTGGATTTAGTGAAATCAAATAATCACTAGTATTAGATCTACTACAGGGGTATTTATATTTGGATATTATTGCCAAAACAACCTACAAAATGGCGCATCTTTTACACGCCAATGTTTACCTTTTGGTAGAAAAAGCATTTAGTTACACCGTTTTGGCAAAATAACCTACAAAATAGCACACCTCTTACCTGCCAATGTCTTCCTTTTGGTAGAAAGAGCAAGTTACACAGTTTTGGTGGTTGTCATACAATTATGTCTCATGTTATGCATTCAATTTGTATCTGTTGTTTTATTGATATCCATGCAAAATATTCATAAATATTCCAGTCTATTTATATTGTATATGAACTGATGAATGTGGATATATTTCAGCTTCAAATACCTAATATAATGCTATTTACATGTATTTGTTTTTTATTTATTTTAGGAGATATCTTGGAAACAGGTGCCCAGTATTCCATCGCACGTAAAGATATTGCATCATTTGAGCGATATATCGCTCAACTCAAGTGTTACTACTTGGATTACAAGTAAGAATAACATTAAACTTTAAGAGATGCTGAACCAAATATCATATTCAGATATTCACTACTTTATGATGTATTTTGAAAGAAACACATTACATGTAGTTTTCTTAATTTAATAATACTTTAAAAATACAAATTTTTCATTGTGGCTGTCTTAGATAGCATTGCAATTTAGTTTAATCAGTTGATATTTTTTCCAGAGATGATATTCCTGAATCTGCCTACAAATACCAGCTACTGGGTCTCAACTTGTTAAGACTATTAGCTCAGAATAAACTAGCTGACTTTCATACAGTAAGTGAAGTCAACTTTTTGTTCACTTTATCCCCAAAATAAGAGAATGATTATGTTGATAGTTTTAACGTTAATACATATAATAAAAGAATAACACATTATCTTTTGGCATGCAATTCATCTATTGGCCATTTTTAGAAATTATTTATTGCAATACTGTCTTAAATTCATTAGTTAGATGTTCAGTATGATTCGTCACACTTTGGCATTTCCAATTCAAGAGTTCTTGTTGTTATTTTGGTTATTCAAGTACAGTTAATCTTTCTCTTCTTGCATTTCAGGAACTTGAGTTATTACCCAGTAAGGATCTCTATGCTAATGTCTACATCAAACACCCTGTGTCTATAGAACAATACCTTATGGAGGGCAGTTATAACAAGGTAAATATGATGAAAACCTCATAACTACATATGACTGAATCCCTTTGACCCTCAGTTGCCATATATTTATTAATAACATCGAATTTTGCTTTATGAGAATATGTGACCTTAATAATGATGTTATCTGACCTCTTGCGGTGTCACATACATTGTACATGAGGGTTTAAGAACTCTGACATAACCCTGGCAGAAATAAATAAATCTATGCCCATCAATTGGTTGTATTGTGTTTGTGTAGCCAAATAATCATTTGAAACAAACCTGGCCAAATTTCAACCCCTCAATAATGAATGGTTGATTGTTCAAAGTGCAGTATAAGCTCTGGTTTGATAAAATTATCCTTTAAATTTTATTAAGGGTCAGCATGTTTTGGTGTTTTGGACATCTTTCATATTATTCCACCACCGAACTGGGATATAAAATCAAGAATACCTTGTGGTGTGATCTTTGGTTTTTTAGCTCATTTTGAAAATAGAATGACAATTAACTTAGCTCAAGTTTGACATATAGCTTCTGACACTTGCCATGAGTAAATATGTATTTCTATTTTGTATTTGATTTATAAATGATTATAACATGTTTTGCCTTACGCATTTTTAATTAACACATATTATAGGTGTTTCTGGCCAGGGGGAATGTACCAGCAGACAGCTATAACTTCTTCATGGACATTCTCCTCAACACAATCAGGTGAACACTTAAGACATAATCTGATGCTTGCTTATCAAATAAGACATTTGATTGAACTAATAATTATAGATCTATATATGGGGATCCATACTGTAAATTTCCACCATTTTTCGGTTTGAGTCTACACTAGTCATTTATAATATTTGATAATCAGATCATCAGATAATATATATTGAATTACACATTGAATCAGAAGTGTGTGGCATTCAGCTTTCCAGGTTTTACAGATTTCTCTGGGTGTCTATGGATTTTGCAAAATATTGAACTTGCACACATCGTCAATTGGTGCCATTTTCATATTGGGAGATGTGGTCCATTTTTATCTATATACACTCAGGTTCTGAGTCTTATGTCATGTTAGGTCTTTTGAACTTAAGTTCATAATAAGTTTATAATCAGAAAAATACAATTATTGAGTTTAACTGATCAGCTCCCTTTAAAGGCTAATTTAATAAATTGATTTGAACAACTCTGGAAGAGAATTACAAAGCATTAGGGGTCACACGGTTTGAGATTTCACGGTTCGGTTCGGTTATTGTATTTCACAGTTCGGTTCGGTTCTGATTGCGGTTCTCACGGGCCTCGTGAAATGAGCAAAAATATATGAAATTGATCCGAAAATCAGAAAACATACTAAGTGTGTCACAGTGTTTTATTGTATTCAGTATTGTAAGTATCCAGTTTCACACAATGTTTGTTTGTTTGTTCAGTCTTTTTTCCCTCCCTCCCTCCCAAAATATCTGTGTGTTCACTGTGTTGATCTTCTTGTTTGATGTTCAAGTTTTTTCAACACATAAAATAACTTGTCAACTGTTGGCAAAATTAGCACAGTACTTCACTAAACTGAATAAATGTTTTCTTTAGAAATATAACTTAAGTTCAACACTTTGTCAGGACTCAACATGGATCAAAGGCGAACGTAATACACAGAACGTGACTCGTTCGCAAATTCAGTGCATTCGGCGTTCGGCTTTTTACAGTATACTGTTCTATCAACCAATAGGATTGCCCGAAATGTTTAGCGTAGGTCACTTCCGGGTCAATATGCCGGTGAAATTTATCAACATTTTCCTCTTGTTTTTGTTATCTGCCGTCTATATCAGAAGATCGTCGTAAATATCAGGTATGGTTCGCATTATTGCATGATGATTAACGATTCCAGACGATGTTTAGTTAATTGGTATTACACGAAAGTTTGAAATGGAGTTTAATTCCGAGTTTACATTTTTATTTTTCTGAAGTGAAACTGAAAATGTCACGGTTCTTCAAGAACCGCGGTTTTCAAGATTGTGTGCGAGCTAACCGCCGTGGAGGTATAAACCGCGGTAACCGCAAGCCACGGTTAACCGTGTGACCCCTACAAAGCATGTATTATATCTAATATCTTTATGTTTTGGAACTGTCTCGTGTTATGTATGAACTTTTTATCTTTCAGAGATGAGATAGCTGCCTGTATAGAGAAGGCCTATGAGAGGATAGCATTCTCAGAAGCTGCACGCATGCTGTACTTTGAATCACAGAAACCAATGAGGAAATATGCTGAAGAGGTCAGTTTTACTTTTTTCTGTTTTCAGTGAGTTTTTATATATGAACTTTTATTTTTATGTGAGGGATTCTTTAATAATAGAGCATGTGTGCCACAGCTTTTGCCTTTCTTCATTTGACAGAGCATCAAAAGCACTTGAGTGACCTCTCCAGATTTTCCCTCTTTTACATCTTTGGGTAAAAGTATCCTAGTATTTTTTTGACAGGGTGCAAAAAGTTTTAACAGGGTAGCAATGGAATGTACTTTTCAGATTTTAAACATGATGTACCCAGTTGTTCTAATGCTATTGCAGGAAAGGATTTATTTATTGCATAATTTAAGCTTATTGCCATTCTTCACTTTTTCAGCGGGGTTGGATGCTTGCAAAGGACAATTTTTTCTATTATCAGAATGAGGAGAATAAAGGAGATGAGACAGTCCCTGCCATTGACATTGCAAAGCAAACTATAGAATATGCCAGAGAACTAGAAATGATTGTGTGATCATATTAATGTCATTAGAAATATATGTCAATCATTGGATTATGTTGCTGATATCAATAGAACAATTGGATTACTACTAGATAATTGCCTCAATGCAGAACTACAATATGCTTTGGATAAAACCACAAAACAGAAATCATTGGATCATTTGCATCAAAATAGATTAAGAGAACTACTTTGACACTGGATGCATATCAGCTCTATTAAATTCAACATCCAGGCTTCAGAATATATGTGTTTCAAAATCAACTGAATGTACAAGACAAAACCGTGAATGTATACATTAAAATGAGGAATTGGAATGATTCATATAACATTTCAATAGACTAGGTGCGAGTAGAAATAATCTTTATTTACGTCATTAAATATTCAAAATTCAGTCAAAGTGATGGCATATTTGAAATCTGCATGTAAAAGTACATCTAAAAATATGGTTTCGAAAATTGTTTATCAACTTTGAAAAATTTTTTTTTTTGAAAATGTGACTTCTTGTTCGGGTTGATTCCCCATAGACCCCATGATACAAAATCACAAAAAGTGAAATATCTTTTCTTGTATTGGATAGATAACATTTTCTTTTACTGGACATATTTCAGGTTGCATAACTATTAGATGCATAAGGGTTATATGAAAATTGAATCATTAAAACAGATGTGATTTAAGTTTAAGGGAACTTTCTCCTATACCCGCCATGCTATCTGACCCGAACGAGCCACCTGGTGGTGAATCTGGTAACTACCTACTCGCATCTGCGTTATTAAAATCTGATTTTTTTATTGCAACACTTTAAGTGTCATACAGTTAAACATTAAGTTTTTCAACACAGTTTTTCATCAGTTTGCCAATGTGTAAAGACCCAACAACCAATATATCAGACATGAATATTGTAATGAAAGTGCATTAAACATGTAAATAAACAAACTTATGAAGTATAAGAGGATATTGTTGTACTAATTTTGATCTTTCATTCAAACTTCAATATAATTGATGTGTAAAAACATGGAAGCATGACACATTATGTTTTGAAAATTTCCCTTCAATGAAGGCCATTTTGAAAAGTAATGGAGTGACCTAATATACCAATTCTCTTCAAAATGTCTGCCATGACTTGTCTGTGACTTGCCATTGCTGTTGTCAAATTTATATCATCTAAGAAAGAAGCTACTGTATTAAATGTAGCTGCAAATGGATGAAACAAACCCTGACATGTTGCTTTGATTTAATCATTTATTTATTCATAATTAAATTACTAAAAATAAACTTGTCAGTTTGTACACAGGGTCTGTACCAAATTAAGCTTGACAGTTGAACGTGAGGGGTGAGATACAACACGAGGATGATGCAATTTGAGCAAACTAATGTTTTCAATATTTTAGAAAGATCTGGTCTAGTTTCTAGATATTTTTATCTGTAATCCTAGACAGTGGACTTGACATACCCTGAGTCTAGTTAAAAACTACGCAATTGAACGAATGCAAAGGGTAGATTTGACAGTGAATTCATAGCTAAACCTACACAAACTCTCAATGAAGTAGAACACGCGGGTACATTTACCTGAGATACAGTATTACGCAAATTCATAAATCCTTGTGTTCAACCTTATCGTTACAGTGCATTAAACCGTATACTACATTGGGACTTTGTGTAGGTTTAACTATGAAATTCACTGTCAAGTTCACTCTAGGACAGACATTTACATTTAAAAATATCTAGAAACTAGACCGGATCTTTCTGAAAAGATGAAAACATCAGTTTCCTCGAATTTCATCACCCTTGTGTTGTACTTTACCCCACACATCACAAAATCAGTAATGTATGATGGACTAAGAAAAGCACTATTTGCCTCGGTTCCCCATGCTGCTTGCCAATTTTTCTCATCGAACTTTTCAGTAATTAAAGTTCCAAAATACATTCACAATGATGTGGTCCTTTATCAGCTAAACAACACTTCTTACTTTAAAGCAGCCACTTCATGTCCATATTGAATATTCTGAAATTGTCACAATGGTACAATGGTAGTCCAAATCCTCACTGTATTTTACCTGTCTTGATTGCTTGTTTTTGCTTTCACAACCTTTCTTGTTAAGTAAATGTATAGCCTGAAAAGAAATTCCACTTCATCATTCAAAATTCTGTCAATATTGTACATGAACACATTTAATACCTGTTTTTGACAACCCTTGATGTTTTTAATTGCACATTGTGATTCATGTTTATTTATTTATACAGTGTACATCAATTGCTTGATTCTGACTTTTCGTAAGAGGCACTGATTTGTTGATGGTATGACAAAATGAATATTAAGCATACATTTATTTATTTTTATTTTGTTGTAAGAAATTTCCCCAAATTGCTACTTGGTTCAAATACAATCAAATTCAGATTACAGTAAAACCTATCTTAGTGGAACACATTCGGTGGAACACATTCGGTACCTTTAAAAAAAGGTTCCATTTTCGAGGTGTTTCACAATATAGAGGTTCATTTTCCATAGTCAATTGGTCTTGAGACTCAAAGTGTTCCACTTACAAAGGTGTTCCACTTTACAGGTTTCATTGTATATTATTATATCAGGTATTGCACTCAAAATCATTCAATATCTGTATATTATTACATCATTGCTAGAAATTGTGTGATTTGATTGGCTGATTCATTACCATGTGATCAAAAATACCATAGCGTACATGCATTTTGAAAAAAACTTGAGTAATTGGATTCCTATTCTACATATCCATTCTGGAAAAAATCACAATGAAAATTATTGAAACTAACTGATTGTCTTGGCTCCCTTTAAGAATTTATAAAATACATGTTATTGCCAAAAGAACAATTTGTTCCCTTGAAATCTGAAAACATATGTTCCCATCAATTGGAAAAATGAAATGTTTTGGGAAATTTCATCTAAATTATTAATATTTCAAAAGCTATAAAAACAACAACAATATTCACATGGAAAACAACAATATCTACTTTTATTATATTATTGCTAGAAATTGTGTGATTTGATTGGCTGATTCATTACCATGTGATCAAAACACCATAGCGTATTTCACAGCTCCCTCAATTTTTGAATAGTAAAAGACGTATTGCCTGGCGTAAAGTGTGCTATACAATGATACTTGTACTAATTATGTTAACTTATGGGTTTATGATATATTAAAACAAATATTTCATTCTATGTTCAGGCAATGCCTGTCGCATTTTCAATGATTTTTGCAGCATGTATTTCCCTCACCCTACGGGCTGCGGGCAAAAATCATTGAAAGATGAACAGGTACATTAGGGTGGTCCAAAATATGGCGAAAAACCAACTTTCTTTCGGATCATCTTCCTCATTTGACTTACTGTTGTCCATGACCTAAAACACATGCACACCAAATTTTGAGACCCAAATCCCATGGGAAATTTACCCACGCTTCGACTGAAAATTCGGTTATTTCATGATTTTTTGCTATTTTCGATAAATTGCCATCTCCTTTTTCCTGGTATAAAATGTTTCTATTTTTTCATTATAAACATTTTTGTAGGACTCTTTATTACTTAATAATACTAGGAGCCCAAACATCAAATTTTGAGACCCCAATCCCATGTGAAATTTACCCATGCTTTGACTGAAAAATTGTGATTTTCACAGTTTTGTCCGATTTTCAATAGATTACTGTCTCCATTTTCCTGGTATAATATGTTTCTATTTTTTCATAATAAATATTTTTGGATGACTCTTTATTACTTCATAATACTAGGAACCCATACACCAAATTTTGAGACCCAAATCCCATGGGAAATTTACCAATGGTTTGACTGAAAAATTGTGATTTTCACATTTTTTCCGATTTTCAATAAATTGCTGTCTCCATTTTCCTGGTACGATATGTTTTTATAATAAACATTTTTGAGGACTCTTTATTACTTCATAATACTAAAAACCCATACACCAAATATCCACCAAATTTTGAGACCCAAATCCAATGAGAACGTTACACATGCTTTGACTGAAAACTGGTGCTTATGATAGCTTATGATGTCTGTTTTAGGGGCATAATATGTTAATAAACATTATGGTAATTCCTTCTTAATCCAAAAAACACCTAAATATCAAGACTTTAAGTCTTATTGAAAGGCGACAAATTCAGTAGTTTGGGGAAAATTTAGGATCTTTTACTTGTACATTTATATACTGTGGTTAATATTAAGAAGTGATGACTCGACAGCAACTCAAATGCCTTGAAGATTTGGTTTGTTGGTTTCAGTAGGGATACATCACAGGACTTTGTTTGGATTTGTGTGAGATGTCATATTCTTTCTCACATTTTCTCACAAATCTGATTTTCTTTGGAGAAATTATTTTTTGATTGATCAATGTATCAATGGCATGGTCTCTGTTGTAACCAGTAAGCCTGTACCAAATCTTCAAGGGATTCGAGCTTCCACTGAGCTTTGTCATTTCTCTGAAAATGTTCATGCCCTGAAAGTACACAATGTAGAAGATAGGAAGAGCAATGAGAAACACTTAAGGTAATTCTGTATGTTCAGAAATTTTAAGTGGAGTCCAATGTTATTTCTGGAACTCATTCCATACTTGGTCAGCTCTTTCAATTTTACTCTGAGTTCAAATATGTATTTAGATTATTAGTTGATGGTTAGTAATTTTCTATAATGTACTATGTGCTATGTTTATACACTGTTTGTGCATCTGAATGGAATGAGTTATGTGTTCCTGAAAAAACACGGGGCTCCAATTAGGAAGCCATTAAAACTGAAAATAAGGAATTACCTTAAAGTACTATATAACCATCTTTCATGATGTAACGTATGTAAGGCCAAACAGGATAATTAAGACAACGTGTAATACAATTTATTACAAATTGCACATCACACAACAATGATATGGTGCTCTAAACGACAAAAATCAAAAGTATATGATCAAAGCAAACGTGAATTTCCCATGGGGTTCAGGTCTAAACACTTGGTACATATTAAATGTATGGGTTCCTAGTATTAAGAACGTATTAATGTCCTCCTAAAATGTTTAAAAACTAAATGTAAGATTAATGTTGATCTATTGAAAATAAGAGAAAATTCGCAGAAAATCACAAATTTTTGGTTGAAGCATGAATTAATTTCTCATGGGGCCAGGGTCTCAAAATTTGGTGCATATTTGGGGTATGGGTTCCTCATATTATGAAGTAATAAAGAGTCCTCCCAAAATATTTATTATAAAAAATAGAAACATATATACCAGGAAAATAGAGATGTATTGTATTGTATTTGAAATAACCCAATTTTTCAATCGAAGCGTGGGTAAATTTCCCATGGGATTTGGGTCTCAAAATTTGATGTATGGGTTCCTAAGTATTATGAAGTAATAAATAGTCATCCAAAAATATTTATTATGAAAAGACATCTACCATTTTATACCAGGAAAATGGAGATTGCAATTTATCGAAAATAGCAAAAAATCATGAAATAACCGAATTTTTCAGTCGAAGCGTGGGTAAATTTCCCATGGGATTTGGGTCTCAACATTTGGTGTATGGGTTCCTAGTATTATGAAGTAATAAAGAGTCCTACAAAAATGTTTATTATGAAAAAATGGAAACATATTATACCAGGAAAAGGGAGATGACAATTTATCGAAAATAGCAAAAAAATCATGAAATAACCAAATTTTCAGTCGAAGCGTGGGTAAATTTCCCATGTGATTTGGGTCTTAAAATTTGGTGTGCAGGGGTTTTAGGTCATGGACAACAGTAAGTGAAATGAGGAAGATGATCTGAAACAAAGTTGGTTTTTCGCCATATTTTGGACCACCCTAAGGTACATGTATTGCCCTCCATAGAATGAAATATTTGGTTAATCTTGCTTCAGAGTAGGTGTAACTTAAGGAATTAATTGCTGCATACTTACACGGTGAGTAGAAGTCCTATGAAAACCATACTGGTCTCAATGATGAATACGAAGCCTCGCATGAAGTTCAATGTGTGCTGATATATGGGGTTGAAGATACTTGAGCCAACCAGAACACTGAGTGTCTCCATACAAGCTATACTTGCAAACAGGCTCCCTGCAAATGGAAGAATCAAACATTCACATAACACATTCACATGATATGTATACTTTTTTCAAATGAGATTATTCTTTATGCAAATAATAGTATAATTCAAGCTTGTTCTACTTCATATAATGATCCTTATATTATACATAATTTTGCTATGTTGCTCAACCACGGTGCAGAACTCAAGCTGCATGCCAACTAGACATGTTCTTAACACCTACAAATTGCATAGTTATTTCAAAATAGCAGGCAGGGAGGACACAGCTCCCAAAAGGATCCAAAATACTGGGAATATATGGTCAGTTTTGTTCATTATTCAGTATCATTATGTTGAGGCAAAGTTACTTTACAGATACCACTCAAATACTTTGTGATTTCTGTCTAAAATCGTTTTTTTTAACCTTTTATCTCATGATCTTCTGATTAAATATGAAATATTTTGTATTGCATGTGTACATGAGAACTAACTGGGTGAAAATTTATGTATGAAACAAAACTCAAGTATTTTCCATTTCTGTGTCAGTCCACGAGAAAATCTTTGACAAAAATGTTATTAATTTGCTTGTTTTAAAAACTGCATTCAGTTGCACCTTTTGCACATAGTTTTTGCTATTAAGGGTAGAATCATATACTAGCCACTGAATGAATGCATCAAACAAGAAAACAATGCAGTATACTGCAGTATCTTTATGAAAGAAAATTTCCTTCTTATCATGAAAGAAATTGTCTTTAGTTCAATTATCATACTGTAAGGGTATTTTACAACACAACAGGAAAGGATCTTGTTAGAGAAAGAAATGAAACTAGTGTTACCTTGCATCTTTGGAAGTATGAGTTTGGACATGATAGAGCGAACCATGGGAATAATCAGAGATGCAAACACACCAACTGCTGGACCTAAAACATATAAGAAAACATTTATACAGTAAAACATGTCTAAGTGAAACAACTTTAGTACCTCTAAAAGTGTTTCACTTGGGAAGTGTTCCATTTATAGAGGTTCATTTAACATTAGGTCTTGGGACTCTAGAAGTGTTCCACTTTACAGGTTTCACGATATAAACTTTCACCCGTTGAAGGTGATGTAAAGTTTTGACATCAGTGAGTCATTTGTCACCATAACCATATAATTGCATTTCATAGAAATTACTAAATAAGTTAGCACATTGTAAAAATACAGTAGTTTGATATGCATATAGTGTTGCTTTCATTTCGCAAGAAAGTGTAAATTATTGTACATGTGCGAGATTTCCTAATCAATAACTTTAAAGCCTAAGTTCATGTAAGCCCTCACAATGTAAATCAAAGTTATATATGTTTCATTCACGTGATTCATTTTTGTGTCCCCCTGTTGTACAAGATTCAGATAGTTAATATGTCTTTCGTTGATTTACAATAGTAAACTACACTCACCGATGAACAATACAATATTATTGGTGGCGAATGCGGTGATGAGGAGATAACCAATGAAGCTGAAGCAACCCAGAATGACAAGTCCAGTGTCTTGAAGCCATCTAGAGAACAACTTGACAGCAATGACGGAGCCAACGTATCTGACGATCAACCATATGGAGCTGTAAATCCCCAACATGACTGGGCCCAGACACAAGGGGGTGTTAAGGAGGTACAAGGTGACCACGCTGGAGGAAATAAGGGGCATACCACAAATGAACAACACTATGAGAAGCAAGATGAGTCGTACTTGACGATATTTTTCACCACCGGTCCTGTAGACTTTAGCGACGTTAGTAAAATGGGAGCAGGATACAATGGGTATATCAGGATTTCTTGTTACAGTCTCTGGTACAAAACAGCTGACGTACAATAGATTGAGAGTTTGTAGGCTAGTACATAGGATATATGGATAGAAGAATCCTTGAGCTTTAATCCAGTAGCCAACACCAAGACTGGCCATAGCTCCAGATATGCCGATCATAGAGTCAAGGACGGTAATCCTGAAGGAACGTTGTTTATGTGTCGTTATATCAATAAGATATGAAAAGCAGGCCATCAAGGCAGCTCCTATACTGCCACTGAGGCCTTCAAATACTGCAGCCAGAAACGTCCAATATGGGTGCAATTCAAAATGAATAATTACCAAAAATGTGATACTTCGGAGTACGTTTCCACAAATAGGAACAAGCATTGCTATTTTACGTCCCAAATTATCACTAAGGGCTCCGAAGAAGATAGTTGTGAACAGAGCAGGCACGGTTTGAACCAGAGTAAAATACAATAGAAACATAGATGACTCTGCTTGCACAGTTTGTAGTAGTATATAAGCCGGGTCACTCTTATTCACGAGACCCCCACATTCGCTAGCATTTCCTGCGTTGTACTCTCCCATTGTATAGTTATGTAACTGGCCAACTTTGTAATAGAGATACTGCTCCGTGAGTGGTATCATAGGCACATACGCCATGAAGTACAGTAACACGACAGGCTCTATTATAATTAGACGTCTAGGCTTAGTGAGGCTGGTAGAAGCATCATTGTCATCCTCTGGCAGCACTAACGGTTTTCTTTCTCCCAATTCCTCCATTCTTAAATGCTTGAACTTGGAGAATGGTGGAGTCTGCAGCACCTGGAATACAAAATTTACACCAGGTGTTATAGCGCAATAACCTCAGCTCTCTAATTATAGTTTTAGACTATTTTCTTTTAAAATTTCAATTCATTTATGCAGATGGCCTTCAAAGCATTTTCTTTTTACAAAACTTACTCTATAGCTAAAAACTTTCACTTCATAAAATTCATGTTTTGCATCAGATATTTGAAAACTTTTGTCTGGCCTATACACTATTGAGTCACGTGAAATAGTTTCAATCTAGGTTGATCAAGGCTAAATAAATAAAATAATGAGTATAAAAATACCCCCTTGCATATTTTCAAATGTATAATATATAAGTTAAAATGCAGCATTTATTGAAAATATACTGGCAAAATTCCTGCATTGACATTTTGTTTATTTATGCACATAAATATATATATATACATGTACATGTAGATATGTATCCACATTTTGTGGATTTTTTCTTGGAAGAATACTCTCCCATCTCTTTATTTATTAAATAAATTAAAGCAAAACATAGAGTTTTATTACTTTAGCCTTGATAAAAGTAAAATTTAGACCCAGTTATTGAAGTATTCTGATATGACTGACTCATGTGACTGTCATTTATTTGTTTGGACACAGATAAATAATCTTAATGGATTATATGTTAAGAATCATACATCTGAACTAGTGTCTATTTTAACACTGGTGTATGAACTTTGAAGACTAGATATCTCTCTATTTCCTTTAACTAGACTGTAAGCCATTCTGTAGAAGTGCTCTACAAATGCAACCTTCCTTACATGAAAGGTTACACATTCCAACCTATTTCAAACCATCTGTATGATTATACTGGACACTTTCTGGGTAGTTGGACTTTCTATAGGGGTGGCAGACGGCCCTCAGACCAATTAATACCCCTACCCCCAAAAAACCATGGGGGTACTTTAATACCACCCAATAAAAAGAATACTAATGCATGTCAGATATTCATTGTTTTATATTGGGTAGGGCATGTTATGGTTAATAAGTGCCAGAAATTTCCAATCTCTAACTTATATGGTTACCATAGAAACAGTATTTATATCTCGAAATATTCTCAATTTGACCCCCTCCCAAATGTGTCCCTTTGTACTCTAAGTGAAATATTTGCAAATCTGTTTGGATTTTATGGCTGCTACTTTGTCAAAATGTGTAATATTATATCTATATTAACATTAAAACACTTAAAAGTTGATATAATGATCCTATAAATCAATAATATTTATCAAATATAGTCACACATAGCTGCTTTAGGGAAAAGTGGGCGTGGCACTTTTTGGTACTTGTGCGCTTGTTGCAGCATTAAATGAAAAATGCAGATTACACTAACAATAATTGACATTTAATTAGCATCTACTAATGTTGTGTAACATTGTAATATGTTCATTATCATTATTAGACACTTTAAATATTTTATACATGTGTTATCCTGACCCTTCCCTATCATAGGTCATCAATGGTCAAATGAACTTTTAGTTTAAGTCTTATAGGGTCCTCGGTCTTTTAAGCCTGTCAAGAGTCAAGTCTTACTTATTCATTGACTTGTTCCTAGAATATGAATGGATACGTTCAAGTCATCTAGAGCTATTCAAGTCATCTATGCTTGTTCAACAATGTTCAATATTTAGAACCATTTTACCATGTTTACTGCAATTGAAAAGTAATAAACAGTTCAATCCTTTTGGTATGATATTTAATGCTAGTGTGAATTGCATAACATTTATGATTAAACTTAAATGAACTAATTTAACTCTGGCTATTAACCCTTCCCTAGTATCCTTCACATAACCTCTAAATCATCTTCATATCCATGGCCTAAATGGGGAAGGAGGGAGGAGTTACAAATAGTGACCGAGGATAATTTGAATCAAAGCAAGAAGACGTAATACTCAAAACTAGAAAGATTGGAGACCATTTATACCCTTCCTAATATTTTGCCTAATACATAACACTAAAATCTATTTTGACACTTCTTTTATCAATACCTCAACATCAGTCAATGCATGATCTATCCAATGGATTAAAGATTATACTTGATTCTAATATGGCAAAATTTATTTTTCGTATGAATTGCATAGAGCATCATTTTGCAGTTATAATAAAATGCATCCATTCATTCATTGGCTCATAGTTAACAAAAAAGCTATTCTCTGGAAGGTACAGTATAATTTCTATTAGTATTTAGCAAAATAATTGCAAACAATTTACACATGTTTCTGATATGCTGTATTTTCAATGATTCCTAGATCCTTCAATAGTGGTTCGGTATATGTTTTTGAAATACTTCATATAATTCCTAAACAAATCTGTTTAGTGTATGCAATCAAAAAAAGTAGATACATTTGTCCCATACTTGGATATGTTTCAGATACATATAGCAGGTTTATAAATACTTATATTTTCATCAGCGGGCAGATATAGCTAATGTCCCTGCCTGAGAGGGCAGATATATTACACCTGCCCACTAAGTCATAATCATCATTTGTGTATGATTAGCAATGAGGGAAGTAGCATACTTAATACGTTAATAATCAATGATTCGAGAATATGTGGATGAATACTTAAAAAACAGGAGAATCCTCCTAAGGCCAAGAAAACAAAATTAGTCATGAATACATTTATGTGGTTGTATTCTTTCTAACTCTGGCCAATTGAACAATGTGAACCAGATAAGAAAGATTGATATGGGATAAACAGATAATCCTATAGTCAGTTCATGCTATTAGGATTATCCCTTGGCGAATATAATATATTTTCCCCCAGGACCTAAGGCCTTTGGCCAATAGAAAATATCTTCCCTCGGGACCTACGACCCTCGGCCAGATATATTATATTGGCCTCGGGATAATTCTAATACGCTGAACCTCATAGAGGATAATCTCTATTCGTCTTCATCAATTATTATTATACATATAAATCGGGATATAAATATAACCTAAAGTAAGAAATCACATTCTCTAACCAGTAATATTTAAATTTAAAATTGGTAAATGATGATTATGTCACAATAGAATTGATGACCATGATTTATTTGAGAATAAAACAGACAAAACAAAGGCTAACAAAAATCTTAAATATTTAAATATTTTAAAATTGCTTGTTTTTCATCATTATTACTTTGATCTCCAAACCCCAAAATTTGAGTGTTACAAATTGTTTCAAGTTAAAGTATGCCTAATTTCATGAGCAAACTAGTAATCTTGTTGGATATTTTTCCTCGACAATGCCTTATCTAATTCATCGATATACAAACTACTGGATTCAAAATGCTATTTTACAGGATGGGTGTTCATGAAAGTAACACTAAACATCAATTTTGTCATAAACTGAACAATGCAGCTAATTGATTCTCCCATCTAAGCAACAGAGCCTCTTTTAATATATTGTAATTTCAAAATTGCCTCTAATGAAGTTCTTCAATCAAATCTAAAATGGACACAACTGGTAATATCTTTATACCATATGAGTAGAATGTTTGTTTCTTTCAAATTCATGCTTTCGTTAGAAACATGGATATCACTAATTCATAGTTTTGATTTATACTTCAAATGGTGTGCATTATATATGAGGTTTAATTAATGGGAAGTTTTTAATACAGGGAAATACAATATATCCGAGGGAAATACAATATACCTCCCCGAGGGGTTGAGGGTAGAATATTGTATTTCCCAAGGGTTATACCTTGTAACCAAAATTATTTATCATATACGGAAATATGAGAAATTGCACAGAATGAAATTCCTGCAGGGGATTACTGAGCGGGTGATAAACCTGGCGATACATAGAGATTATCCTATATGAGGTTCAGGATATTGGAACTATCCCGATTCAAATATAATATATCTGCCCAAGGGCGATTATGACGGAGTGGGCAGATATACTATATCTGCCCGCTCGCAACAGAATGTAAAGCTATATCTGCCCGCTGATGAAAATATAAGTTTTTACAAACCTATTTTATGTACCTGAAACACGACCAAGTATGGGATAAAGCGGGATATGCAGTACATGTATATCCCCACTCACCTAAGGTATCAATTATATTCATGCATTTTATTTACCTATAACACTAAGTATAGGATAAATAACTTTTACTGACAAATTGTATAAGTGCATGATTACATGAGTCACAACTACTCACTAAAAGGTTAACTTATTGCATGAAGAAATGTAATTCTTCATGAAGATTTCAAATATGATATCACTTATTTGACTGAATTTTGAATTTTTAATGATGTAAAGCAAAATTATTTCTACTTGCATCTAAATCTATTTCATTGTATAAGTCAACAATTAATAAGGCATATACATATCACTGGCTTCCTTGATTCATTTAGATTCCTTGCACTTTTAAAATCATCAATAATTCATATAGGGTTGAACTATCGAATAATGAAAACATTGCAAATGATGTGATCGAAATTTTTATACTATTTAGCTTGGAAATATTGCTGATATAGTTTTAATGTGATTTTAGGAGATTAAATGTTCTACTGAGGAACTTTGATTATGTTCAATTTTCTATGATCTTTAACTTTCTGAAAAAGGTCACACTAAATTCTCATTGAGACGATGTTAAAAATCTTAATGTTGACTTCCTAAATGTTGAATTCTTTTGATTGTCATGAATTTAAGGTTCACACAAAATCTGAAGGTCATATAGTTTCAAACACAATCTGAATCTCATTAAGTTTGGTGCGAAAGCAGTTTTACTTTAATCCAAAATAACAAATATGGTAAATCAATATGTGTCTATGGTAGATGCTAGCGTGTAGTCCAACCAGCATAAGTGCTGCCATCTACCTATCCATTCATCAGTTTAGCACCTAATAAGGTCAGTACTCATGGTAAAGCTTTTGTACCTTGTCTATGGTAAAAATAAATCAAACAGAAATGTTAACTTTACACGATTGGTAATGCCCACCTTGAAGGGTGTAGGGATAAAGGGAAGGGTCAGGATAACACTTATATAAAATATTTAAAGTGTCTAATAATGATAATGAACATATTACAATGTTACACAACATAAGTAGATGCTAATTAAATGTCAATTGTTGTTAGTATAATATGTATTTTTCATTTAATGCTGCAACAAGTACACGCGTACCAAAAAGTGCCACGCCCACTTTTCCCTAAAAGCAGCTATATGTGACTATATTTGATAATATTATTGATTTATAGGATCATTATGAACACTTTTCAGTGTTTAAATGTTAAAATATACATATTGATACAATTTTTGACAAAGTAGCAGCCATAAAATCCAAACAGATTTGCAAATATTTCACTTTGAGAACAAAGGGACATATTTGGGAGGGGGTCAAATTGAGAATATTTCGAGATATAAATACTGTTTCTATGGTAACCATATAAGTTAGAGATTGGAAATTTTTGGCACTTACTAACCATAACATGCCCTACCCAATATAAAACAATGAATATCTGGCATGCATTAGTATTCTTTTTATTGGCTGGTATTAAAGTACCCCCATGGTTTTTTGGGGGTAGGGGTATAAATTGGTCCGAGGGCCGTCTGCCACCCCTATAGAAAGTCCAACTACCCAGAAAGTGTCTAGTATCATCATACAGATGGTTTGAAATAGGTTGGAATGTGTAACCTTTCATGTAAGGAAGGAGTTACAATTATCAGAGTGGGGCGTAGTCTAAACCATAGAACAATCTTTACATTTCAGTTTACTGTACACATGATTACTTCATTAAAACATACCGCATACAGTGTAGCTTTGTGTTCTGTGACAATTTTTTTTGTATGGCCCACTTCTTTTGACAAATAAAACAAAATTGATTCAATTTGAATGAGTCAACTTATAACCATTACAAAGGACAGACTTTGCAAAAAAACATGAAATGAATTAAAATAAATAGTACCATGGGTACTGGGCTCACATGGTGTTGCTCAAAAGAGAATGATGGCTATAATGGCAGAAAATTGATGTAATTTTTGCCGATTTTTTATAACGAAATTATTTCATACAACTACTCTTTACAGTGACATGGCTTTTTACAATGCGGGACACGTGAAATTATTTGTAAAGCTAGGAAATGGGCCAAAAGTGAATTCTGCGAGACAAAAATGGCGACCATTTTGAAAATAGGCAAGCTTTTGAACCAGGAGTCATAGAGGAGTTTTCTGTATTGATGTTGAACAAAAATAACTTAAAGCGGAAATCGTATCGACAGAGGTTTTAAGGCAAATGGTCCAAAAGTGGATTTCGCGAGACAGATGGACATATCAATGTTAACTGAAATAGCTGAAAATAGAAAAACAGATAGAACTTTTTGCTGATTTTTTGTAACAAAATTATTTCATACAACTACTCTTTACAGTGACATGGGTTTTTACAATGAAGGACACCTGAAATTATTTGTAAAGCTAGGAAATGGGCCGAAAGTGAATTCTGCGAGACAAAAATGGCGACCATTTTGAAAATGGGCGAGCTTTTGAACCAGGAGTCATAAGGGAGTTTTCTGTATTGATGTTGAACAAAAATTACTTAAAACAGGAATCCTATCAACACAGGTTTTAAAGCAAATGGTCCAAAAGTGGATTTCGAAAAACAAAAATGGTGGCCATTTTGAAAATAGGCGAGGTTTTGAACCAGGAGTCAAAGGGGGGTTTTCTATATTGATGTTGAACAGAAATAACTTAAAATGGGAATCCTATTGACAGAGGTTTCAAAACTGGCCAATTGTTGACAGATGGACAGACGGACAGACAGACAGACAGACGGACAAGTGAGTGATTGCAATAGCTCACCATGTGAGCTAAAAATAGTTACTATTAGGATTACTATGTTTCTTAAATAAAGACTTTCATTTCAATTTCATAATAATTATGTTTTCTTCAGAAATGATTCAGGTAAACAAGCACAAGAATATATTTGATGACTTTGCTACAAAATAAGCCCAGTAAAATCTGTCTAAGTGAAACAATTTTGGTACCTCAAAAAAGTGGTCCACTTACAGAGTTGTTCCACTTCTAGAGATGTTCAACTTCACAGGTTTCACTGTATTTGAGAACATCTTTGTAAAACAACCCACTGGCGGATCTATGGGGGGGGGGCCTGGGGGGGGTGGGCACAGAAAAAAACAGACAGCCCAGCCCCCCCCCTTGGGTGGGCCCAGAAAAAAAATTGGTCACAAAAAAGGCCTGAAGGCCCCAAAAAGTGGGCCTTTTTGGTCATTACTTGGCCTTGTAAAATACTCTTATATATTGATCTCACTTTGTTTCTAGGTATCTTCAAGATAGGCAAGTATTTGGACATTACATGAATCATATCAGTAAAAGAAATTGATTGATTTCATCAGCAAGGTCATTAATACATAACTGGAACAAAAACAGGCCCTAAAATAGATCTTATGATGTACAGTAGTTTTCATTGGAGCTTACTGATCCATTTCACACAATTACAACTCGAATACCAATATCATTTAAATTGAAGTCTTGGTTTAGTCTTAATGGACCCTAATTAATTGTCAGTCATAAAATGAGTACTCATTCACCTCAAAGTTCAGACATGCACCTGAAAGTTCAAACAAAATATGATGAATACATTATAGTGGCTATGTATTTTACACAAGGCCGGAATACAGAGATGGCCTTGGAGGAGTACCCCCATAAATATGGGCCAGATTTGCATTTTGAGAGTTTCTATAGACAAAAAGCATATCTTGCTCACATTTATGTGGGGGGGGGGGGGGTAAACTAAAAAAGTTTCACAAAGAGTTTCCTCACCTGAATAATGACAGGTCCCAGGCTGCATGGTTCGATCTGATCCATACATTATGCTTGGCCAAATGTTCTTAGCATGCCAGGTTGTTGGCTGCAGTTGAGTCCGGAGTGACATCGTTCTTGTTCTCGTAGTGATTCAAAACTACGGTCCATACCTGTTGTGTCAAGCTCACCATATTGAGCATGCCAGACATGCATCTAGAAAACATGTATAAGGGGCCTCAGTCCATAATATGGGTCTTTAACATGTCCACACCTACAAATATGAAAGTCATAAGCACTAGCCCAATGGCACTATAGGGTACATTCTCTTTAAGGAGCTATTTTATCCAATACAATTAAAAGGAGGAAATACCTCAGAATCCCTAAATGAACCTATCCCCATACAACTGTAAGGATGTTCCTCTAGACGATATAAATACATTTCTGGAGGTTCATCTATTAATTTTGGAAATACTTTTTGTAGTCTATAAATTGCTGTACTCCCCATAGGCTATGATAAGCAAAGAAGTGCGAAATAATGTTTTCCATTGAAAAGTGGGCGTTGCCCACATTGTAATCCAATGAGACGGAAAGAATGGCCGACGGACCAGTTTTAACATTATCCGATTTTGTTGGAAAAGAAAAAAAATAAGTGAACTACTGGCACCATTTGTAACCCCATGTTGAAGGGCCATTATGAACAATATTCTTGAAAATGAAACACCCTACGCCCCCCCCCCCCCCCCTATAGCCTTGTAGAAGGCTTTAGCATTTGTTGAGTTTTTAAATTTGGATATTTATTTCCAAATTTTAAAAATCAATAAATGCTAAAGCCTTCTACAAGGCCAGGGGCGGATCCAGGATTTTGTGTTGGGGGGGCGTGTGATAATAACTGTGAGCGAAGAGTCAAAATTTGTAAAAAGCGATGAGGCAAAACACAAATTTTCCAACTTTTTAGGGGGGGGGGGCTGCGCCCCCAGTCTAGATCCGCTGGTGAAGGCTACCCCCTTAGGGCTACTTGGGTTAAAATAAGAGAAATTAAACAAGCAAAATAAACCAAGTGTACAGTATAGACTCTACAAAAAGTACCTGCTTATAATTGTAGTTCCCTCTTTACATGTTTACAGTATACAATTACATTACAAAATCAAAAATGTGATTTATAAAATTATATACAGTTTATAAGTAAAATACAGTTTATAGGCATTGCTAGATATAGTCTCATCATCGCTAGATGACTTTATCGTGTGAAATCGTGTATGTGACAATATTTAATTCAAATAAAGTGAAACTTCAAAATTCAATCAATTTACTTTTCTCAGCAAGAACATGTAATTCATTTCGATGTAGCGAAATATTTTCATGGACCGTGATATCTCATTTGTTTTATAAACGTATATTTGGATAATCTGAACTAAAAAACATTTTTTAAAATTAGAATTAATTAATTTTATTGTAATTTTGGTAAGAAAAACCTCTAAAACATGTAGATTTCATTATGTCTTCGTAGCACAGTTAAAAAATTAAACCATGTCATGACACATTTTTGTTGACAATAAATTGATAAAATTATTGACCTAGGATCTTTCAACAGTTTCACGATCATTTTAAGATGTCATCTACTCCGCGTGGTTTAACTGATGATGAAGTTGCCCAAGCATGCAAGGAACCTGATGCAGTGACGCAAGTATGTTTTATTTATATTTTTGTGAACTCCCTCAGCTCAAGTTCTTCATTCGATGAATATCAATATGAATCACTGGGTATTTGGGGAAGAAGACTTCAAGTGGTTGGTGTTTACCTGAGGCGTGCTTGTCGGCTGTTCCACAATTTGTGTATTTTTTACGGGATGGGAGTAAATCCTATACGGCATATGGTATACATGTATTATTGATGTTTGACCAATCAGATTTCAGCATTTGGTTCAGCCCTTGTCAGAGAAATATTCACTCGCTTCGCTCGTCCATTTTTTACGCATTTCCTGAAGAAATTGAAGTCACGCCATTTTTATGCGAAATACGCATTCTGATTATTGTCAAGCAAAAATATTTCCGGAGAAGAACATCAAAAAAGCAAACGCTGATACATCAAAATATGAACGCCAAAAAACAAACAAATGTGTCACGCATTTTCTGCGAAATGTTTCTTGCTGAACACAAACGTAGCGAGCTCGAAATTTTTGAGGTGACCAAACTTTGGTTATGTTCTGTCCCGATATTCTGTATTGGCACTCGACTTCGTCTCGTTCCAATACGGAATCTCTCGAGCAGAATATATCCTGTATTGCACTTCAAATCAATCAATAACTTATATTATTCAATAATCACACATCAATTTGATGCTTTATTCCATGTTCACACATTTCTTGCATCTTTATCTTGATATTAAAACGTTTCGAGCCGGGATTCTATTACAGATTTTGGACCTTAGTGTGGAGATTGACTGGTTGGTGGTTAGTGGGGGGTCGGTGTAAGTTTTTTTCCATATACCCTTCAAATCAGCATATTTGTTTTTTCACAATATATGGACTCACCATGAGTGCCCACCTTAAAACAATGTCATTTTTTGTTTGATGGTCGGCATTCATCAGTCTATGTCTGTAACAGTTTGCAAGGTGGTGACTTTTTGCCTGTTAATGCCTCATTATCCTAACGAACGAAGTTCGGTAGGGATATAGTGAAGCCCTCCATCCGTCAGTCAGTCAGTCAGTCCGTCCGTCCGTCCGGAATATAACTCAAATATTGGTTAACCGATTTTGTTCATATTTTGTGGAAAGATGTATATTGATGAATATTTTTACGCAAAAAAAATTTTTTTAAGATGGCCGCCACTTTAAAAATGACAGGACTTTTTCGCAAAAATCATAAATTTTTCATTCTAAACCAAAGTAATTAATATTATTGTTTAAAATTTTGGTAGTATATTCACAACATCTATCTATTTCACATATATACTGTGTTTTTCATCCTGACCCCCAGGGGCCGTGTATGGGGGGGTCAAGAAAACAGAAATTTTCGCTAATTTTTAGATCTTTCTGAAGTATAGCTTTATTATACTCAAATGAGAGGCAATTAAGAGTAGATTGCAAATATTGTATCTTTTTTCTGATTAGAGCCTCGTATAATTCAAAATGGCCGTCTAATGTACGATTTCGCAATAATTTTTCGATCCCTTCAAATTATGGCCATATTATACTCAAATTGAAGGAATTTTGGAGTAGATCACAATTATGGTATTATTTTTCAGATTTGTACCTCAGAAAATTCAAAATGGCTGCTTTGCTGGAATTTGCAATTCTAAAATCTAAATTTTTCAATTTTAACCAAAGTAATGAGTATAATTGATTGGAATTCGGTAATTGATATTTTGTTTGTTGGGATTTGCTACTCTGTGGAGTTGCCGTTATCTAGTTTAATTTTTGTTTTCTGTCATGTTGCAGCCCTACTTCTTCCAACAGACAATGTACCGGGTGAAAGATCCAAAGAAATCATTGGAATTCTACACCAATGTCTTGGGAATGAGGTACAAAAAGCAACATAACCTACAACTCATCACTTAGTTATTTTTAATTCAGAGAACAATCCAATTGTGTTAAAGTAATAAATAAATCCGTACTTCAAAATGTGTAATAATATTGATCATTTTTTGGTGATGCAACCTTTCAAGACATATTTGCCGCTTATGTTATTAATTTAACGATGGCATATATTTGTACATGTATTTATACTCATTTACACTAGATTAAAATTGAAAAAAGACATATTAATTCTAGTACAGGTCTTGTATGTAAATTCACTGCCCACCTACCCAAAATTGCTAAGTTATAGGTATATATGTATTCAAAGCTATGTGTTTTTATTTTAGACTAGTTAACAAGTTTGACTTCCCTTCTATGCAGTTCACTGTTTACTTCATGGCATACTCTCCCAAAGATGATGTTCCCACAGATGAGAAAGAGAGAATACAATACTGCTTCAACCAAAAAGCCACACTTGAGCTAACTCAGTAGGTATCTTTAAGGGAATCAGGCAATCCTATCTCAGGTCCATTAAGCCAGGTTTTGCGAAGAGGTGTTCAGTTTTTGTTCAAAATCCAAGCGAGGGTTTCAGCTTTGACAATTTTGGCTCAAAATCACTGAAAAAGTGTCCAAAATGTTGCAAAACTGCATGAGTTTGAAATAATTTTTGGCCACGCCCCCCCCCCTCTGGCTACAGGCCTTACCTTAAACATGGAATACACTTTATTACTATTAAGTATAACACATATTTAGATGAGTTGAGATGAGTTCTTCAAGCAAGCCTCGAAACTTTAGTATAAAAAAAAACAGCATTTTCTTTTGGACTGTGCCATCCAATATTGTCTCGTTGTTAGGAACCTATGAATTATTTATTTCCAGTATTACACAAAAATAATTGTATCATATGTTTCAGCAACTACGGCACAGAGAATGATGAAGAATTTGCCTACCACAATGGTAACAAAGAACCCAAAGGATATGGTTTGTACTATTGAATCTGTTTACCTCTAGCTTTTTCACACATCAGCATGTATTTCAGCAGATGGTCTTGATTTTTATTTAGGCTCTTGAACTGTGCGTGTAAACCATTCTAGACATCAGACAGTGATCTCCCCAGCATTAAAGCAAGTGGGCACAGCACCCACCTGAGATTTTGAAAACAAGCTTGCACCCACCTGAAAATCCATTTGCGCCCACTTGAAAATGAGAAAAATCATGAAAATGTGGCATATTTTGACCAATTTTGGTCTGAATTGTAAAAATGAGAATTTTGCACCTACTTGAGAAATACATCATCTATGATGAATCCCTCTGTAGTCTCATTTTAATGAGGTTTCAAGAGATTTAAAAGCAGAAAAGACTTTGTTCTATTTCATAACTCTGTGTATATTTTCAAATGGAAGAACTTTAATTTACACAGTAATTTTATTCAATTTGCCTGGATTTTGTTCTTTTTTCAAAGAGGTTGGGTTAAATCCCCATTGACACAATGTTAAAATATCTTCAAAAGTTGATTTATTACAGTTAGGCATTACCACAATCCGCGTGTCAACATGCAAAACAATCATTTTAAGTAACATAAATGTTTTACTCTTAGGCCACATTGGTATCTGTGTACCAGATGTTTACGACGCATGCAAGAGATTTGAAGAAATGGGAGTCAACTTCATCAAAAAGCCTGATGACGGTGAGAATTTCCAAATTATGGTACATTATGTAAATGAAGTACTTTACATTAGGCCAGAATGTGAGAGCTGAAGCCAAATATCTACTGATTTGATTCCGTTCATTGTGAAAGGCACCTACATGTACATGATGTATTACGCTTCATAAAGTGTTTGTTATAACATTCCTTATAAAACATTACAGGATGTCACATGGATTTGTACAGTGTATTTCTTTGTTAATGTTAGGAATTACATGTCAATTACAAATAAATTTAGGGGTCATTAATTTATTTACGAGCACTTCCCATTTCATCAACAATCAACAGAACACCATGAAAAGTAACAAACATATTTTCCTGTGACTTTGATAACTTTTGAGGCGTCGTTCATCACTGATTCAGCTGATTTTCCCATTATTGATTGACATATATCATGTATTATGTAAATCCTCTGGGTCTTCCATTCCCAGGTTTGCATTAGACCCTAGCCTTATAACTTATAGCTCTCAGACTTTTAATTCTTTACCTTGTACTATATATGTAACCAGTTGTAAGTACTGTGTATAAAACTTTTGTTGCAGGTAAAATGAAAGGTCTTGCTTTCATCACTGACCCTGATGGTTACTGGATTGAGATCATTTCCCCTAAAAACATCCTCTCAACTGTTGGAAAGGTATAATATGGCAATTTTAGGATTTTTTTATTTGATTTCAACGATGCAAGTTTTCGAGTTAGAATACTCATAAGCATCTTAATTTTAGCCAGAATTTTAAGAAATGCAAACATGTACATGAATGTTAAAAATGGTCAAACTCAATAATTATTATGATTTTAGAAATCTTCTTCTGAGGGCAGATAGATTCTTAAGTGGATAACTCTCAAATTTTCAACTGCATTCATATTTGATATATACAGTAAAGCCTGGGCATATTGAAAAACATTTTGAGTATGTGCTGAGGTAGGATGCCCACTAGAGAGAGGTGTTCACTAAGACAGGTTTTACTGTAGAATCCAGCTAAGGGTTAAAATGTATGAAATTATTTGGAAATACACTCAGAGATTCATACACTAATCTAGCCCACCATCAATCATAGCCTACTGGATTTTTGTTGTTTACTACATTAGTAAAAACTTAAAGGCAGAATCAGAGGCCATCAGACCTATGGGGGTGAAAAAATTACAAGCAATGTGTACAATTGACTTACCAATCTATTCCTTACAATCTCAAATACAATATCTCCCAAAAGATTCACGCTATGTTATAAATTGGTGAAGTTATAATGGATTCAAATAGCAAAATGAGTGAAAAATGTTTAAATTCTTCCGAATAATAAGAATGGTAGCCATTCTTATAGAAAATTAATATGTTATTGTAAATATCTTTAGTTTTCCTGAAATAAAGTATGCACTTTGGTGATTTTAAGAAAAAAGACATGAAAAGGAATACTGACATGAGCCAGAAATATTCAAAAATTGAAACAATTGTTTGTTGGGCTGTTCGCTAGATCTGATTCTCTCTTTAATATAAATTAAGAATAATTTTTATTTTTATTTTCCAGTAATGAGGTTTGACAATACAAGTGAAGCATGCAGGAATGGTTGATTAAAGAGGGACAGTGTTTGCAAAAGCTTATGACAAATAGCATGGGAATGTTGTAATAACATATTGTGCAAAATCATTGAAACATTGGCTGGGAAATTGACTTTAATATACAAGAAACAATAAAATATATGCTGTATATCATGTAATATATAAGAAATAGAACAATACATTGTAGTGTAACTAGTGAACCTTTTAGAAGCATAAGTAAATGATACAGTAGCAGTAGTCTTGCATCAATTCCTCCTAAACCCCACCTCCTTTTCATCTTGACTCATCACTGGCATTACCACTATGTTAAAGGCACATTGCTTGATTATGAGCATGATCCTTTTCAGGGGATTTAGTGACAATGTGAGGCTTACTTGCTCAACAAGAATTTTCATATGCACTATATCAGTCCTCATTTAAAATTGCTTATCCAGATGATTATGTGATTTACTTCAGCGTACCATGTTTTATGGGCCTTGGAGTATACAATAAGTAGTTGGAAATGTTATACGAATATAGCTGTTTTATGAAATTCATTCTCCATGATCTTCATATTTTGTACCAAATTGTGAGATATTTAGGGAATTTGTTGGTTAAAAACATACTGCATTTTTTATATACATTGCTGCTTTAAAATGCCTGAGTTAATTCTCCCTACAATCATGGCACATTCTCTTAAAGGTAAACAATTTGACATCAGTTGAGTTCTTCAAAATTATGAACCTTAGAAGAATTTGTATCTGAGTTTCATTCAGACAGGGATGTTAGCTTTGGGATGTCTAGCTTCAACAGGTAATCATCTCGTGTCCATAATTCTGAGATTTACATTCTATAAGATGGCAATGATACATGGATTAGTCCGTATTTACATGTATTAGAACAGCATTACCAAACATTCTTTTCAGGGCAAGCTTTTTCAGCAATGCGCGATTGTACATTTCACATCAAAACGCAAGATAAACCAGCTGAATATAGCTTATATGCATTTTATATTACTGTGATATATCTGTTATTTAGTCCTGAAGAAACAAGGGTTGTTTGATCAGGGGCACTATATGTGATTATAGTATGGAATAAGACTTTTACTAGTATTTCCTGGTTGGAAATTGAATATGAAATATAACTCTATATATTTTATCTTGTACCTCTTTTAAGAAAAAATAAACAGTAATTCAAAAAACAAAGAATTTATGTTTGTTTTAATTTAAAACATACTTTATTTTAACATTTTAAAGTTGCACATAACATTCTTTCACTAATCTTTGAGGAATTAACAGAATATTTTGTCAACATATATAGTTCATACTATAACATAAAGGAAGCATTTTTAATGTGAGTCTTATTGTACAATTATTTCTTCTGTGAATAAACTTGTTCAAATGACAGTTTAATAAATGCTATTAATGTGATTGACCTTACTGAACACTTATTATATTCTTGCAAATGGAAAACAACCAACAAAAACATACATACACTGTCGTAGCATTTTCTTTAAAGGATTTTCTTTACACTGTTACATGATTGAAGCAAAAGACATTTAAACATCCTATGAAAACATGTAACTTACGATTGTTTTATTGCACATAAATAACAATACTCAACAGAAACTAAATGTAACCACCTTGTTAAAATTAAAAGTGTAACCATATGTTACAGATGCAGAACACCCAGCATGGAACACCCCCAAAGCAAAATGGTGGCTTTAACAATATGTCAACATAAAATTGAAGAAAACTGATAGTTTGAGGTTATCCAAGCCTCCAATATACATCATATGCTAAGCTAACAGTGAAGCGATATCCAAGAAAGTATAAACAAATGTACTGTCTGTAAATATGAAGCAAAAATATAAACAGATAAAATATTTAAACTTTTTTTTTTATATATGCTCATTTACTTAAGATAAGTGTGTACTCGTACTTTTGGAATTTTTATCCATTGGAGTCGCATGTTATATTAACACATAACTCATCCCAATATAGGGTACATCTTTCAGTTGCAAATAGAGTGCACTCACGTGCCTAGAAAAAAGTGAAGAGAATATTTTTTTTAAATGTTTGTAAAATGTGTCAGTGACCTTCTTTTTAAAAGTACAAAATAACTAGGTCATTGAACTTTTTAACTTTAAATAAATTTTATAAAAAAAATATTCTCTTCACCCTTTTCATCTCTGCGCATGACTGAAAGTTGTAGACCGTATGTGGAATGAATGTGTTCTTTAAAATAACACGTGACTCCAATGAGGATTGCATTAAACTTCCAAACATAAGCACTACCTTTAAATGTAACACAAAACCTCACTATGCTACAACTGGCTGTCTGGTTACATATACAACAAATAAAGTTCAGGTTAGAAATTAATAGTCAGAGGTCCATTTTTTGAAGCGACGTATCTTACAATCTGGCGTCTATATATTGTCATTCATTCATCGTAAGTTACGATCATACCAAAAATGAGCCCCGTGAAGTTAACTATCAGTTCAATTGGTTTAGTTGACAATAGGTTTATTTAACTTTAACTAAGAATCCACAACAACCTAGTATTCCATATGAATATTTGGATCAGAGTGAATAACTGTCCTGTATAAAATACTACTTATTCAACTCCACATTGGCATTGATAATCCCAAATATGACAATAAGTTACTTATTAGCTACCGCCAATATGACAATAACTCAACTATCTTCATTATATCTTCAACTCAGCTGTTACATGATTGCACATCCACATCCAGTTTTACTCATTGAGTGGCTCCCTCTAGGAGGAGCGTGATTGGCCTCGTTTGAACGAAGTTTTAAAGCAGTATTACTAGCAGTGTGTTGCATGACTTTAATGTATTTCTCATAGGCGTGATCCAGATCTTTGGCTTTAGAGATCTGTTCTAACCTAGCAGGCACCTCAATGTCCAGAGAACAGTTTTGTGAGCAAGCCCAGTGTTGGAAAGGTACACATGTATTACCCAGGTAGGGATTCTTGAATGTGATCACTTTATAGCCTGAAAATACAAGTGTTTCTCTTATATTGTAAAGATACCTATTTAATCCTATGCTTTGACGTGTTTGAGGATCATAAAGCAGCTTTGTTGGTGTTAAAATGCATTTGCAACAGCAGGCAGGATAAAGATTTCCTGACAAGCTATCAACTAATATCTCATTAAAAATCATCTACCCAGAATCTCTATGAAATTTAATGTGGAATATATCCTAAAAATAAAATAGGTTTACTAGTATTGCATAAATACAAGATACATTTTTATAAAGTGGCAGCCATCTTGGAATTTTTTTTTTGCTTCCCAACAAATATGAAGAAAATATGTCTACTTTTTTAGTGTTAGAGTTAGCTGCTGGATGGACAGAGGGTTTCACCCCTTCTGAACTTTGTTATTGGGATATTCATTACAGATGTAAGAAAATAAAACATACCTGGTCGGGTGTTACGTTTGGCAGAATGGCAGTATCCACAGATATTAAACTGAGAGTATATATCCGAGATGTAGTCTTTCAAGACACCAGCTACAGCAGGATCTTTATAGAAGTTCAACTTGAGACTAAGCACAGCCTTAGCTGCCCAGAATTGCATGGAATCTGGTTGAGTGACTCGTGGAGCGGAATAATCATGCACACCACTAACTGGCAAAATTCGCTCATTAACGTCAGTGTGATACCACATAAATGTGGATTTGAAATAATTATGGTTGCCATGGCGATGTACTGTCCTTAGCGATGGCATTTGTAGCAAGAAACCAGGTAAGGCATCAAGGAGGTTATTATCCAGCAGTAAAGTATGTAGCCTCGAGCAGAATATGAGTGTCTGAGGAATTGCTTTATTTTGTAATTTATTGTTTGTGAGAGCCAAGTACTCAAGACTGACCATACGACCAATGTCTGGTGGAATTCTGTCCAAATAATTGTATTTCAGAGACAGACTACGGACACTACGGCACTTGAATACCTGCAAATGTAACACAATGAAACATTGAACATAATAATGAAAAAAACACTATTTCGAATTTAATTATTTTTATATACTGCTGTACTTATGAATACAGTATATTCGAACGAAATCTCAACATGCCATTTTCTAATATACGAGGGTTGATCCAAAAGTTCCGAACCGTTTGCTCTAAAAATCTTAATATTTTATGAATATTGTTCATATTTGGCCACAACCACCCTATATATAGTAGTTTCATTTTGTGTAAAAATAAACAATATATTTGACAAGCAACATAGCAACATTCGTACATATAACCCTCTAGACAATAGCTGGCTAAGCCCTTGTATATTTTCTAAGTTTATTTCATACAAAAGCCTAGGTAAATGTGTACCTCTGTAGGTAGAGTGTTATCATCCCCATATTTGAATATTCCATCAAGGAACAGCTCTGTGAATTGGTGTCTGCTTAGGTAACTACTCAAAAGTGTTTCTAAAAAACAAGAATAAAGAGGTTCAAAAAAGAAAAAGTGTATTTAGCTAACTATAATGACTATCTTATTGTCATATTATTTGGCAATTGACAATACTTATATACATTTATTTATTTTCATCTCACGACAGATTTAAAAATACATTTTAAAAATCACTTGTTTCCAAAACACTGTCCCAGCCAGTGCGGCTTATGAGAGACGTTCACAGATACCATTAAATACATTATACTGTAAAACATATTAGGTTATACGAGGGGTGATCAATAAGTAATGGACGCTTTTTTACACAGACACTTTTTATTGACCAATCCCTTTGATTTTCCTTCCAATGATACATCATTCAATTATCTATCAATTCTGAAGATTTGAAGACAAAATATATAATAGATGTTGATATATCCTTATTTCCGTGAAGGAGGTACAGGTACCCCGGGATCGACATTTACGTCACATATTCAGTTTTTAGCCAGTTTGGTAAATTTGAGTTAGATTTGAACTTTTTGTATGCAACAAGTGTTGTATTGTTTGAAATTTTTTGCTGACTGGTAAAACATAAACAGAAAGTATTGTGATGTCAGAGTGTTGTATGGAAGGGGTTTGCACTTTGCAGGTCAATTTGAGAAAGCATTGTGGAAGAAAGGGGTGGTGAGAGAAGGGAACGCCCTACTCCATATGGACAATGCACCTGCAACCTGCCCACAGATCTCAAAGTGTTCAGAAAACAATATCCCTGGACCTCAAAATTGAGCCCTTGGCCAATGCACTATATTGTCCACATCTGCTCACATGTGACTTGTTTATTTCTATACTACTTATTTCTATAGAGAAATGACGCAGGTTTGTTAACATTGACTAAATAAAACAACCCGTGTACTGCATTTTGCTACCATGTCGTCAGAGAATGAATTCAGTCTGTCTCACAGTCTTGAGTTAAGAGGATGAGGAATTGTATACATGTAGCACTTGATGGAACCTATTTAGAGGGCCCTGTGGAATGAATGTGGCATGAATACTACATAGTGATGATAAAATATTCAAAATCAACTAAGGCATAACAAAATGGGGTAATTCATGACCAAAATGGTTTGTTTTGTTCAGCCTGCATTCAACTGCATTGCATGTTAAACAAGCTAAAATAGCTTCAGAATATGTGACGTAAATGTCGGTCCCGGGGTACCTGTACCTCCTTCACGGAAATGAGGATATATCAACATGTATTACAAATTTCGTCTTCAAATCTTCAGAGTTGATAGATAATTGAATGATGTATCACTGGTAAGAAAATCGAAGGGATTGGTCTATAAAAAGCATCTGTGTAAAAAAGCGTCCATTACTTATTGATCACCCCTCGTAGTTTGTGTTTTTGATAAGATGTGTCAATATAAGGTCTAAAATTGTTTTTCTAGAATTCCTTACCTCCGAATTTTACTGTTCGTGGTTTGCTAAATTTTTCTTTCAAGAATGTGACGAATCTCTCCTTCCTTCTCTCTAATGTGACTGCAAGGTACCAGAGACTGCATGGAATGTCCTACATAAGAGAATTTATAGAGAACACATTAGACAGAATCTAACAATGCCAGCTACATCAGTTAGGGAAAACAATTTAAAAAGCAACTAGTTCATCACTCAGTCAAGAATTTGAAAATAATCTTGCAGTTGCGCAGTTAAAAATCATTTTAAAAATTTGACAAATGCTTCACCCTCACAATAGATATTGCCTGTATAATTATACTGTTGATTAAAATTTTGTATCACGGTAGTAATTGCACAATCAAAGTATTGGAACATCAAAGTGATATCATTAATGATGTAATATACACAGGCAAATGTCACATTAGAAGCGTATTTATATGTATTATATATATACAAACCCAAAACTTACATCACATGGCCAATTTTCTGAGGAGTCTCCATCAAGGAGTTTCTTCTGAATCTCAAGCAGCAGTTCATGATCAACTTGCAGTTTCCGTAGCAACAACAGCTCGTAACCATAGAAGTTATGATGAGGTTTCTTGTCACAAATGAACATTGACATTGCTGTAGCCAATAAATCAAACTATTCGGTTGTGGCCCTGAAGAAGAAGTATTTGGATGTACATGTGCGTTTAAAATAATCATCATCATCATCACCATCATCATCAGTTTTAGGAGTATAAGGCTGGGTGCCTGTGTGTTCTTCCCTTTCAAATATAGATCAATTAATCATGATACTTGATATTTTATTTCCCAAAGTTAACTGTGTTAGTAACATGACAAAACTAGACTGAACTGGTATTTGACAAAAAAACCTAGTGAGTGCACTGATAATGGATGGAACATAAAATGGAACATAAAATCAAACTGTTTGGCTGTGGCCCTGAAGAATAAGTATTTGGATGTACATGTGCATTTATCATATTTTGACAAATTTTGGTCTGAATTGTGATTATGAGAATTTTGCAACCACCTGAAAAAAAATCCTGGGGAGATCACTGCACCTACCTACTGCACCTCTGTTGAACAAACATGGAAGAACAGGGGCCAGAGAATAAATGGCTTATGTTCTTCAAGATTAGCCATTATATGAGTATGTCAGATGTTGATACAAGTTACTGAGGTTTGATTGAGGCCAGGTTCTCATACAGTACTGTTACCTCAGAAATGAAATGAAACTGCTAGGCCTACTGAAGTGGTACTTTGGCGATGTTCATCAAATTACTCAAATTTACTCATGAAAGATGGATTATACATCTCATTGGGTGAAAAGTAACTTATGAACAAACCAAATCGAATGTCAATTGTGGTTGTATTTAGACTAGAATCTAGTTACTGTCAATTAACCCCCTCCCCCATGTGTATTGAAATCTTGTAGTTTTAAAACATTGTCAGTAGTTGACATGAAGCTTAATTTATCTAAATAACCACTAATCTAGCTTATCAACTTAATCTAGCTTAACCCCAAGAGCTCAATACACAAGCTGCTGTGGGGATGGTTTGAAAAATTAACCCCACATTTATGGGAGTAACTTACCGTCAATTTTTTAAAGTTTGATTGATGCAATGTCTCTGTGAACAAATCTCAAACATAACAGAAAAGTAGCTAGTAAGATTATAATAAAGAGACTCTATTATATACATGAGCTTTTCAGTACTTATCCCTCGGCCTATGAATAAACTTATGATCTAGTCAGGCCTAGGTCTAGCCACACGGTTATGGGAAGTCCTCCATATATTACTTATATTATTTGTCAGGTTACGCAGCTTCCATCCAAAATAAAAAAATATGTATTTTTAAAATAAATTATTTGTCTAGTTTTCGTTAAACAAATTTCCTGAGACACATAGGGCCTGTAGAAAACAGTAATCAGAAAAATAAAAAAAAATATTCATACCTCCAAATCTGCTTTATTGGTCAGATAATGCACCAAATCATAATGGTTGTTCAAAATAAAAATTTAAGGGGACAGAGTGCCTTATCTCTCGAGAATAAAGCAAATCACGCAAAGGCGCGCATGCGCACAACGGTACCCGGAAACATGGCTCAGTTTGTGAATTTACCACTGAAAATTTTTCGACCTATCAAATAGCTTGAAATTTACCAAACCATTTCGTCCAGTGTTTCACAACCTGAAGTAGGTCATGACACATGCGCAGTAGAAATTGTCAATTTACTGAGCGGACCTTTCAATTTTACTCACGAGAATTGATGATTACTAAACAAATATAGGCATAAGAGGTGAGCGACCCAGTTATTTTTGCGTATAAATGTTTCAAGAATAGCATGATATCAAATAATCTGTAGATTATGCTACGATTCATTCAAAAATTGAATCTAGAGGACAGGTGACCATATTTTTTTCATATTTTTTTAATTTTTAGTCGCATAACCTGGTGTATATACCTCCTAGATGGAGGACTTCCCACTATCCGTGCCTAGCCATAATAAAAATAAAAAAAATTCCCCAATTTTTTCTACACTTTAGCAAAACTTAAATTTCTCTATAAGTACTCACCTAAAGGTATCCATAATTGCTCTATGTCATTAACAATATATACATTATTGTCAAATAAAGTTTTAATACTGATAAATGCGGGATTGTATTGGAAAATTAGTATAAAATGACGTGAAAATTTTCTGCCAAAGTTCGAAACTTTATTACCTCTATCTAGAAGAGCTCTAGTCAAAAGTACTAGACGAAATTAAACCGACGTATGTTGAAAGCTTGTTGTTTTGTTAACTGTTATATTATTCATACCCAAATTGATAAATAGACTATGTTATAAGCTTACTCCGATTTTGGTGACGATATCATGTTTTTGAAATTCTTCTTCCCCTGTTCCCGGGGATTTGAACTGAGCAGTATGTTGCAACATAGCTCACAGGGTAAGCCAAAAAAGATAACCCAAACAAACCTGAGACCATCAGTCATAACTTAAGTTCTGGGATGTATCTTTGAGTGAAGTGATTTCGGCATTTGGGTATTTTGACCATGATTTGTAAAATAACCATGAAATCTTGACCATTTTTAATAAGAATGAAACTGACTAGAATGAAAGAACGTTGAACAAGGTTCACTTGTACCAAATATGAAATAAAACCCATTCCGGTTGACTGAATTATTAAGATTTATTTTGGGTTATCTTTTTCGCTCACTCTGTACGTTATGCCACAATGAATCTTACAACACTATGTACACCGGTAACTCACAACACAATCACAATCACTGAAGAGGCTGCCATCTGCGACTAAGCTTACTGTGTTTCAATGTTAAGCTACTTCATGCCAAAATTATTGTTAACCCGCTACTGCGACCACAATTACAATTACGATACCAAAACATTGTTAGGCTACATCGTTACCACAATCAAATATGTAATACAATTTCACCAACTCATTGTCCAGCTCTACTTTTGCGATTACAATCGAATGTGTTACACTTGATGCCCCTAAATCATTGCTATGCAACAATCTACAACCACAATTAAATGTGTTACAAAGTCATTGTTAGGGCTACTATCAGCGACCACAATCAAATGTGTTACACCCGGGGTGTTACAATTACGATCAATTGTGTAACAATGACTTCATACCAAACTCATTGTTAGGCTACTCTCTGCGACCACAATCAAATGTGTTACACCCGGGGTGTTACAATTACGATCAATTGTGTAACAATGACTTCATACCAAACTCATTGTTAGGCAACTATCAGCGACCACAATCAAATGTGTTACACCCGGGGTGTTACAATTACGATCAATTGCGTAACAATGACTTCATACCAAACTCATTGTTAGGCAACTATCAGCGACCACAATCAAAGGTGTTACACCCGGGGTGTTACAATTACGATCAATTGCGTTACAATTATTGCATACCAAACTCATTGTTAGGCAACTATCAGCGACCACAATCAAAGGTGTTACATGATGAGTTCTCTGTGAATGTGTTGTTACAACAATATGTGTAACGTGTGTAAGGGGACCATGGGTATGTTTTGAAAATATATAACTTGCATAATTTTACGCTCCTTTTGCACCTTTATGGAATTCAAATAAAAATACTAGTATTTTAAGATCTGCGTATAAATCCCGAGTCCTATATATTGACATTAACCTCGATACAAATATTTGTATTTTTATACTGAATGGCAAAATTTCTGAATATTCGATATTGGTTTAATGCATTTAAGCGCATTCAAAAGTATAATTTGACTACTTAAAGTCTCTATATGCCATGGTCACAAGGTATGACACGAGCGGGTTATAAAACCAAACTGCAATATGACGCAGAATGTAGAATCGAAAAAACCTATGGTAGACAACTCAGGGACAACATATATGTAGGATAGGACACGGATACAGAAGTCAATGAATAAGGTCCATGCATGCTGGTAAGTACAAATGTAGACAAGCAATAATGGCTGAAGAAGTACTGAATCCTTACAGAATGAAAGTTCACAGATTCCTTGTAGTCACTTAAGGCTCAGCTGAAAAAGTAACATTTTGGTAAGAAATTGCTATACATGCTGTTTTCTGGTACAAAATTAAGTATGAAGGCATGTGTGTATTTCCTTGCTTTTTCAGGAAAGTATCATTACATTGTCTACTTTTAGTAAACCTCGAAACAGGTCAATGGTAGCTCCTGTGTTGTCTGCAAACTTTGAAAGAAACTTGGAAAAATAGAAAGTGTGAAATATCAGAATTTCCTGGAGTTCCCATTGACCTCTTACCAGTTATACTAAAAGAAGACAGTGTACTGATACTTTCCTGAAAAAAAGCAAGGAAATCAACAAATGCCTTCCTACTTTATTTTGTACCAGAAAATAACATGTGCAGGTATAGCAATATTTTTACCAAAATGTTATTTTCCAGCTGTACCTTAAAATTTCTTCATATGGGAATGGGACGGACAGGAAAAGTACTTTGTCAGTATACTTTGAAAGTGGTACATACTTGTATAGCATGTTTTGATACAACTTCGTGCGTGATGTCTCGTAATTATTAGGGGAAAAAAATAATTTGCCAAATACTAACAGTTTAGATTTTCCCCATGCCGTGCTAAATATGCTTATTAAAAATGGTATATACCGAATGATTTATGATTGCATTTTCTTCATACAAAAGGCCAGGGAAAGAACTGTGATTAGACGACTTAAATACAATCTTACTGACCAAGTGGAAAATGGAGAAGAAACCAGAAGAGAAAAAGGCCTTCTGGTGGTGTAGAATTGTGGTGAACAGACCAAAGTTGACATTTGGTAAGAACAAAATACTGTGTAACACACTATCTAGTGTATTTATTTAGAAAAATGTATACAATAATAATAATACATGACTAATACTGACACCAAATGGCATATAAAAGTATAATGTCAAGATCAAAAAGGTATCACTAGCAAATAAAAAGGGAATATATAGTCTAACTAGTTTACAAGGGTATACTTGTACTTGTAAGAGAATTCCATAGTGAAGGCCCAGTATAATAGCAGTTTGACTAGGCTTCATCTGAATTTCAAATAATATCATACATCAGTCAACGACATTTATATATAAATTAATTAGCGAAGTCAGTGTACACAACAATAGATTGTACACGTTTTTAAGAGAACTTACTAAATAATAGGGAGCTTAAGTTACGCGTTTTAACTTGTACTTAATACGTGAACACATAATTTTATGACCCCATGGATCTAATTACAACTGTTTTCCTATACCTTTAAACTCAACCAGGCAAGCAAATTATACGAGGGGAGAACTTTTTTCTAGATGACCATACAATTACACGTTCACGTACATGTTTTCTTAAAATGTGTAACTTAAAGGCAGAATCAGATCTGTAGGGGGTGACAAAATTACAAGCAACTTGTATGATTGACCTACCAATCTATTCCTTACAATATCAAATACAATATCTCCCAAAAGATTCACAATTTGTTATAAGTTGGTGAAGTTATTAATGATTCAAAGTGCAAAAATAGGTGAAAATGTTTAAATTCTCCCAAATAATAAGAATGGTAACCATTCTTATAGAAAAATAATACATTGTTGTAAAAATCTTTAGATTTCCTTGAATAAAGTATGCACTTATGTGATTTTTAGAAAATAGACATGACAAAGAATGACATAAGCCAAAAATATTCTAAAATTGAAACAATTTTTTGTTTAGCGTGCTCGCTATATCTGATTCTCTCTTTAACCTCCCTATTGATACATTGTGTTACGTTAACTATATTTCTCTTTTTTCAATTGGATTTTAACATTACAGGCTTAACCCTGGGGTGCTATGATTTTCACATTGCAGGTTTAACCCTTGGGTGCCATGTACTGTTTGTAATCATAACAGTAGTTTTGTTAGTGATTGGATTTAACATCTTCCCCCTTGTTTTGGATGGTCTACCCCTGCAGCTCGTCGACGATCCTGCCTTTCTCAACCGTGAGGTATGGATATGTAATTTTTGGAAGTCTGAAGTCAAAAATAACTAAATGTACATTTTAAACAATATTGTAAATGCTACATCCACTTTGCAAAATACTAACTGAAATATTTAACACGTTTATTATTTCCACGTCCTCGCGGAATTTGCTGCTACATAGTGTTATTTAAATGCCTGAATGATAAATGTAAAATTTTATAACTTGTAGGCGTGGAGACATAGGGACGTGGATCTACTGGAAGAACTACTAGAGGGTGATTATTACGGGGACTATTATGACTACTATGAGTATGAGGAGGACGACGAAGAATCCACTCGGAAAAAACGATCCATTATTAGACCAATGATGCCATCAGATAAATTCAAATCGAACCCCATGATAGACCCGGCTATAGATGATAATCTGAAGAATTTGTTTACGTTACAGCTCAATGTTAATAGTATTGAAGAATCTGGACGACTAGCAGATGGTTATATTCCTGAGTTTAAATGTGAGGGGCATTGTGATCGAAACAAGTGTTCCAACTTTAAAGAGGAAGTATGTACCTTTGAGATGAATGAGATGATTACTCACAATGGAAAATCTAGACGTAAACGAGCGGACGACATTGAAACTGATGAAGTACATGAACGAGAGCGGCGTCTGACAGGACTTACGCTAATCTATGAGCAACCCGGGGGTAATGTTTTTACTAAGGAGAATCTCATGAAAATAGCGAAGTTTGAGTTCATGCTCTATAAAATGGAATCTTACCAGGAAGACTTTTGCCATCTACGGAAGATATTTGGATTCTGGGTTTGCGCTCCGTTTCTATCCGTATTGCGATTCTTCGATGGGACGTACCAAGGAATACACGATGACTTGTATGATCCGAGTTTCACCAACATAACAGGATTGTTGCACCTAGCAAATACACACGAAGACACCAAAGACTCATTTCGCTTCTTTCTTGGATCGAAAAGTGAAGTGAATTTTACTAAAAACGTAGCATCATCAGAGATCACACGATCTCAAATGTCATTTGGTTACCCCATGAAAAGGATTAATAATGATACCGAAGACTATGACTCCCACTACAGAGTTTGGAGATCATGGGCATATAAATCAGTGTTTCCTTTACTTACCGATCGTTTTGAAAACGGAGTTGGAAATTCAAGTCCATTGAAATTCTTTTTTGAGAATTCAGGATTGTATTGGCGCGAAGCATTTGACACCATCTTGGAAGATTGGAAATTCTTGATTGGTAGTTTTGCATTCATATTCGTATTCATGTGGATACAGACTGGCTCACTGTGGATAACTGGTTTTGGAATTTTGAGCATTATTACTAGTTTTGTTGGAGCTAACTTAATTTACAATGTTGTTCTGAATTTCAAGTTTTTTGGAATTTTTAACGTCCTCGCCCTCTTCATTGTGCTTGGAGTAGGAGCAGACGACATCTTCATCTTCACGGACGCCTGGAAATACACTGCGCGACAAAGCTATCCTTCAGTGGAACATCGACTCTCAGCCTGCTACAAAAGAGCATCCGTTGCTATGTGCGTAACGTCCCTGACAACTATGGTGGCATTCTTAGTCAGTGCGTTTTCACCTTTGTTAGCAATTTCATCATTTGGAGCTTTTGCAGCAACGACGATCTTTGTGAATTATTGCTCTGTCATTGTTTTCTTTCCCACAGTAATAGTGGTACATCATTTATATTTTGAGAAAAACAATTGCCTGTGTTGCCATATTGGAAAAAGGGAGCAACTTTTGGAGGATCAACAAGTCGAGGTCGGAATAGACAATAACGCAGACATTGCAATCGGTGTCGAAAAGCCAAGTGAATTAAAACATTGTTCGTCTAAACAAGAACTTACTCCAACTGATACTCTGCACAAGAAGCAAAAGAAAAGAAAATCATTGCATTTCTTTATTGTTGATTTCTTTGGAGGTATCTTCTTCAAGTTTGTCTCACACAAGGTGGTCAGATTTGTCATCATAGCGGTCTTCAGTCTTGTCACAATTGGTGGTATATACTTTACAACTACGATAGTTATCGACGATTCTGATGTAAGTAGTCGACGAAATCTTATGGTTATAAATATTAAAGTTGTGCTATTCAAATTAATGTTACCAACCTATTTCCTTTATAGACATACAGTAAAACCTGTCTCTAATGGACACCCTTCCTCTGCACGTGCCTTCTCTACTGACTTCTCCTGAGAAATTACCCTCACTTTGGTGAACACTACCGATATTGAACGTTTTTTCTCGCCAAAAAACGTTCAATATACACAGGTTTTACTGTTCTTGTATTTAAAATATGAAATTGATCCATATCAATTATTAAAATTCGATAAGTAGAAAATTTGTATTATGTATAACATTGTTAGTGAAACCTTTGACAATCATTTCAGCTTCGTCTTTTTAAACATCATACGAACAACGAACAAGCAAAAGATCGAATGAACTTCGCATTCAAACCAACCTTAAGTACCAGATACATAGATATAACTGTTGTATTCGGTTTGAAGAAACAGGATAGAACTATGTGTCCAAGGAATGAGTACGATCCATTGGCACCGTGTAAGGGTGTATCTGTATGGGGGAACTTGGACCTCACAGATACAGAAAGCCAGATGGCTCTTCTGGTGAGTTTAATTGACTTCACTGTCCCTGGGATCTACACACATAAAATCTAATGGTGATCAGTCACGTATCGGTGAAATTAGTGTTGCCGTATTCCATATTGCCGTCCCCTATGAACGACTATGCAAAATGTGCAAATGTGAAATTGAAACGTTATCTCACATGTTGCTTGAATGTGAGCCTTTAAATGTGGAACGAACCCCCCTTCTGGATATAATGAGAGAATATGGTCTGACTGACACTACATGTACAAATCAGCAGAAGTTGAACTTTATTTTTGACGAGGGACAGATTTTAGACTGCGAGGGACTTATAAGGATAGCACAAAGTGTTTATAAAATGTATAATATGCGACCGAAAGAGGATACGTTAATGTAACAAAAATGTATGATCTTAACCCAATGCGGTGAATACCTAGCATGTTATTGTTACTTACACTGTATATTAGAATGCAACTAACTGACATCTTAACTGTATATAGATAAAAACTGTAAATCACAAAACTACATAAAATATTGTACAAATGTTGTACTAAATTATACTCTCATACTATGTACTCATCAAAACTGATGGATAAAATAAACATAATAATAATAACCGACTTGTTTTTGTAGGAATTATGCCAAGATATACGGAACATGAAAGGAGATACACAGAAAAGGCTGAGGCTGAATGAAGACCCAATATTGAAAACAAACAACATGACATGCTTCATGGAGGGAATGCACGATTTCTTTAAAGTAAGAGAAAGCAATGTTCAAATTAATTTACAAACGAAATGCTAAATGCTAGGTTTAAAAAAGATCCGAAAGAATTCAACTGAGCACTGAACGCCAAACTTTTTCAAAAAAATACTTTTAGATGGATCTACCACTTCCATCGTTCATACTGTAAGACAGATGGAAACATAACAACAAAGAATGATACTATTAAGTGAATCACTGTGTCGTATCTATTTTAGGAGGAAGGGACGAAGCCACAGTACCCAGCAGATACGGACCTGTCATTACCCATCACTTTGGAGAAAATGTACACAATTATGCAACACAACCCCACAGTTTACAAAAATGTATCCAAAGACGTTATTTCAAGGCCATTTGAGGTATTTAAGATTTTTCCTTATGTCAAAAATTGAAAGGATGACATTTTACCTAATTAATCTCAAACTTGCTGATTTATGTTTTTCTATTCACGTCCTCAACACTTCTGAGAGCATAACCGAAATCTGTTCAAAGCTTTCGTGTATTCTTTTAGATATAGGGGCACATGTTACTGACATCATCAGTTTGCGCATAGTGTGTCCATATTGATTTTTTCGTTTATAGATGGCGCTTGACTTCTGGTTAACAGGAGGCCAGCATCTATACACTAATGATTCACTATGGGGTGATTACGAGAAATACATGGGGTTTGACCGATTACCCGATGAAATCGAAGAGGATAACCTAGGAACCCGACCCAAAAGTAAGCCGATTTAAGCTATTGTTTACACGATTTTAGGTTTTCACTTTCGATAGAACTTGATTTTTCAGAAAATATGCTGGGAACAAAGCATTTTTCTTCATCATAACAACGTTTAAATACTGCTCAAAAATATATATGAATGGAACAATAAACTGAATTAAATAAAAAAATGAGGTAACGTTCATGATATCCTATAATATTCTAGTTTGGATTGTAAAGGATATCATTTCGGCTTCTTCTCGTGATTTTAATACATTGTGAACTGATTTATTTCAGAGGTTCCGATACATCAGTATACGATGAGGTACGCTGCTTTTGAAGTGTTCACTGATGCACCTGCGAGGAATTTGCCTTTACAAGATGGTCTCGACATGAACAAATATTGGGATGAATATTTGGAGGGAAAGGTGAGGAGCTATTTGGTCAACGTATTACACTGTGCCGTCAAACATCTAGGCGTTTTCTATTTCTATGTCACCACCAAAAGTCTCCAACTTTTTATGGACGGTGTTCGGCGGTTGGTGTTCGGCGTCCGTGGTTCGGCTGTTGGTGATCGGCGATCGGCGCCTGTAACAAATAGTAGATTGTGACATTTTGCATGCCTATATGTTAATGTCTTGTATTTCTTATCATTGTCCGAGTATGTACAACTCTGGTAATAATCACCCTAAAGCCATGCCACCCTATTGCCATCGTGTCTGCGGACTTCCTGTAGAATACCCTGATGGTCGCATGAACTTCTGAAGGTTGAATGTACATATTTGGTTACAGCTGTTGTCTACTGGTATTCATTAGAACCCTCACTATCGTGTAAATTACATCTAATGATTTAACGTGACTTGCACCCTTCATTCAAAGGACTTCATTCAATTCAGTAATGGAAATATGTTAAATACCCCTGGAACAAGGATGCGTGACTTGGTGCTATCACATCTTATGCTAGAATATAAGTACTTCTAACAGCTCATCAACCTCTTTCACTGAACTCATAACCGTTGTATATACAGGGTGGTCAAAAAACGGAAACCCTGCATTTTCCTTATATCTTTGGCTTCTTAAAAGATTACTCCCTGATATTTCACACATTTGTACATCATTCAATTTCCTACCACCCTACCATATTTCATGACCATAGTCACAATTTTACAGCACTTTGAATAACATGCCTCAGGTTTGGCCATCATCACCCTGTAGGCAAACCTGGAGTTTTGAATGACCCGAATGCATTCCACAGCAAGTATGGCCTGAATGACACGGATGATCTCAATTTTGAAGTTGGCAATCGTCCTGAGGTCATTCTCATACACTCTATCTCTGCCATAGTGCAATAGTGGCAACTTGGCATGTCTTTAAAGTGGTGTTACATTGTGACTATCAATCTGATAGTCATGAATATATATGTCAAGGTTTAGCAACAACGAATCATAAAGTAGTCTAAGTACGATAATGTAAAGGAAAATGGCCAATGTAAAGCTTTTTGAAAATGCAAGAATTAAAAGTTCACAATTTTGCATCATAAAATAACATTAGTCCAAGAATGTAAAGGAATATAGTCAGTGTAAAGCTTCTTGAAAATACCTGAATTAAAAGTTCACAACTTTGCATCCTGAAATAATCTAAGTCCAAGAAGTGGGTGAAAAGACTGTTCAGTAAGTGGGGTGTTTTTAAATTTCGTCATTTTAAAGAAAAAAAGCTTCACTTTAAAATGGCACAAAATGTTGTCCCTAAATCTTGACACTGATGTTCATGAAATACATTAGGCTGGTGAGAAATTGAATGATGTACACATTTGTAAAATATCAGGGAGTTATTTCTTAAAATGACAAAGATATGAGGAAAATTGATTCGCTGCATCGCACAAATATGTTTAAATATCAAATGTAAATGCCAACACAAAGAACAAGTGAAACTATTTACGAATTTGAATTGTATAGATTATTATATTAGATAAAATCAAAAAGACATTCGATAGATTGGGTAAAGGTTTCGTAAATTGCTTGTTTTATTTGGTATGTATGGAATATTTATTGTACCGAATAAAGAAGCAGTTCAAACACCATTACCGACACTGTTAGCAATATGAAATGATATATCATGTCTATTTGATTTCAGATGTCGAAAATGCCAGAGAGTTTAAACGAAGGATTCCACACAACCTATATCTGGCATTGGTTACGTGTCAAACAGGTAAATGCAGTAGAATTCACAACCACGTATTGATTCTAATTAGATTTGTCTCACGAATTGCGAATTATTTTAAAGAATTTTATGATGAGATATAAGAGCATATTATATGAAAGAAAACATGAAAACATTAGCGCCGTCGTATATTTTCAGACGATTGCAATACAAGGTGTGACAGGTGCAGGGGTTGGTGTTGGATTATCATTCGTAGTGATCTTTCTTGCCACCCAGAACATAATCCTTGGAGTTGTATCCACTCTCATACTAGGCGCTGTATCAGTCTGTGTCATAGCTCTTATGCCCCTGATGGGATGGAAACTAGGGGTACGTACAGTTGCACTAAAATTGTTGTAGGTCTTATGCCCCTGATGGGATGGAAACTAGGGATACGTATAGTTGCACTAAAATTGTTGTAGGTCTCATGCCTATGATGGGATGGAAACTAGGGGTACGTATAGTTGCACTAAAATTGCTATAGGTCTTATGCCCCTGATGGGATGGAAACTAGGGGTACGTATAGTTGCACTAAAATTATTGTAGGTCTTATGCCCCTGATGGGATGGAAACTAGGGGTACGTATAGTTGCACTAAAATTGTTGTAGGTCTCATGCCTATGATGGGATGTAAACTAGGGGTACGTATAGTTGCACTAAAATTGTTGTAGGTCTTATGCCCCCGATGGGATGGAAACTAGGGGTACATATAGTTGCACTAAAATTGTTGTAGGTCTTATGCCCCTGATGGGATGGAAACTAGGGGTACGTATAGTTGCACTAAAATTGTTGTAGGTCTCATGCCTATGATGGGATGGAAACTAGGGGTACGTATAGTTGCACTAAAATTGTTGTAGGTCTTATGCCCCTGATGGGATGGAAACTAGGGGTACGTATTGTTGCACTAAAATTGTTGTAGGTCTCATGACTATGATGGGATGGAAACTAGGGGTACGTATAGTTGCACTGAAATTGTTGTAGTTCTCATGCCTATGATGGGATGCAAACTAGGGGTACGTATTGTTGCACTAAAATTGTTGTAGGTCTCATGCCTATGATGGGATGGGAACTAGGGGTACAGTTCTCAACATAGATAAATGTCATCTTGGTTTTCTATCACCATTCCCAGATCATGGTGATTTGAGACTTCATACTTTCCAATAATCTCTAGATACCAAATATATACACAAGTTTTGTATATTTTACATTTTGGATACTCTCAACTACTAAAGTATGGTCACTTGAAATTTCTCTTCTTTTTAACATGGAAAATCCTCACTTTAGCAAATCCATGTGTCATTATTTTATGGTGAGCACTGTAAAGGTTACTAGATCAGTATTTTTTGGGGAGCTACTGACCATTGTACTTATAACCCTGATGGGTTGGAATGGATGCCCCTGATGGGATTATAAAAAATGACTTGGGAGTTATTGGAAGGTATGATTCTCTAACTGAGTACGATAATGTTTGAATTATGATCCTTATAGGATGGGAATTAATGGTAAGTGTGTAAATGAATCATCAAGAATCGGTGATATATTGTTGAAGCCGCTTTTGTGACCGGAGTTCGGCGGTCGGCGTATGTAACAACTGCTGCACTTTTGTAACCATTTGGTGTTATATTAGTCCCTTGTTTTATTTGTCATTTCACATCGTGTTTTGTATATGAGTCGTAAGGAGAATAATGAAATAAACAAAGATGAATGGTAATTGTCCAACTAGATAGCCTATGAGCCTATTATTTGTTACAATTTCAGGTCCTAGAAGGATTGAACTTATGTCTAGTAGTAGGACTAGCTGTGGACTATATTGTTCACCTTGCGGAGGGATATAGGATGTCAAAGAATGTAAATCGGCTGGACCGTTTACAAGATGCCCTGGAGCAGGTTGGGATATCAATATTATCCGGGGCAATATCGACACTCGGAGCATCATTCTTCCTCCTATTTACAAATTTGTTATTTTTTGTTCAATTTGGAATATTTATTTTCTCAATTATCGGATTTGCTTTGGTATTTTCGTTGCTGTTGTTCTCAAGCTTGTTGGCCGTTTTAGGGCCCTCTGGACAGCAAGGGTCATTCTTGATTTGTTGTAAAAATCAAAAAGAATCTACAGACGATGCACCTGTTGAATTTACTGAACTTTGATTATATCCTTTGCGTCTTGAACTATATTGCGCTCTCGATATTCTGTATTGACACTCGACTTTGTCTCGTTCTAATACAGAATTTCTCGAGCAAAATATATCCTGTATTGCACTTCAAATCATTCAATAACTTATAGTACTGTATATAGTGCTGGCCAAAAATCAATACACTGATTAAAATTGTTCTTCGAAGACTTCTATGATATTATGTATATTGTATATGTTAATGTAACTGCTTTCAAATTTTTTTTCTATGAATAAAAAAAGGAATAAAAAAAGAAAGTTATTCACGTTTTTATGGGTTTAGCAACAGTATCAAACATGACCGGATCTGTAGTATCCAATTCACCAAACTAAGAGTACCTAATGGACTGATATTTATCATTCATTGAGGTTAGTCAGTTTAGTTTAAAAAAGAGTCGATAAAGGATCCAGACGGTTACGAAACGTACTCGAATATAAATAAATAAAGGCTGTGAATCGAAGAAAAATGTTTTTTTTTGTAACAACTAGAACAAATATATAAATCATCGAACTGTTAACATGTCTACTGTTTACCATATGATCACTTCAATTAAGTCAATGTGTATTGATTTCTGTAAAAGTCACGTCAATAAATTATAAGCTAAGTTCAATCACGGGATTTCAACAGATGGTTCAATGCAAACAATATGTCATTTACGTTTTTTGTGACCAAGATCGTTATGCCATACCAATTTAAATCACAACTTTCTTACCGACATTCAGCATTAGGCTATTTACATAAGGGTTATTTACTGGGAAGTTTTGGATACATGGTTTATCCCAAGGGAAATATATATGTGTATATGCCGACGGACTGCAGGGACTGAGGGAGAAACATATATTTCCCGAGGGATAAACTCTGTATCCAAAGCCGACCGTATTTAATAAATGTATTCCATACCTACTGAGGTTCTAGGTACACTATACCTCATTAAGTTCCAAAATCAAAAATGTACTTACAGTAAGGTGCGCATTAGTCTTAAAAATAGATTTTATTATAAAGTTTTATAAACGTTCACACTCATATATTGCTGGAGCAGATAAATGAATCGATATTAAAATTAAAAATATACTTCATTGAGAGTTCGCATTTCAGAAGCGGGACCGGGATGGATACAGCCTGTATCCAACCTGTATCCATCCCGGTCCCGGAACTTGTCGATCGCTCCCTAGATACACTATACATTCCCGTTCGTTATGTACCTGGAATACCATGTTATCTTAGAATTTAAAAATTTTCTCAACACTTGTTATTTTACATCAATATAAAGAAAGATGTAAGGAATATGTTGACATCGATTAAATAATCACAACGACTATCGGCAGCCGGTGGTAATTCGGACAAACGAAGTTGGTAAGCAAGCGACGTAATTTTGTCTGTCATCTCTAAAGCTCTTCGTCTTTCCCTCCTATGATCAAGGCATGTATTACATTTCACCGCCTTGTTCTGAATCAAGTACCAAGAATCCCGTGCGTGACAGTATCTGTCTCTGGTGGAGTAATGACTGTGAAGACAAATGGAGAGATCGGGTTGAGCATATACAGACCGTTTGGCTTGGGGAGAGAGAGAGAGCAAAAGTCTGAATTACGGACTAATTCTGATGAAAAATGTTCAGAACAATATGCAAAAATTATCGAATGAGTTTAAAATCAACAGGTCAATACGGACAAATCATCAGTAAATACGTAAACCATATATAGTCCATATCTATTTTTTATTCATTTTCATGGATATTGCATCGAATAAAAATTGTTCTGTTGTATGTGCAGTCAACGATAAATGGCAAGTGCATCACTGGTTTACCCTCATGCTATTATTAGACACCGTACGCAGGTACGGTTACTGAACGAAACAGCGGAGAATGTTATACTAGCAGTCTACATCAATATAAAAAGTAACTCCTATGCGTATTATCGGAAACTTAACGTTCAACGATCTTAATTCATTAGAAGAATACACTTTTAATTGTTAAAATTCATCAAAAGTTTTTGTTTCTTGGCTTGAAATCGACCACAGTAGTATATTTTAACGACATGTATGTTAAAGATTACAAATTATTGTGGCTTTTGAAGTTTACGAATGGTTTTCAAAAGGGTGCGTAAAGTGCTGGCTATCCATTGCGGCACAGAACATTTCAGTGATTTCACTTTTATTCTTTGCTATGCCACTTAGTTTCACTGGATGCAGGAATGTAAGTGAACTGTTCAAAAATGACGAGAATATTAACCAAGGCTTATCACGTATTCCACCAAAGTCCCAGTTATATACAGCCATGCCCACGTTGCTGTACTTTACTCCTAAGGAATGTTGAAGTGTCGGGACTGCAAGCTCAAGGAATATCTTATGCCTGAAGAAGACATCCAAAATGGGTATGGCTATTTCGAAATGTTTCCGTGGTATGTAATACATATCTGAAGCCTGCCATACCATCCTTTTCCTACCGAACAAATGTTTAGAGAGATTAATAAGAAATGTTTGAATTAGTTTGTTCGAGTTTTGTAATTGGTAAAGCTCGTCAAATGCATTTGTAATGTTTATTTCACAGTGTTTGAAGTGCATGCTACTAGTGATGATTTCACATTTGCCTTGCAAGTTTGACATATTGCACGTTGTAAGGTTACCATGTTCCACTGATGCGATTTCGCTAGTACCACTGTTGCTTCCTAGTATAAGAGGATTCCTCATGTCAATTTTCGAGGTGTCTTCAACAATTTTTGAGAATTGTCTAACTGTCTGAAAATTTCTCGCGTTAAACCATACTTCATCTAAAGGTAGCTTGGCGATTGCTTTAACTTTCATAATCGCGTCATCAGCGATAGTTAAGATACCTTCCACCCTCAAGCCTAGTTTGAGGACCTTCAGTAAACACTCATAGTTGGAGCTACCCGGTAAATAATTCACTGTTTGCTTAAATGTGATGAAATTAATTTTCCATTCACGAAGAATAGATTTGCGTGGCCTTTCCGGACCGCAGTATATGGTCTTTGCAAAATGACCATCATAAAGTGCCTCTAAGTATGGAATACTCTCATAAACTGGCGTTTTGAATATAATCAACAGCAAAATGGGGTTTGGTTGTATCAGTTGCTGCTTATTGGTCTCTCTAGATTTAGAGGATTTGAACATGTAGCATGTATTGTAAAGTAGGTTTCTGATCTTTGATGTTCTCCATCCAATATCAATTAATTTTGAATTTGATGGAAGCGACACAGGGAATCGATTATCAGATTGAAGAGTGATAGGAAAATCAACAGATTCATCAAGATGTTCTTTTGTAATAACCGGAAACTTGTATCCAATGTTAACAAGATCTTGTAACCATGCGCCTATTAATTTAGCGTCGAGAATTTCCCAAAATCCTTTGTCTGCCATAGCATCTGCTAATTTTTGAATACACAGCGAAAGGATATTTGATTCACATTTCCAACTAGATAAAAACTTTACAAGTTCACCGGCTTGGTAGTAAAGTTTTTCTTCTTGTTTTGCATCATCTATGTACGAATGATAGTTCCGGAACTGGTAGCAATTTGGTGGCATATAACTTAAATGACCATCTATAAGCCAAAGGAGGGTCTGTGTGAAATAGCTTCTCCATATGTCAGTTACACGGGATGTCACTGCTACGGGGAGTATGAGGCCCCAGAATGCATCATAGTGGAATAAAGTATTCTGGGAATTCCATGGAACAAAAATGTATTTTGGGTAAATCAATGGTGGCATAAAATCATCGTAAGTTAAGTTTAATGATTTTGAGTTTGATTTGCGTGTCAGTCGATAGATGGCATCTACATCTGGGTCACCATGAACTGCCCCTTGTTGTATAAGAGCTGTGTTCCAGTGCACTGCATCGTACTCACTCGTGATATTGTCCCCGATGTTCTCCAAGGGATAACCTCTTGGCCATGTCGTTGGCTGCCCATAATAAGCATATGGGTTCAATAATGTGGCGTTTGTTGTTGGCACGACGCCGTACATCTTAGGAGTAGTTATGAAACCTTTGAGGCCATCGGTTGGATGGTTGTCATCATCTGTTTCATAAATAACTTTGGCTCCATGCTGAAGAAACAAGTATATTACTTTTTCAGACCTCAGTAGGTATTTTGTTATAAAGCTGACCTTTTAAAAAACAAGAAATCAATTAAAATATCAACTTTTTGACCTTTCAAAGGTCACTGCGGGCCAACCAAAGCTCTAAGATCAGATGAATTCCTGGGACCTAACCATCTTGGATTCCCAAGGTATGAAGTTTGAAAATCAAACTGGGAACGAGTATGACCTTTTACAAGATTGAAAAATTTATTAATTTGAAGCAAGTTGAAAAAGGTTTCAAGTTGAATGGATAAGTGGTTTTCTTGGAATTTTGATGACAAAAATTAAGGAAAAAATCAAAATGGCCGCTAAGTTATTTACCCAGCATGCCCCAAACCAGATATTGGCAATATTCTTGCATTCAGCAGAAGACGACGGCAATAGGCTATTGTACTTTTTAAAGTGCGATAAAATGCTTTTTGAATTATTTATTAGACTCTAATCATGGACCCGTCAAACATTTCCCCATGGGAAACTTTGACAGCAGATTGTTATTCTGTCAATTGATTTTTAGCTTACTTATTTTCTGTTCATAATTTGTGATAATTGATTGGAGAGATATCTACTCATCTTTGGCAATTATTTTGAAATGTGAAGCTAGGCTAGGCTCCCATATAAGCAAAGGCTAAGTGTCGACGAAATAATTGTTGTATGGTGTGATGTAAAAAAAATGATGAGCATCTTCCATACCTCCTTAACGTTATTTTTTGAAACGTTACTAAAAAACGTTAATAAAAAATTGAAAATATAACAAGTGAAAGGGGGGGGGGGTCAATACAGTTGAATATGTTTCAATATTTTAAGATTTAAGATGCAGAAATATCCAATTGATTGAATTCAATATTTAAGAAATCATTTAAAATAATTAATAATTCGTAAAAAGTGAAATATATATCACGTACCTGAATTGCATATAGATATCCAATGTTCTTGCGGCCATAGTTTGAATATGGTATATGTTCTAGGACCTTGTAGCCAAGAGATCGCTGTGTAGTTACACTAAGGAATAGAACCCCATCTAAACTGAAAAAGTTAAGACTCGTTATATTAAAAAAAATGAAAATCTGTTCACTTTTGGTCACGGCTGGGCCCTGTATGATATGATGAATATTTACTGGCAATACTGGGTATATATCAAAATTATATTCTGCAACGTTAACTTTCCTGCTGTCGACCATATTTGTACAAAGGGACAGTTATAACAGTAACAAGGTTTACAATAGAGGTCTATACGATTGCCCTCGTCAACCTCTTTGCGACTGCACCCCCTTCTGAGCCAATTTTACTTTCCCTAGGAGATGTCGTTCATACCTGTACTGCCCAGGAGAATTGAAGGAGACTTGGAAGATAAAAGAACTATATATGTGACTGGCGATAGAATGGAACTAGATTTGATGATGGAAACTGTTTTTTTTAGATGTACACGCACCCTCTTAGAAAAACCCTGTGGGTACGCCCCTGCGTAATTAATTTAATCGGACACTTTTTAAGTAATTTAAGTGAAAACGTCTTGGTATTCTACATACCCTAGGGTGAGAATAATATTTAAGACAAATAAATAAACCTACTACAAATTAATTTATAACAATATTAGTACTTACTGCCAGTCTTTTGGAGTCTTTGTGTCAGCAACAACCAGCAGTTGCCATTCTGACAATGTTGCCAAACTTTTTATATCCTCTGTAGGGGATGCTATACTCGTAACAATTATCCATTTATCTGTATTTTTAATAGGACCGACATTATAAATTTCTTTTACTTCGTGTAGTCCCCCCTGATATTCTTCCTCGACATTAGATGCCTTGTTAACCTCAGACTTAAAATTAAAGCTGCCCTTAAGACGAGCCGCTTCCTTAGCAACAGTTGCTTCTTTCTTGACATCAAGTTCTTCCTTAAAATCATGATTTCTTATGCTGTTCTTAATTATATGATGATTCTTTCGATAAGAAAAACAACAAAGAAATATAATAATGCTTGAAATTCCTAACTTATATATTCTCCTCATTCTATAGGGACTGTTACCCGTAAAATGTATAGAGTTTGATCCATCGTTGACAAAGAACGTTGATTTATGTTCAAATGTTATGTTCAAAGGAACGCCACAATTGTAATCAATTATTGGATATAACTATTGAATTCTATCAATCATACATATATGTAACATAATACACCTAGCAAGATGGATGCATCCGCTACCAATCTGTCTTCCAACAAATCTAATTAATCATTTTCTATATAAAGAGATGGATAAAAAGATGGCAGCACGTATGTTGGTAGGGCCATCTTGGATCCTGCCTAAAATCACTTAATTTCTATTTGAATGCATGTGAAATTCCATCGACATGTAACTATATGATCTCGTTGACTTGTGAATTGTGATTTACCATAAAAATTGTAAATCTTCAAAGAGTACATGAAATTTCAAAGTTTTTTTAGCATTGTGTCGACGGGGAGTTAGCCCAACTTTTTTTGGAAACATGAAAATCCAAGAATTATTAGTTTTGTTACTTTGGTGCTTCATCTTGACGAAAATTGTTTGAATTTTAGAATATTTTGGGCTCATATTATCCCTCTTGTCATGTCTATTCTTTAATAATACCGCAAGTATTTGGCTTTATTTGAGGAAAACTAAAGACTTTTACAATGATGCAATCATAAGAATGGTTACCATTCTTATTATTTAAATATTATTCCCAATTTTTGCATTTTGAATCTTAAATAACTTCACCAATTGATAACATATAACGGTTGAGCTTGTAAGGAACACTTGATAGATCAATTGAACATACATTTATTAAATGCAATTTTGTCACCGCTCCCTATATAATAGATCTGACTCTGCCTTTAATGGACATTAATTTATAAATTGAGGTTGATCACTCAACATCTTGAGTGTAAATCATTTAAACGTACCCAACACCCCAAACCCACTCAAGTATGAGATACATCAGTTATGTACGGTCGGTTCTGGATATAGGGTATATCCTTCGGGAAATATTTATATCTCCCCTTTGTCCCGTCGGTCCCTCGGGGAGATATAAATAATATATCCCTCAGGATATACCCTATATCCAAAACCTCCGAGTACATGACCCTTATATATTCATAACGGTTTACAGGGTTTCGGTCTCAGGGTTTCGGTTATCATTCCATAGTGCACTGTAACATGAGTCATGTTCTTTAGCAGTAAGTGTGTCGTTAACATTTCTATTGAAGTATTCACACATTTCTCTCATAATGGACAAATAGACATATCCTGATTTCAGTGTGTATTGTGCAATTTATGCGAATGCCGTGCAAACTGGGGTCATAGTTATGCACCTCATCCCACACATAGTTAAAGTCGTTCGGTAAACCCCCAGATCCGGATAATTCCCTTCCGCGTGGTAATTCTATGATTTTTGAAAATTATTTTACCTGTATTTGAATACAGGTAGTCCCGATTTCAGTTAGGTGTCATTTGTCGCTGCGGTTCAGATAAGCATGGATATCAAATGCATAATTACAATTTGCTAATTAATATGTAAAACTAGCGAATGGTGCAGTCAGGACATTTAAGACTTTGTGAGAACATTTTAACCGTCTACACAGTTAATCAACAGGAACTCTAAATATTCAATGTTGCACAGTGAGTGTTTATCATGGTACTCGTTTACAAATATGTTATTTTTCAATCTAGTTGTAAAGAATATTAGAATAAACGTGCTGTATTGAGTATGAGATTTGACCTTTGGTTGACCTTCGAAATGTCAAAAAGTTGATTTTTTAATTGATATTTTGGATATGAATTTAGGTCAGATTAATCACAAAAGAGCTATTGAGGTCTGAAAATGTAAAATTTTCAAGGTCAACATTTACTTGCTCGCTTTGATTTTTACAACCTCTTTTGTGATATTTACAATGTAATAGTATTGTATTATTTATTCTGGTTCCTCTAAACCTTGTTGATTTAAGGGAATAATATCACCTATCAACACTTCTATACGTTTTGCGGCAAGTTAAACAAACTATAACCAAAATCGAAACTCTGGAAATTGTTTCTAAAGGTGAATACATGGAACTGTTTTTTTATCATCGTGAATTGCATTCATAAAAAAGTAACATATAATGATTGTGCGCATTTCACAATACAATACGGAAGTGAGTTACATTTTATATGTAATGATTAACTAAACACTTAAGTTGCTAAAACGCGACTCTATTGGGTACGAAAATGGATTAAAAATGAACGAGGAAGTCTCCGCAAAAATTTGGATATACCAAATTTATGTCATGAATCATCGGTAAAGCAAATATTTTGGAAATTTCATGTTTGTTTTAGGAATTAAAACACCAGCCTGAAATTAGGCCTCAAACTGGTAAAACCATGAAAGTCCGTATTTATAGCATACATATCAATGATTGAAACCTCCTTTTATGAAAATATAGGCTAAAAACTTGGCAAATGTTTGAACTTTGTCATTCTATCGGATTTTTGTGTTGATTTTTCGCTTTTCAAAATACTGAACTATATTCTGTTTCACTTCGAGATTGGAATGCGATGTGGCAAGGCTATGTCAAAGTTCATTTTTGCCTTTTCTTTTCAGAAAGTCGTTATCCCAGGCAAACAAACAATAAGCTTCACACCCAGAAGTATCTTTCAACATGAATGTCTCAGCGACTACAGAAGTCTCGCAAAATAGTGCTTCCAGAATGAATTCTGTCACTTCAGCATCGGATGCGACAACTGACAGAGCTGCGTTTGTTAATTCCACAAGTTTGGTTCTTCGTAATGAAACAATGTCATTCACTATGACCACCTCTCCATTCCCGTTGACGGAATCAACGGAACATCTAACTCACTCTGTAAATGGTCCCACGGGTATGACAACATACTTCTCTCCATGTGCATCATATCCGAACGACATGAATTGCACCACTGCATTACCCGTAAATGGCTCTAAGGACTTCACCGCGCTGATAGGAGCAGCGGCGGGCTTTTCAATTGTTGTCATTATTCTTGCTGGGGTATTATTGTTCCGTCGCAGATATAGGCGGCAACAAAATACACGGCAACCCAATCAATCTAAACGCACTTTGACAATGGAAACTGGCGACTTGGACACAAATGGGACACCAGGCTTAGGTCAGCTTAACCCGACGTACGATTCTAGCCGATCGGATGAAAATAGTATTGAATTAGAAGATGACATCCGTAGCATTACGATTGATTTTGAAGCTGATCCTCCCATTTCAATAGACAGTCAGGGATGTCGATTGGAAATCCAAGATGAAGCCTATGGATGTAATGATCCACACGCTCGTGAAGTCATTGATTCTGAAAGCAGTGAGGCATCGCATGACGAGAAAAGAAACAATAATAGAGTCTCATACGTTGATGTAATAGTTACACATGATCAAGATAAGACATGTGAAATTGGCAATGCTGAAGACTCTATATGCACAGATGATACACACGAAGAGATTAATCACATTGAGCCCATTGTGAATCACACTGAAAATGGTGTGGAGGATCAGGCAAAGCCGAATGAAGCGGAGCCAAATCTTGGGGCTGGCAGGTCTAAATCTGTTGAGATGCAGCCTAATACTCACCCTCAATATGTGCAGAACAGAGATTCTAGACCTTTGAGCATGACGGGGGGCACGATCCATAAGCAAGGGAATTTTTTGAAAATATCAACAATGAGTAGTAGAGATTCTGGTTATAATAGTTTGCCATCGCTTCATTCAAAAGACTCTGAATTACCGGATACACCTCTATCTGATAGGGAACAAAGTTCCGTGGACGGAAGTTTCCCGGAACCGGATACGGTTGAAAATCTTCGAAAGCAATTTAAAGAAAAGGCACAAGAAGACTCTTCCCAGACCTGGGGTACACCTACATTCGCTATTAAGAGGATTGGTGCGAACGGAGATACGTTAACATTACCAGATGGAACTGCAACACTTCAGGTACCAAAAGGTGCACTGAAAGCTGCAAAGGACATTCACATCTACAGAAAACCGTTTCAAACATCAACTGGGATTCCAGTTATAGACTGTGGTCCAGATGGCATCTTATTTGATAAGCCTGTGACACTCATTGTTGAGTGCGATCACCTGACACTAGACCCGAAGAAATTAGCAGTCTTTGCCAAGAATGATGGAGAGGACGCATGGGCTAATTTATCTGATAGGGAAGGATCAAAATGTGAATATGATAAAGAAAACGGGAAGATCACATTCACACTTAAACATTTTACAAAGATAACTGCTGCAGAGAACTCGGCCGATATCAGTGACGATGACAATACGTCACTAAATGATCTAAATGCACCGGGAGCAAATGCTAGTCCACCTCCTGAAGGGGCCACTTGCCAAACACCTTAAGGTCCGTCGATTTCAGAAACTAATGTCGAAAATGAAATTCCATACCATGTGAAGATATTTGTCAATTGTAATGGCAAGGGTGGTGAGTTCAGAATCCACTTGATTCGTGAAGATGATAGAGTTAAATGGAAGGTGGGTGATATTGATGTTAGCATTTGACTAGCCTAGCGCCTATTTATCATCGTCATATTTATAGATTCTCGAGAGAATGTATATAATTGAAAATAACAACCACAAAAAGTTTTGATTGTGCTATAATTTCCAAATTAAAGATATAAGTTCTCTAGAATTACCTCAAAAGTACCATCGAGCCTTCTTTTCTTGTTGACCATTAGTTGTTTTTGAACACGGACGTGAGAGTACACTTGATAAACTATATTAGGTGACATCTATCTAAAATAAATATGTTAATATAAATTCATTAAACCACTATGAACGATATTTGAAAAACTGCAAACTTATTTGAAATCTTAATACACCCTATGATTTTGTTATAGGATATCCGACATAGGTATACTGCTTTTGGTTGGAAAATGCCGTGTCCAGATGTAGACACCGTGATCATTAACACATCCCATGGCCATATTCAAATTAAATGTGATGGAGAAACAAAGGTAATCGCGACTTTTGGAATATTTAATCTAGTGCAGAGGAAAATAATATGAAAATTCTTGTTTCACTGACCACGTATGTGTGTAACGTGTGTGACAGGGGTGTATCCCTGTTTCAGTTCACGTACACGTTTCCATTTTAGTGCACATCAAGTGCATCGAGAGACATTTATCTCTAAACCTGAACGCCACGTGTAAATACAGGTACAGGTTTAATAACGTCATACGTATGGAATGTTTTCTGCTTCATTATTATAGCGTCATAACTGCTTCATCATTCGTTTGGAATAAATTCCCTTATACGAATATTAATGTAACATTTACAAATAAAATTCCCAAATTACAAATACAAATATGATGTATCAAATAAACAAACAGATACTAAATTCGGGTGCATTTTATGTTTGTAAGGAATAGAAATATTTGTAAATAACAATTTATTATTCGCCAACTACAGCTTACAATTTCCCCAAAATTGCCTGTTATTTTATCGATGAGATGTATTTTTACCAATAATAATCTTGCATATTACCCATGAATTGTTGCAGAAAGCAAAGGAATATTCGTACATTAGTGAATGATAAAATGAAACTTTACGAATATAAATGTGAGTTTATGAATGCAAATGTGTTCAGAAGTTCAGTTTACGAATACATATAGTAAAATACGAATAATGAAGCAGAAAACATTCCATTAATTATTCGCATTTTACTATATATGTATGTATTTATTTATTTAAGTGTCACGCCAATATATAAAATTACATATTATTAAAAACTACATAAAATCACTGGCCCTGCCGGTGTCGGCATATGAGACACTATGGTGTACAATAATCACTTTTAAGACCAAAGTTTTTAAATAAGTTAAAATGATCGTCTTTTAATACATAGTTTAATAATTGTCTTTCCCAAACGACGTTGAAGGAGTTCACAGTTCATTATTAAACAATATTTTGCAAGGTTAGATGTTTCAAAGTCCTCGCCAAATATTGTCCTTGCACTATCCATAAGCTCACTCCTCTCGAGCTGGTATAAAGGGCATTCTATCAGAAAATGCAGTTCTGTTTCGACAGCATTACCGCAATGACAGAGGCGCTCCTCAAGAGGCATATTGATATAACGGCCCGTTTCTAATTTTAACGGTAAAGTGCCATATATGCTATATATATGCATTCGTAAATTGAACCTCTGGACTTGTTAAATGCACATTTATGTTCGTAACTTGAGTATTTTCATTCATTGTTTGCCTTTTCTATTCGTTAATCTAATTTGTTTCGTTAAAACGTATATGTATGTGTTTTATACTGAAATACATTCAAAAGTCCTGAAAAGCATTTGTTAGTGACACATTGTATATCCGTATACAAATAAAATGAGTTCATTTTGTACCTTTATCATTGTTTCTGCAAATATATTAATTTGATATCTACGAACCGAATGTCGAATTCATCAATGAATAAGTACTAGCCTTCGCATTTTTATTTTTTAATTGTCGAATTTATTTTCGTAACAAGGTAATATGTTTTCGTAAAAGTGCACATTTATTGTTCGTAAATATCGTCATTTGTATTCTTAAATTGCACTTTTATATTCGTTTTTTATTGGTTTATTAAGATCACGTGATCATTCTCAACGAGACATGGTCAACCCATGGTCAAAGTCATCGCCCCCTCCCCCACACACACCTAAAACTCTCATGTCACGTGACCTATGCCTTGAGACTTGCAGTTTATATTCGTTAATTCACATTTGTATTCGTAAACTCACATTTATATTCGTAAAGTTACATTTTATCATTCGCTAATGTACGAATATTCCTCTGCTTTCTGCAATAATTCATGGGTAATATACTAATATGCAAGATTATTATTGGTAAAAAACACCTCTTCGATAAAATAACAGGCAATTTTGGGGAAATTTACGAATTGTAAGCTGTAGTTGGTGAATAATGAATTGTTAGTTACAAATATTTCTAGTCCTTACAAACATAAAATGCACCCTAATTTAGTATCTATTTGTTTATTTTATACATCATATTTGTATTTGTAATTTGGGAATTTTATTTGTAGATGTTACATTAATATTCGTATAAGGGAATTTATTCCAAACGAATAATGAAGCAGTTATGACGCTATGTTATGTTTATTAACTTCGAAATACTTTTCTTCAACATTTAGGGCATCATTCTCGACAACCTTTTGAAGTGTCCCCAGTACGTTGGTTTTGGGGCGAAGCCAGGGAACGAACATATAGATTTATTGATAAGACAAGAGGGCAGTGGAGTCGAACATCTGCTAAAGACGTTGTTCCCATTGTTAATCTACACAGGCGAAGACAAGCGCAAGGCTCGGAAAGAATTGGTAAGAGGTGTAGCTATTTTTGTCGTATTTTAATAAAATCATAAAAATCACATATGAATAGTGCTTCAAGAAATGCACACATTGTTGTCAACTCATCTTTCTTTCAATATGCATGTCCTTAAGATTTCGTGTTTCGTTTCAAAAATTTCCTTCCTCCTTTCCGTCTTAGACTTTACGGCTATATATACGATTTACTTTACCCCAACAGTTTTCAGAAAATTGTGAGAATGGCTATGTCAATCCATTTAATTATAAATCAGATTATGGCTATAAATTATGTTTTACACATTTAGGCTGAGCAATACTACGTAAAAGAAAAGGATGCGATGCGAGACAATTCGCTATATGGTAGGACATTGTGTCTTGTGCGTCAACCTCAAAATAAAGATGCACCGAGTTTATGTTTGCCGCAAAAGGTCAGCGACGTCAATTGCAAGGCATCTTCAAGACAAGAACGTGCAATAGTTGAAGCTGAGGAGGACCATGGAGCTGAGCGTGGTCCCATCCAACACGATGACAGGACATCATATAAGGACAATGAATCTTCTGAAGACGTGCATGGAAATGATCATATGTCGAATTACTCTTCCGAACTTGATTCTAATCCAAATAAACTGCTACGAAAAAAGAACTTAAGACAATATACTCAAGATAGTTCTAATAGCTTGAATGACAGCCTCAAAACGGGCCAAGTGGAGGTGGAAAATATTTGGGTAGGCTTTGTAGGCGAAGAAACTGTCAATTATTCAATAGAAACTGAACCGGGATCGCATTCTGAAGAAAAAATCACAGAACCTAAGGGTACAGATAGCGGGTACATCAGTGGTCCCAAACCATTGGTGGGTATTGATTTTCAAATTGTTGACAGGGGAAACTTTTTAGGGACCAATAAGTTTTAAACATAAAGGCCAGTGTGCCTGACATGGGTTGGTGGGGAAACCCCTGACATTGAAAATAGGACCATAGCACATGCTTATACCTTTAGTCATCGGACAAAATGGATGCAGAATTGTTTGTTATAGAGAATAGTTTTAAGAACTATGAATTGTTTATCTAGATATACATATACGCGGATATTTTTTATACGAAGTTTACATTTAATGAAATACAATTATTACATGGGCGTAGGCAGCTTTCATGCAGTCAGGATGAGGGGGGAGCGGTTTTCAGTCAGGGGGTTCGATTGTGGCATAAACACGCCAAAGAATTAAGATTTATCTTGAATTTTACAAAAATTGATGCAACTTCCTTCAAAATTGAGCTAGAAGCTTCATATGAAAAGCATTTTAAAGTTCTTTTCTTCTTCTTTCTCATGGTTATATTCTTATTGGTTATGGGGGGGGGGGGGGTTATGGTTATGGGGGTGCGTTTGCACCCATCGCACCCCCCTGGCTACGCCTATGTATTATATGTTAAATATGTTACTTATATATACTATGATCTGTGATAGCACAACTTGAGGTTAATTCTCATTCTCATTCTTTTTATGATAATGTTTAGAAGTAATTGAAGAAATATGAAGTTAATACATGATGGTAACAAATCAAGAAATCTCCTATGGCAGCGTATACCGCTACACTAGCCGTATAGAATTTCCATATCATCCGTGATTAAGCCAGTTTGTTTGCAATCTGATACCTCTGCAGTAGGAGTCTTGGAAGAGTGTAGCTACTTAACATTAATAAGGCATAAACATGAATACTTAACTGTTAAAATGTCTAATGGATAAACATAGAAACGTCTTGTGTTAATTGAATGTAAAGCTGTGTATAATGCTACATTTTCTAGTCACTAGTACCCCACACAAGTTTTCGATAATAACTTTAACCCTTGATTTGAACACTCGAGATCTACTATTTGTTATTAATTTAGCACACATGAACTCGAGGCAATTTCCACATTGGAAATTTTTTATTTTTGTTTTACTTCAAAGCAACTGAACCAAGGATGTCATTAATCCTTTTTAACAAATTTGATGTCATAAAATCAAAATTAAGAATTGTTAAAGTAAGTCTTTATGGTCTTTTTGAATAGTCTATTGGTAGTCTGTATATAGACAGCTATAAGCTTTGTCTATCAACAAAGCTTTATTTTGCTAATATACTTGCCCTTGATATCTAGTTGTCCCGGTCATAAATGTACTACAATTAACATCATGTTCATTGAAACAATGTAACGATGGCAATATGTGTAGCATATGGCTAAATTTAATTTAAATAGTAGGCTTATAGGGGAGAATGTTCAAATCATGGGTCAAAGTTATTATCAAAAACTTGTGTGGGGTACTATAATACTGATCCTACAGTAAACTCCAGAAACTCACACTCTATGTACAGTACTTGTAAAATGTCTAAATATGACAAAAAATTTGCAACCGAAAAGGATATAAAGATCACAACAAAAGTTTGCAAAGATAACTATCCCGTATATTCTAATCAACCCCTACTGAGATCAATCTACTGAAATATTTGTCACTCAAAATAGATTTAAAAAAACGGTTGGAAATATTTGAGATAGCAGCATTCTTTCACAGTACTCTACATTAAAATTACTGATAGATCCAAGGCTTTAGATGGATTCGATAAATAGTACTATTAAATGATAAAGTTTGCTACATTTAAAATGTAAAGTGTAACGTATTCTCTTAAAAGCAGTTTGGTTTCTTCTATTACTGTAAACTCTTTATATTAGCTTAATCTTTCAGAAATTAATCAACAAAATCTCATCCTTTTAAATAATCTAACAATGATTTTTTAACAGTATGCATTCTATTTATTTATAATTTGTCAAAAGACTAAGGGAAATAAGATAAATAACATGATTATCTCAAAAACCTAAAAGATGAGAAATGAAATATATTTCCCTGTGTACAGTAACACAGATCTGAGTTCTACCAAAACCCTAATTCTGCTTTGAGAAGCAACTTCAGCAACTTGCTGGAATATGAGACCACATTAATGTTTGCGTTGACAGCTTAATGGGCCTAGATAGGGATTTAACATGCAGCATAGTTATACTGGTAGCGGTATACGCGTTTCTTGATTTGAATACAGTGTTGAAATGATTTTTGACCATTTGATTGATAATGAACAAGATATACATAGCATACATTTTCAATTATATGACAAACGAGAATCAATTCCTTCAGTTTGAGAATGAGGATTTTCCACTTTTAGATTGTTATACTCCTTTCAACTGAGGATATGAGGATACGAAGATTTTAATCTAGACATAATCTTAGTCTCTTAATCTTCCAGGTAACACTCTCTTAGGTCAAGGCTATACATTTATTGGCCCTATTTGCACTGATAATGGTGATTTTTTTCTATTATGTACGGACGTGAAGTAATAAAAAAAATTTATGTCATTATATTCTGCCAACAAATATACAGGTTGTTATGTCAACTACTTCTATTTTTGCCTGACCTTTTTTTGAACCATCTACATCTACAGTGTACACAAAAAGAATTAATTAAAACGACATTTACTGAACATTAAATATGTAGTAAAAGGATGTCATATTTGAAGTCTCTTCATGTAAAATTGCATCTAAAAGTGTGGTTTAAAAAACTATTAGAAACTTTGAAAATTCAATTTTCTTTGAAAATATGACTTCTAGGTCGGGGAAATTCCCCATAGACCCCATGTTAAAAAATCGCAAAAAGTGAAATATCTTTTCTTGTGTTGGGCAGATAATGATTTCTTTTACTGGACATATTTTCGTTTGTATAACTATCAGACACATAAGAATTATATGAAAATTGATCCACTAAAACTGATAATATTCATGTTTAAGGGAACTTTCTTATATATCTGCCATATCAATTAACCCGAATCAGCCACCTGGTGGTGATACTGGGAACTACCTATTCGCATCTGGGTAATTTTATTGGTATTGAAGCTAGAAGCCCCGGTGACATGATATTATTGTATTGCATTGTGCGGCTCCATATTTGCTTTCATGGTTGAGTATACAAGGACGAGACAGCCTTTAAATAGAGCAGGTCTTGTCATGTGTACACCTTTGAAGCAGGCCCGTAGCCAACCATTGACAAGGGGGTTCAGTTTTTACAAAATTCCAGGGGGTGTTCTCAAAATGGTATAAAAACCGCTTGATTTTGAACCCCTTCCCGGGCTATGGGCTTGTAGAGGATATACGTGTAGTTGCAAAATAAAATTTGGTTCAAGTTTCCCACAGGTTTTCTTACTTGCTTTATCTATTTTTCCATCCAGCTGTGGAAACAGTACATCTGATATTCTTAAATAGTCAAGCCTCAACTTAGTGCTTGTGAACCCCCTACACAAACTTACATGTAAGACATACTCACCTACAAAAGGTGTGGAAAATGGAGGCAGGGCAGAGTTTAATGCAATCAGTATTGTTTGAAGATCTTAAGTTTTATTACAGTATGTAGATATACTGTAGTATTTAGTATATAAAAAGGTATAGCCCAGTCCTAGCATTAGTAGATGCTTTTGGCATTGGAACTAAACGTGTGTAGCTGTAAGCTCGAGGGTATTCGTGTATACTGCTGAAACCCGATCAGCCACAACAGCTCACACCCTCGAATTTTCAGATCGGTCGGCTGAAGCAGTTTAGTGCGGATAGATAGGAAAGACTGATTTGATCTGAACTATAATGGAATTGAAAATGTTAAGCGCATTGGGATCTTTTGTAATCATTTTAGCGTGTGTTCATGCTCAGGTAAGGAGTATTTTCTAGTTTTTTCTAAAGTACGGTTTATAGTCCTGTAAGAATAAAAAAGGATTGAAAATTATTGTTAAATTTAATACGGTCGGGACCATGTATGTTTCGTATAATAAGCATTTCTGTTAACTGGATATTTCTATACAGCTATTCATATCATATTTCATCATAGTTCATCAAAGAATCCATGAGAAGTAGGGCTAGCGAACATGTTCTCAGATATTTCATTAGAAATTGCAATTATGAAAACCTCATCTTGAAAATTCATGATACGAATACACCTTGTTTAATGCAAACTCTTTTTATGATATTTCAAATTATGCTTACAGATGATATATCACAATGATGTGCGACAAATGGTAAATCATGATAATCAATTGTTCAACTTGCCATGATATATATCAAATTGGTCATCTGTGGGCAAATAGTCTAAGAAAAGTATTTTGGACATCCTTACAAATTATTTACTCTGTTACTAGGTAGCACCTAGAATTGTGACGAAATTGTCTATCTTGACTTTTTGTGTCTTTCCCTGAAGCTCACTTTCAGATTCCGAATAGCTTCAATATCCCTAGGCCTATTTTGCATCGTAAAAAGAATATTGCTTGTTAGAAAACAGAAAAATCACATTCTTCATATTGCTCATATAAACGTGTTCATCTCTGATCCTTACTCTTTAAAATTTCCATTCTGACAGCATTTGAGTCAACAAATACTTTTGGCATTGGTTTTTATTCTTAAAACTGTTTCATCGGAGAGAAAAAACATCAAAACATTAAAGTACGGCTTTCTTTCGGCCAAATAGCTGTATCGCGCAACTCATCAGTTTGGTTTATATTAGTTGCCAAAACAAAAATATGTTTTTGGGTGTAGCTCGGAAGATTAATTTGAGCTCCATGTTCTCCTATCTGAATGTTGACATTTGACCGAACTTCCCTTGCAGAGTTATAACCTCACACGTCACACCTGGCAAACCTATATAGTACCTGAACTTACTTGAACATGTGTTTCTTCTATATCTTACGGCTACCAATGTGCAATTTTGTTACATAAACATTGGCTGTAGAGACCACGGACGGCAGTATAGGATGTAAGAAAATGTTACAGTTGTTTTTCGTTTTTGCCCGAGCATTTCTACTACTATATTTGTACTTTTTATTTTATGTCGATGTAGTTTTAATACATTTAAATTTGACGTTATTTTTTGGATTCCCTTCCATTTAATGTGAAATATCCCGTAGAGTAGCACCTCGGGTACAAGTATTTCCACTGGGATTTTAGATCCAGCCTAACCCCAAATTGCTTCTGACAGTTTTATCACGTCTTCTCATCATTCCTGCCATACGCGCAACATGTATGTAAAAGTATTTTCATAAACAACATCATACCGTGAAAAACTCCCTCGCAAGCTATATTCTCACCATTAGTTTTCAACTCCAAATTCAATTCTGATAATCATATACATCACAAATACATATGTTCATAAAGTTTTCTTTAATAAAAGCAATGTTTCTTCATAAAGTAGCTGTTTTGTGCTATAAAATCATGTCAGGTTTTAAGGGCTCATTAACGTCTTCAAAATGTCAAGGTTCAGAAATATTGCAATATTATGATGTGCCATGAGGAATAAGTGCAATGCAGCGTTTGTAAAATGCAGCTGTACATGCCCAGTCTTCTCAGTACTGATACGTACCATATCATTGTATTGTATCGTATTGTATGTATGGATCGTATCGTACGGTATCGTATTGTATTGTAAATGTATTTATTCCCTTCAGAACATTATGGCTGTGAAATATCCGTTTTACATATCTCATGTATACAAGTTGAAGACGTTTATCAAAGAAGGAATCGCTGGAGTACCAAATATTTATCTTAGATTTGGTTATCTTACACATCCTACGCCCCAAGTGCCTGGTTAGGGTTACTTCAATGTAAAAATTCACTTTTCGTACATCTCGTGAACACACTTGATTGTCGTCATGGTTTTACATTTTAGGTAACTAGACCCACAACAACGTCTTCAAGTAAATCGTCATTCAAAGTAACGACAATATTGGTAAGTCTCTCTGTGACTAATTATTCAATTTGTAGCGTAGAAACCAGATTTAAGAAAATCAGTAGTCAATAAATTATGTGTCAATATCTTATTTTCCTCCCTAGCATCCTCCTTACTTAGAAGAGAGACCCAGGTACTACCCATCAATGCAGGGTAACCAGATGTATAGGGGGTTCATAAAGGACCTTTTGGACAGACTGGCGGAGAAGGGAGACTTTGACTACACGTTAAATACAGTGGAGGATGGGCAATATGGGTCTAGTGACAATGGAACATGGAAAGGGATGATTGGAGAACTTCAGCGTAAGGTGAGTTGTTAAATGATTCAACAAGTCATCGGGTTTATCTGGATCAACATTTTGGAGGCACTTCTCGTTCAATGTTAAACTCAGATCGATGACGATGCGTACAACAAATGTATATCCCCGGGTATATATCATCACTTTTACCAAGTATGGAACATAATCCGGACAGTGTATCATTGGTCCTTAATTGACCCTTTTCTATATAAATGGAAAAAACTGAGATGGCATCATGGGTATTGGTAGGGCTAAATAACATGGCAACTTAATAGCAAGAGTCATTTAATTTCTTGATTTAACAAGTAATTCCATTTGGATCAACTTAACTATGATTTCACATTAAAATTGTGATCCTTCATGTCCTTATATGAGTAAATGAACCTTTAAAGGTTTTTCAACATTGTGTCAATGGAGATTTAGCCCGACCATTTTTAGAAAACTTGGAAATGTCTAGAATTTGAATAAAGGTAAATAACAGTGCAAATAATGCAGATGCGAGTAGGTAGTTACCAGATTCACCACCAGGTGGCTCGTTCGGGTCAGATAGCATGGCGGGTATAGGAGAAAGTTCCCTTTAACTTAAATCACATCTGTTTTAATGGTTAAATTTTCATATAACCCTTATGTATCTAATAGTTATGCAAATGGAAATACGTCCAGTAAAAGAAAATGTTATCTATCCAATACAAGAAAAGATATTTCACTTTTTGTGATTTTGTAACATGTGGTCTATGGGGAATCAACCCGAACAGGAAGTCACATTTTCCAAAAAATTAAATTTTCAAAGTTGATAAACAATTTTCGAAACCATATTTCTAGTTGTACTTTTACAAGCAGATTTCAAATATGACATCACTTTTAGTGAATTTTGAATATTTAATGAAGTAGATCAAGATTATTTCTACTCGCACCTAGTCTATTAAAATTGTTTTGATAGAAAATTACACACAGAATTCAAACATGCCGTTCATGCCGTCAACAATATGCCGTCAAATTGAAGAAAATTTTAGTCTTTAGTGGTTAAAAATGCAGATCACTAAAATCTCATCAAAAACTAGGCTTAAACGAGATTTCAAAGCTATATGGAAAACCCTCTATTGAAACAATTGTATAGTGTATACACCGCAGGGGTTAATCTGCAATTTTGAAGAGAGCACAATCATTTGCATTTTTGTCAGACTGAGTCCAATTTCTAAGAAAGGCCAGTTTTCTAAAATAAAAACGAGCCCATTTTTCATAAAACTCCCGACAAAAATTTTGAAAAAAGTCTGTGCCCCCGATCAGCCAATGATGATGATATGTACATACATTTTCTTTCTACAGGAGGCAGATATCGCAGCAGCCGGTTTAACAGTCACCCCTGAGCGTCTTGCTGTCGTTGATTTCACACGGCCAATAATGACAACAGGTCCTACCATCCTACTGAAGAAGGAGCAGGGCTACAAGTATAATATCTACGCCAAACGTGTTTTCCGTCTCCTACTGCCGTTCACTTACGGAACCTGGCTGTTGATCGTCCTCTCCTTCGTCTTAACGGGCCTGGTGCTCTATGGAGTTGGAAGACTGAGCCCATATGAGTGGAAGGGGCGATCTTTGGATGAGGGGTTCGGCGAGGAATGCAAGAAGTACTTTAACGCAAGGAATAGCTTCTGGTTCGCATTGAGCACATTAACATGGCAAGGTATAGTATGATATACCATGTCATCAGTACCGTATCTTCTAGCAATAACACAGCCATTGTAACAATGTAAGCTACCAATTTAACAATACCATTGTAATCATCTTTACCATAATTTCCATCAAAAAAAAAATACCACTGAAATCATATCAACCATAATTTCCACCAATTTAACACACCATTGTAACCGTATTAAACATAATTTCCACCCATTTAACATTTCCATTGCAGCCAAATCATGTTGACCATATAATTTCTATCAATTTAATATTTCCATTATAAACATGTTTACCATATCCCATCAATTTAACATTACCATGATTGTAGTTTGTAACTTTATTAACTATAAATTCCATCAACTTAACTGTCTACGGTTACATAATTTAGTAAAATAAAATATTCATTCACCATGGTTACCACATAAACATGTTACTATGATTACCATATCTACAATTTGAAAAGGTCAAATAATAATAGTACAATATAGACCCAAACTCCATTCGCCTCATATTCGATCCCCTACTTCACATTTTGGTGGAACCTGATGTACTAATGTATTGGTGTAACTGTATAGTGATGATATTCCTTAAATCAGTCTTTTCTTGCTCCGAATATTTTTGTATTCGAAAAAACCTAACGTTGTCAAACCTTGCGGATTTTAGAAAAATGCTGGATTTTATACGTCAGGACTTCATATTTGAGCAGAATATGGTAATTTCGTATTTTATTTTCGAACTTATTGGCAATACCGAAATAAATAAGAGGCACAAACACAACTTCTCAAATTTGAGACATTTTAAAGAAGCGGCACGTGTTTTATTAACTTACGTTCTATTACGTCCGCGAGTTGAGTATAAATAAAAACATGTGCACTTCTCACTCAAAGCACACACAACTCTCAATCAGTAAACATCGTGAGGAAGTCAAGAATACAAAATGCCTGGATCGCCGAAGAGAAAGTCCCCTAAGAAGGTTGCTGCTCATCCCAAGTACTCAGAAATGATTGCAGCCGCTGTGACCAGCCTCCACGATCGAGGTGGTTCATCCCGACAAGCAATTTCCAAGTACATTATGGCGAACTACACCGGTCTTGGACCAGATACTGCTGTGAATTCTCGTCTGAAGATTGCTCTCCGAGAGGGGATCAAGAAAGGCACGCTTAAGCACTCTAAAGGTGTCGGCGCTTCTGGGTCATTCCGAATGGTTGGCAGTACCCCGAAGAAGCCAACAAAGATAAAGAAATCTAAGAAATCCAAGAAAACAGTAAAACCAAAATCACCAAAAAAGCCAAAGAAACCATCTGGAAAGAAAGTATCAAAGAAGCAAAAGAGAGCTAACAAACAGCAAAGGAAACAGCCAGGAAAGAAAGCAAAACAACAAAGGCCAAAGAATGTAAAGAAAATGAAATCGAAGAAGTCTGCCAAGAAAGGAAAGAAATAAGCAACAAACACCAAAAGACCCCCGGCCCTTCTCAGGGCCACCAATCGCTTCGAAAGAGAAATTTTGAATATGAAGAATTTAGGCTGATGTGCATTGCTTTTGGCATTGCAAATGCATTGCTTAATGATTTTTTAAATACGAAGACGAAGGTCAAGATGAATGTATTTAAGTGTGTAGTATGATCATTCAATGTTGGTACCCAATTTCACGGCGTTTCATATATAGATATGGTATAAAATAAAAATAGTAACACATTCACCGATTCACTGGTGATCCACTCGATTACGCGGGTTACCAAAACGATTCGTTTTGGTAACAAAATGTCGGAACATCCGGAAGGTACGATTTTTCTCGTTTCCTTATTTTACACGTTGTAGTCTAGGCAGAATTCCCACGACATTTTTTAACACAAACGTGTATCAGTATCATATGTTTAAGAAATTGTACATATTTGCGAACAAATAGTTCAGAAGACAACAGAATCGTCGATTTACTTCCTCACTTAAGTTACCTAAACGGTTTGGGTTAAATGTGCAGATCTTAACTGTTTTTCGAAAAACCGTTTATGTATCTTAAGTGAAACTTAAAATGTCGGAACGTCGAAGGCATGATTTTTCATTTTTCCTTATTTCACGCGTTGTAAGCAGAATCCCCACGACGTTTTTTCTCACAACGTGCATCAGTATCATATGTTTTAGAAAATGTACATGTTTGCGAAAAAATAGCTCAGAGGACAACAGAATCATCGATTTACTTCCTCACTTAAGTTACCTAAACGGTTTGGGTTAAATGTGCAGATCTTAACTGTTTTTCGAAAAACCGTTTATGTAACTTAAGTGAGGAAGTAAATCGACGATTCTGTTGTCCTCTGAGCTATTTTTTCGCAAACATGTACATTTTCTAAAACATATGATACTGATGCACGTTGTGAGAAAAAACGTCGTGGGGATTCTGCTTACAACGCGTGAAATAAGGAAAAATGAAAAATCGTGCCTTCGACGTTCCGACATTTTGTTACCAAAACGGTTCGTTTTTGTAACCAGCGTAATCGAGTGGATCACCAGTGCGATTGTGAAATGTGTTGTAGTGACGAGGAATATTGATGTCAATTTAATCATAGCAATGTACTCACGGGGCTTTTTAAAATTAGAATTTCACTGGACTAAGTCTGGTGAATATCGTTTGATATTCAACGGAAGTAATGTGACTTCCGTTGAATATCGCTTGTTATCCTATGGTTACAAGGATAAAGACCGAATATTAGGTGAAGATATGTTTGATATGTGGATCAAGATATCATATTTTACCAAAAAAACAAACCATCGAATATCACTTCTCAAACCATCGAATATCACTTATCAAAAAGTGATATTCGATGGTTTCAAAAGTGATATTCTATGGTTTCAAAAGTGATATTCGATGGTCTACATTTTTTTCAATAATTTTTTGGCAAATTTTTTTCTCAACATTTTTTTCAAGATTTTCTTAAAAAATTTTTTTAGATTTTTTCCTTCAAATTTTTTTAAAGATCTTTTAAAAAAATATTTTTTTACATTTTTTTTCGCTGGGTTAAGATTTCCCATGGGATAAACGGACAATCCTATATTATCCCATGGTTGCAAGGATATAGATCGAATATCATGTGAAGATATATTGGATATGTGGATCAAGATATCATATCCCCAAACTAGTTTCGATTTTTTCAAATTCTTTTTTTTCATTTTTTTTCAAAATTAAAAAAACCCTCACATTTGACACATTTTTTTTAAATTTTCCTTTTTATCGCTCGGTAATGATTTCTCATGGGATAAACGGACAATCCTATGGTTGGTAGTTCACATGGTGAGCTATTGCAATCACTCACTTGTCCGTCTGTCTGTCCGTCCGTCTGTCTGTCAACAATTGGCCAGTTTTAAAACCTCTGTCAGTAGGATTCCCGTTTTAAATTATTTTTGTTCAACATCAATATAGCAAACTCCCCTATAACTCCTGGTTCAAAATCTCGCCTATTTCAAAATGGCCGCCATTTTTGTCTCGCGAAATTCACTTTTGGCCCATTTCCTAGCTTTACAAATAATTTCAGGTGTCCTGCATTGTAAAAAGCCATTTACTGTAACATGTGTAAAGAGAAGTTGTATGCAATTATTTTGTTACAAAAAATCGGCAAAAATTTATATCCGTTTTTTTTATTTTCAGCCATTTTAGTTCACATTGATTTGTCCATCTATTTCGCGAAATCCACTTTTGGACCATTTGCCTCTGACGGTAAAATTCCCGTTTAAAGTTATTTTTGTTCAACATCAATACAGAAAACTCCCCTATGACTCATGGTTCAAAAGCTCGCCTATTTTCAAAATGGTCCCCACAATTTACTAGCTTTACAAATAATTTCAGATGTCCTGCATTGTAAAAAGCCATGTCAATGTAAAGAGTAGTTGTATGAAATAGTTTTGTTACAAAAAATCAGCAAAAATTACATCCATTTTTTTTATTTTCTGCCATTTTAGCCATCATTCACTTTTGAGCAACACCATGTGAGCCCAGTACACATGGTTCTATTTTTATTTAAAAATATCAATTATAGCATATCCACTCATGGATATCAATATCTACTCATGGATATAAGTGATACTTTTCAAAACCATAGGATATTTCTATATTATTTTTTAGTTACGTGTAGGACATGGACCAATTCGGTAGTCAGTGTTGAAGAAATCCTTTTAAAATCAATTCACTGACTCCATAAATGCTACATAAAACGAGGCCTCTGTAACACATAACTTATCTTTATATTCTAGGTTACTCAAAGGCACCGAGAGCCATATCAGGTCGGATTGTGGCGGGGACATGGTGGGCGTTTACCTTATTTATCCTTATTGGCTACACCGCTAGTTTAACAAGGCAGTTCATTGTACCACTCCCTGGACACACCGACCCTCCAATTCACTCCGTCGAAGATTTGGCATCTCAGAGTGATATCAAATATGGAACAATCGAATACGGGTCGACCTCTGCATTCTTCAGGGATTCACCGTAAGTTTTAAGATTGTGCGTTATTCCCTGCGGCCCACATCGACCATAAAACCCAACGCATCAAAGTTTTAACATTCAATTTTTTCACACACTCACTTTAAGTTTTTTGGCGTCTGACTTAAAGATGTAGTTCAAACGCTTATCAAATTACATGCGTGTCCTATCTTAATAAAATCCTTATATTATAAACATATCACATAAATAAATAAAAAAACAAAAAACATGTTCTCTTATTTAGTAAAGCATAATAGAAAATTGCCGATATTTGCTTCATTGAAATTGAACCGACAAATTAAATCTTAGCAAAATAATCGAAGGTTGAACAAGTACTTACACTTCACGAGAATTTGGATTTTTACCTGAAAATAACATATAAAACAATAAAAACATATAACAAAGAATGCAGCATTTCACGTTGTTCTTGCTTTCAGAATTAATTTATTCCAAAAGATGTGGGAAACCATGAATTTAGACCCTTCTGTATTCGTTAATACTACCAAAGAAGGGATCGAGAAGGTGAAAGCATCTGATGGGAGCTATGCGTTTATAGTGGACGCGAGCATTGCTGAATACGAGAGTGGTGTAGACGAAGAATGTGAACTAATTACTATCGGCGAGGCTTTATCTCAAACGAACCAAGCTTTGGCTGTGCAGAAAGGATCTCCATTGCTCGACATTTTGAATTCCGCCATTTTGGAAATGCAGCATAACGGGGAATTACTACGTTTGCAGACGAAATGGTGGGATTGGTCTGGAACGTGTGAAGCAAGAAAGCCGACAGCTCGTGGTTCAACGGGTGGTTCACGTGGAAAACCCGCGATAAATGTTGAAGTAATAGATCTCGCATTTGCCTTCATTGTGCTGGCAGTTGGGTTGGTAGCCGGTCTTTTATGCTGTGTTGGGGAGATTCTTTTCTCAAAGAGACATGGCAAGGTAAATGAAGTTAACTTATTGACAGTCAGACAGTAAACACCCACTTAACTTATTTTTGAGCATAAGATCTGTTGATGCATACACATTTACGAAAGGGATTAATATGTATATGTATTTTCCTTCCAGAGACAGTCGTATACACCCAGAAACGCAGTCGTTGAAGAGGATGCATCATAATGCGATGATGACATATTTTGAAATGTCGGGTTTCAAAATCACCTGGTGGAGCCCAGGAGCATTTTGGCGTTTATAGAAATTGCATCATGAATGGTAACAATTGTAGGCTTTTTAATGCAATACCAACTGCAAATTCTAAAGTTGGTTCGTTTATCACAGGACATTGTGTTACTGTTATTGCAGTTAGTGATAGAACGACGCACCTAGCTGTTTGACTGCTATTGCCATCTATCAATGAAGCATTGTTTGAATTCGTACTGCTCAGCTGCTATTTAAACGAGCATTATTTTTCTAATTAGAAAGTTATAGATTGTTCAATACTTAGTTTAGTCCAGTTAACGAGTTTTTCATCATCGTTTTAGGGTAGTCTTTTTATAGCATTTTTTTTATCATACTATAAGGGTGGTCATAAATAAACCAAAATTACTGAATGATTTTAATTCGTAAACCTCAGTCGACACATTTGCAATACGGCGATCGTCCGTCGACAGTGTTCCCTGAATAGGTAAATTCCAATGGCAACCGTAGAAAACAGTTTCCGTGCGACGCATCCAATTCATCACAGGCCATATGGCCACAGGCCACAGGTCTCAGTAGAAATGATAACTCGGAGTTATAACTTTTTTCATTTCTACGGCCATCGTAGAAACAACAAGCCGTACCCATACCGTTCAACGATGGCCGTGCGTTGGGCGCACGGCCGAGTTGCGATTTTTCTAGGATTTTATGAGTTACAATTGACCTTTGCAAACCTTAGGGTGTCCATACGGTGACCTTGCGTCATCATTTAAAAGGCCGTACGGCAACCGTAGTTTTTCTGTCTCTACAAAACATCAAAATAGGTCGCATGGATTTTGTAGCAAATGTGAATTCCCACGACAGCCGTAGAATAGCTATTGGCCGTAGAAATGGTATACCGTATGGTCGCCGTTGCAAAGGTGACTGAGGTTTAGTGGTACGTGTATGTAACTTGCAGCATCAAAAGATTCCTTTTGAAAATATCAACACCCGGAAATAACTTATCTACAGTGAGACCAGAAAAAAGTGGACAGTTAAAATAAGAGCTATCATGGCGAGGAAATGTGTCAGAGTGATCAATGATTTTAAGCGCAGAATCTAAGTTTGTTTCTAGTGCCAGGGAGCACATACGGGGCATGTCCTGAAATAGACATCAAATACAAAATGGAAGAAGATTGACATTTCACACTTTGACATAATGGCATACATTGACAAATGTACATTTGTGCCTAAAAATGAACCTGATCATGGCATTTATGTTGAAGTTCCACTTTTTCTGATCACCTTGTAGTAATAACGAGTTAAATTAGAATTTTACTACTCTCACCATACCAGTGATGATTCAATTTCGAAGGGCAATATAATTTCACTTTCTAGTTCTACACAGCATATTTTTTCAATCTTCGAAAATAACAGAGAAATAAGGCTTATATGAATGTCTTTTGATTATGTAAGTTGCATATCATTATGAATTAGGGGTATTTTAGGATGGTAATCAGACAACTCATCCACTGGACAACTCATCTCCTGTACAACTCATCCACTGGATAATTCATCCACTGGATAATTCATCCACTGGATAATTCATCCTTGTTCATAGCTCAAATACTCTTTAATCCAAAGATTATTTTTCACAGCATACACAGATGAAATTACTTAACATGTTTCCAAGTTGTTTTTTTGTCATGAAATATTGAGTCATATTGAGTCATGTAATATAAGGACAAGAGAACAGAATTTTTCTGGCACCGTTTGACTGCAATATCAAAAAAGTTCTTTCATAATTATGTGTCAATAAAGTGAAAATAATATTTTGAATGGTCCAAGGTGTATTCATTGAATTAAAATATCTCTTTTCCAGAAACACATTACAATTTAGATTCGTGTGATAAAGGATGCGTTTTCCAGGAATGAGCTGACTAGGGGATCAGGTATCTAGGGTATGAGATGTCCAGGGGATGAGTTGTCCTTAAAACAGTTACAGATTCTGGTCTTATGTGTTGAGCAGTTCTTGTGCTGAGTCGGCAATTAGAATACATCAATTTTGATAATAAATTGATATACATCGAATGTAAAAGATTTTGTTAACTTGTATTAGCACGATCAATTCAGAATCAAATATAGCATCTATTATTGTCGTTCTAAAAGTCCTGACTTATACGTACTAGATATCTAGGATCAAGGCCCCAAGAAGACCCACTAACTGAGGCCCTACAAAATTTGAGGCCCAAAATTTTTCTAGGCCCCTGGATCCACCAATGCAAGTTTATTAATCGGAGTGTGATGGGGAATTCGAAATGATTGGCATTACACAATAAGAAATACTGCTACTATTGTCACTCTGCTACTCGATTCCCGGGCCTCGGATTCACCAGGCATGACCTTGGAACAAGGGGCTGAAATGATTATAAATCCCCGCACAAATCATTTTAATTAAGCTGAAAGTATATGCACTTTCACGTATTTATTATCACCGCGATCTTTGTTTCCATAGAACGACGATCTTTCTCGCTGCAACTTAGACCTAGAAGTGGCGACCACCAGATATGGTGAACATTGTCGAACGTAAATAATACCATGATATGCATAGTCTAATTCCAAGCCTGGCGCTCGGGCTCCCCTGACCTTTTTCATAGACTGCAATCTTTAGAACAGGAATGGGTATAGCTTTTGCATGGATTCCTAAGCGTCTTGCATTGTTCCTAAGTTATACCTAGAGAATAGGCAATGATTTATAGAGTTACATTATTGCATTGAAAATATTTCTTGTGCCGAGTATGGTAATTGTTACGAGGTATTGCAAGAATAAATGGTGTTTTTAAATGATGTTTTTCCCATTCATGATAATTGCAAATATTTGAATTTCATTAATAGGAGCCTTTTGAATGATATGATAAATTGGCTTAATAGCTTTCATGTCAATGCCAACGACATATTTACCAGAACGGTATAGCTCATTACTAAATCATAATGAATCGACGTAAGCTACAATTGCAATTTATGATTACTGTTATTCGTAATCTATGTTTAATATTATTTAGACCTAAATTGATTTATTGGCAGGTTCTCACTCGACCCATTAGTATGATTGATAAGTTTGCACAATACTGAATGTGAGAATTTCCAGCAATTTCCGATATGCCTGGATGTGAACAAATTCAAATAATCTCTAAAGGATTGTGTGATGAACTTCCTCTGGGAATTTGTATTGTTGCAAATTCATATTACTAAAACAAGCCATTTAAACGATCGAGTATCGAATAATAACTTGCAAAATCTTCTTTCATTCTTTCAGATTCACTCTTCAGAAAAAATTAAGAAGATTACACCTTATTTGAGAGCCTTATTAAAAATAGAGGGTAGTGATTAATAAACGTACTTGAATAATGATAATGGCAAGAAGTAGAATCCTTAGCAAGAAGTAGAATCCTTACTTGACAGACGAAGTCCTAGTAAACGTACTTGTGTGATACACAACTTTGGAAGTCTTGTGACACAAGGCGGTATCTACAAACGATGACAAGATATAATTTTTCCCGTGTGGTTGCTATGGCGACTCAAAGACGGATGGGTATACTGGGAAATATGAATCATTTCTACATTATGTCAATGGACAGCACTATTAACGTATTAACCTAAAGTAACCTAATACTCAAATGGACTAATTTGCTAATTTGTTGATTCCTTAATGAATATATTTTTTTTATCAACGGGCTATATACATCTAATATCACAGAAACCATGGTATAAATGCCAATATAGTATATGTTATATGAAACACCGTAGTATAATTTAATTAATAGTACAATAACGTCATTTCTAAGGGCGATATAGTGAATTATTATATCATTGCTAGAATTTGTGTCCTTCGATTGGCTGATTCAGTACCATGTGATCAAAAATACCAAAGCGTATTTCACAGCTCCCTTAATTTTTGAATCATAAAAGACGTATTGCCCGGCGTATTGCCCGCCCGGGAATTCTGAATCGTCCCATTTCGTCCAGTACATTTGTGACATGCATTAAAATGGCAGACGGAAAAAGATTTAAAAGTCTGAATTCCGATTAAAATAACGACATCTTGAGGGATGTGCATTCTAAAAACACCATTAAATCAACGGAAAAGTCTTGAAACATTTTCAAGTGTTATGTGGACGAAAAAGATATCGAAATAGACGTTAAATCTATCGATAAAATCGTTCTGGATGGAATTTTTAGAGGATTATTTTCTTGAACTGCGAACGAAGGATGGGGAATATTACAAGTCAGTCTGCAAAGTATTCATCATGGACTCAATAGGCACATACAAAGTCTACGCAATGATATAAATATCATCAACGACTCTGAATTCACCAGATCAGTCAAAGACAGCTTATGTTGCTATGAGAAAGCATTTGAAATCATTGGGAAAAGGAGACACAAAACACCACGTCACCAACCAATAAGTCAAGACGATAGCTCTATTACCAAAATTTATGACTATTTTCGATACGCCCATCATTCAAACACTGTGCTTCAACTCAAACAACACTTCGCAATTAAGTTAGTTCTAATTAATCTAGAATGATATAATAAAACAAATATTTCATTCTATGTTCGGGCAATACCTGTTGCACTTTCAATGATTTTTGCAGCATGTATTTCCCTCGCCCTTCGGGCTGCGGGCAATACATGCTGCAAAAATCATTGAAAGATGAACAGGTATTGCCCTCAATAGAATGAAATATTTGCTTAATATTGGACCAAGAGCCGAAGGCCCAAGGTCCAATATTTCACTACATCGCTCGCAGAAATGACGTTATTACTTTTATTACCACCGTTAACGACCAGGACTGAAACAGCAAGAAAATCTTACGCATTGAACGATATCTAATTTCCCGGGGAAAATTGCCGGTCCAGAATATATTCTAGACCGGTCCATATGGACCACCACTATGACGTCACACATTTCTCAGGTCGATATAGTAAAATAAACGCCTTCTTAACTAGCACTAAAACCCCTAGAACTGGCCCGGTAAGGTGGTAATAATATAAGGTGTTCGTGACGCAAGAAATTGTCTGCAGAAGGGATGTTGAAAAGATGCAATTTAAATTCTATTTGAAGGTAAAGATGATGATATTGATATTAAATAACATCGTATGTTGTTGGAAAGATGCAATTGGAAATTCTTTTTGAAGGAAAATGTTGTATTGCATTGAATAACATCGTTCAGTAATATAATAGGATTTTATTAGTACTGATGCCCTTTTAGGGCCAAACGTACATTGTACATCCGATATACAATTTTCAATAACAGTAAATATAGCAATAAAGTAAAGAAAATAGTATGTTATTGAGAAGACGCAACTTTAAAGTCTTTTTTAAGCTAAAACAGTATTGGATTGAATTATTTATTAGGCAGTGTTCCAGAGATCTGGCTCTGTCTTAGTTGAGTAGTTGCCAATAGTACAATAACGTCATTTCTAAGGGCAATATAGTGAAATATTGGACCGAGGGCCGAAGGCCCAAGGTCCAATATTTTACTATATTGCTCGCAGAAATGACGTTATTAGTATTATTACCACCGTTAACGACCAGGGCTGAAATAGCAAGAAAATCTTACGCACTGAACGATATCTAATTTCCCGGGGAAAAATTGCCGGTCCAGAATATATTCTAGACCGGTCCATATGGACCACAACTATGACGTCACATATTTTTCAGGTCGATATTGTACAAATAGTGACTGCCATTGAGGGAATATCCGGGAATATCCTGTCCACTGACTTGTTCCCTCGGCCTGCAGCCTCGGGAACATGTCAGTGGACAGGATATTCCCTTGAGGAAAATATTTTCCACTATTTCCCGAAAATGTGGCAGTCACTATTTGTTTTATTATATACCTGATAAGTACTCTGTAAACAAAAACAAAATGAGAAGTCTTTTCATTTCAATATCAAATGTTCACAGGTTCTTATTGGCATTTAAAGGCATTTTACCTTTCAACTCCTATAATCTCAGATTTGGGGGAAGATAAAATATATTATTACATACCTCATATTCTATACGTTTATTGGTCAATTCATGGTCACATGATATGAAATAGATAGACTAATTCCCTGGAAAGTACTTTCGCAAATTACGGGGAAGATGAAAGCTACTAATGACCGATGACGTCATTGAAATCCCAGGAAAACGACTGCGCATCATTAGTGCGCATTCAAAGTTCAGTTCAGACGACAATATGGCTGGTCGTTTCGAAACGAAAAATGACGATGATTTGGATGAATTGATTGACCAAGCCGATTCTTTGGCTACAAAAAACATTATCAAATCTTCTTATTTTTTATTAGGAATACATATGAGGTATGTAATAAAACAAATAGTGACTGCCAAATTTTCGGGCAATAGGGCAAACCATTTTCCCCGAGGGAATATCCTGTCCACTGACATGTTCCCGAGGCCGCAATGGCAGTCACTATTTGTATACTATTGACTGGTCACATGACCTAACTGGTGATTAGTACAATTCATCTTCCCTGAAAGCAGGGATTTAGGACTTTCCAGGGAATTAGTTCATCTATTCCATGTCATGTGACCATGAATAAGCCAATGAGCATCTAGAATACATTTGAGGTATATAATAAAGTAAAATGAACGCCTTGTAAACTAGCACTAAAACCCCTAGAACTGGCCCGGCAAGGTGGTAATAATATTAGTTATGAACTGACTAGATCTTAATTTATAAATCAGCCTGGTCTGATGTCCATTTATCTGTGTTCGGATTAAAGTAGGATTTGAATTACTGGTAACATGTTTCTTTATCAATGTAAGAATTCAAAATAAAAATAAAGCTTTCCCACAATGTATAATGCACTCAAAGTTATTTGTACTATTATCAGGCGAGAGCTTCAAAGATACTCCATTCATATTCCAACCATCAGATAGTATTCGTGAAAAATGGCTTACTCCCCCACGGCGGAC